TATCTAATTTTAATCCTTTGACCCTTATCCTCAAATCAGTTTACCTTAGTTTTTTTTTTCTCCCAGTTTACATATTACACAGATTTCTCACAAAGGCATATTTTATTTACTCCAATTTCTAATATATTTTCCACTATATCTCCCTCTAATATTTAACTATCTCCCAGCTTGTTCTATTTGATTAATTCTCAGCTTGATCCCCTCCAAAACACCAACTATTTAGTTGATTTCAAAATAATTCCTCAATCTCCTCCTCTCCTCCTATTTGTTTGACTGTTTCCAGCATTTTGTGGGCTGATTTCCAGCATAGTCTCCTCCTTAACTCCCTCCATTGTTTGGCTGATTAACAAAGGTAACATTTTAGAGAACACCAGTGGTGGGTTTCAAAATTTTTTATTACCGGTTCTGTGGGCGTGGCTTGGTGGGCATGGCATGGCTTGATGGGTGTGGCTTGGTGGGCATGGCAGGGGAAGGATACTGTAAAATCTACATTCCCACCCCACTCTAGGGGAAGGTTACTGCAAAATCCCCATTTCCTCCCGATCAGCTGGGACTTGGGAGGCAGAGACTAGATGGGGGCAGGGCCAGTCAGAATTTTTACTACCAGTTCTCTGAACTACCGGTTCTCCAGAACTGGTCAGAACCTGCTGAAACCCACCTCTGGAGAACACACATAGGTAAAAACAAATTCAGATCATCCAATGTTGAAATTGCATTCCAATCAGAATGGGGCAAAAGATATATCCTCTGCTCCGCAATCCCAAATATTACAGAATAGTTTTTTGTGAGATGTATGAAGAATGACAAGAGATGAAGTCAAGAGTGTCCACAGGATGTAGTGGGGAAAAATCAAGATGGTGGCCATGACAGCCTGACTGAAACCCTATCCATTTTTATGTGATGCACATAAAATAGAATTTTAGTTGCACAATTGTAGCCACCATCTTGACATTTTTTCACTTCGTGGATCCCAGGGAGGAGAAGACTCACTCCTTTCAGTTCTGCTGATAGAAACAATGACATTGTTCAAATGGGAACCCAGTTATGAAACATTAATTGTCCTCAGTAAAGCTGAGAGGTACTTTTATGTTTCACTCCACATTTTATTGATGCACAGGAAGTTTGAATCAGTTCTGAGAATCCTAATGAATCCAAGTTCCTGTGGTTTTCTTGAAGCTCATAGGAAAAAACATACTGTACGTTCTAAAAGCTGAATCACAAATATTTCTGCTGTATGTTATCTCAAAAGTTACCTCCACCATGTCATATTTGCTCAGTTTTTTCTTCTCATATCGCTTCAACACATCTAGTTTTACTAATACTCTCTGAGCCATATTTACTCTTCATTTTCTATAGAGAAGGCAGTTCTTTAATTCTGAAAGAAATAAAGCAGATAAAACTCAGAAAAAGTATTGAATAAGAATCTATTGTGCTCAGGAACAAAAACCTTCTCCTTGTAGGGATTATTTTATGAAGTTGGCCTAGTTGATGCCCTACCCATGAAACTTTGCAAGCAAAGTTGCTAATCCATAATGCTAAAATATGCAATCAAAGTTTAACAGAAAGATTTTAGCTAAAAGGATGTCATTTCTTTAAAAACGAAAGTTTCTGGACATGCAGAATGTATCTCTTACATCTTCAGTCAGAAGGCAGAGGCCAGACTCTGGCTCTTACTTGTCATTTACTATCCTATCTGAGGGCGGATACTGTCAGATAATTAAGTTATTGAATGAGTTCCTTTATAAGCTAATTACAATCATATGCCTTTCTCCACATACAGTAAAGTGTTAAATAGATCAGGTAACTCTTGTCATTAAACAACATTCATAGATGTGGAGTGGCAAACTGATCTAGGTAGAGCTCCTATACTGCCAATGGAGCAGCACATAAAGGATCTTCTAAATCAAATGTCAGTGAAATTCTGTTATATGTGTATGAGGAAGGTTTTAGAACCTTCCTCATACCTCACAGAAAAGCCTTTCCCCTGGCGATGGAGGTACCCTCCTTTCAGTGGGGCTAGAGGAGAAATATCAAAACAATCCCCTATCCACCAACAATGGTGTCCTTGTCAGGATGGCGAGGCAGGAGTAACTCAGCATGTGCTACTTGATAAGAATATTATAACCCTGTCTGAAGTTTATCTATTAGACCATCGCTAGTGGGCTTCCCAGGTCATTTCTGTGCATCTTTCTTATGTTCTGGAAACAGCTCCATCATAAAGTAATCTAGGTACATTTTGTGTGGGGACATGTAACATCAGGAATATGTTGGTTCCTCCAAAATGTCATCAGTAATTGGCTTTTTTTTTTCCTTAGACAGTTTTTTGTCCCTTTCCTCTGAAGCGTCCTTGTAATAATTTTTGTAGAATAGTTACGTTTTTCTTACATGCATGCTTTTGTGTTGGGTCAGGATTTTTAGAATCACTTTTTTATGTCTCTTATCATATGCATTGCTTGGAATATTTTATAAGGTAATTTTTAGTGATTCAGAGTTTACCCAGATAGTATCCATTTTGTCTTCATCTGGAATTAGGCTCCCAATTACATATTCTTATACTGTAGCTCTGAATTTATACTGTTCTACTATTTACTATACTATCCAAATAGTATAAAGTTTATACTATTGCTATCCAAATAGTATAAAGTTAACGCCACCCTGACTGTTTACACTATGTTCTACCCATTTTATCTTGTGACCTATTTTTTAAAAAGTGTGATGTTCTACGTTGGCCACAGATCATAATCAAGTTTAAATTTCAATAACCCAAGATGCATGTGTTGTCCCTACTGCAACTTTACATGTGTTCTTTTAACCAGCATCTCATTAAGACATTTCATCTTATCAAAAATCACTCCATGTAAATTATGGCTAGATCAGTCCAAACCACAGCTCCTTCAGTCCTGAAGTCTTCTAGCATACAGAAAACCCTAAGAAGGTTTTGATCCAAAGGGCTCCCAGGTTCTTTCTTTGTAACAAACATCCTAGGACCCTCATCTTCAAGATGTGATCCCAGGTTCAACATCTCTCTGTATCCCCTGAGATACAATTCTTGTTTAACTTTTCATTCAGTATATTTTCTTGCAATCTCTCCATCATTTCATTATTTCTGCTGCAAGTGACATCTGCATTCTAATGTATCTCCAAATTGAAAATCTTCAGACTGCATGTTATAAATACTACATTTTTTTTAATTATAAGAAAATATTATGGAATGATGTGTCAGTGCTGTCTGGATTGTGACATCCCAAATTTCAGAACTATATTCTCACAAGATCAAAATAACAACATTGGTACTATCATGTGTGTCTCCCCATAAACACTTCATTATGTGCTTAAATCCTAATGATTGCAGAGATCATTTTGAAAACAAAGTGTAATTTTCTGTAACTGTTGCTAGGAAAATCATGTACAGCACATCCCAGATAATGATCTGGCACATAAAATGTCAAATATTTTGCTTGATTTACTGGCTTATTGTGTAGTTTAGACAGTTGCAGAATCCTGCATAGATACAGTTAATATTGTGCAAGAAGACAACTGTGTACAGTTCAACGTACTAATATCACATTAGGCTAAATAAAGATCTTATTAGAATAAATACAGGTAGTCCTCGACTTAAAACAGCTCACTTAGTTACTTACAACTGTTCAAAGTTACAATGGGACTGAAAAAAGTGACTTATGACTATTTTTCATACTTATGACTATTGCAGCATCCCTATGGTCACAAGATGTATATTCAGGTACTTGACAACTGATTCACATTTATGACAGTTGCAGTGTCCCAGAGTCATACGATCACCTTTTTCAATCTTCTGACAAGCAAAATCAATGGGGAAGCCAACTTAACAAATGTGTCACTAATTTAACAACTGCTTTAATTCGCTTAACAAATGTAGCAAGAAAAGTCATAAAATGGGCCAAAACTCACTTAACAAATTTCTCACTTAACAACATAAATTTTGGACTCAATTGTGGCCATAAGTTGAGGACTACCTATAATGAATGAATATTCTTTATTCAAATATTTGATTAATTGTGAGAATAGGGCAAAATGGCTTGTTATAACAACAAGAACAATGTTAACATAAAAGAAGCTAAAAATCAGGCTTTATTTCAGTCCTGGGGGCAAAATTATTGCATGTCACTTTACCGGTATAATGCAGCATTGTTTTTCACCCAGAGAGGTCTATCTTCATCTTCCAGTATTATACTGCATATATTTACTGTACCTTCATATTCAAAGGAAAAGAGATTGGCAAGTACCAAATTTCAAGCCACAAGAAGCAACATGGAGATTTTCAGTACCTACATCATTAGACAGTAGAAAGATTTCAAGAAAGATTTTTCTCCAGTCATTGTTCAGGGTTATGAGATTTGCAGTGCAGATCATCCACTGATTCCAGTTTTAGATATGTTTCTGAAAAGCAAAGATGATTAAAAGGTATTTAATCATACGTACAATATCACGTGTACCATGTCCGTTGATACAGCCTAGAAACAACCTTCAGGAAACTCAAGCTGTTCTGAACTATAGGTTTGGAGAAGGTCAAATGTCAAGGACTTGCTCTTAAAAGCAAGTTAGAGAGTTAAAAAAGAAATAACTTGGAGCAAATTAGAGGAGATATGTGTGGCAGAATCACCAGAGAATCTTTAATCTGTAATTCATCTGCTTCTGTGACATAGCTTTAGGTGTTCTCTGAAGGTCACAGTCTGATAGAATCTCATTACTTTTATTGTGTCATCATTATTGTCTAAAACTATGGTGACTAGCTTACTGTAAGCTGCTAGTCTTAAGACTAGCCTTGCTAGAATTTTCCAGTGTTGTGTGGAGACCGTGCACTGAGGGATCTTTGTGACATAGGTTGGGCACATGTCTATGCAAGCAAAAAAAAAAAAAGTTAATGAGATGAAAGTTATAATTTGTTGAGGTTTGAGTATACATACAATGTCAGGGAAGAGCAACAAGCTTATTTTACATGAAGTGGTCTCCATGTAGGAGCGTTTTATTCAATTCTCGGGGGGAGGGAAGGAACAGTCTCAAGTTGTAAACCTAAGTAGCGGGTTGGACTAGACTAGAAGATTCTGTTATTCTGTATCAAGCAAGCTTGAGTATACACAGGCACAGAATTATGCTTGTATATTCAGAAGAAAATATTGAAGAACATAGAAATATCTCTATATCTCATCATGCGTGATAAAAGTTGAAAAGTATATACATCCAATAATACCACAACTGTAAAATGTAAGAGTACTTCTTTTTATGTACCATTTATAGCTTACATAAGTATTAAATGTTCTGATGATCAAGTTTTTCTTATCAGCTCCCTATTTCACAATCACATGTATGCTTCTGCTATTCTCTTGATGTGTCAGCAATTCAAGGAAACTGAATCCACAAGTTTAGAGACTGGAACTATGTTTAATGATACAAGCTATAGTGAAGGAATCTTGAAAGGCTGCCTATGCTTTCCTTCCTGCCCTCTTATATCCCAGGGAAGCCATTTTAGCTTCTTCACAATGTTTTCTTTGTTTCCTGAAAGAAACAAAGAAAGAAAACATGCCTTAAAGCATGTTTTCGTATATGTTGTTGCAACCTTTTCTGTATATTTTTTCTGAAGTAACCTCTGAGACTATGTTTTGCCACACATGGAAAAGCATCTGCTGTATTTTCTAATGGATGTATTCCAGACAGATCTGGCCTTCAAATGTGCACAATTGTTCTCCATGTGGATCAGCTATTTCTGCTTGGTCCATGTTTGGACTGAAACATGCATTTGATTTCAGGCATGGAGAAAAACTTGCACGTTCCACTGAGCTGTTTTGGAGAGGAGCAGAATTCCCCACCCCCCAGGGACATTGGCAATGGCTGGGAGTAACCAGAGACAGGAAAGGAAAATGCTGGGGAGATTGGAGAACAAACTGGCAGAAAAGCATTCAGAGAAGATTGGGAAAGAGATAAGAAGCACATTAGCCTTGCTGACTCTTTGTTGTTGTTAGTTGTGAAGTTGTGTCCGACCCATCACGACCCCATGGACAACATTCCTCCAGGCCTTCCTGTCCTCTGCCATCCTCTGGAGTCCATTTAAGCTCATGCCTACTGCTTCAGTGACCCCTTCTTCTTTTGCCCTCAATCTTTCCCAGCATTAGGCTCTTCTCCAGTGAGTCCTTCCTTCTCATTAGGTGGCCAAAGTATTTGAATTTCATCTTCAGGATCTGACCTTCTAAAAAGCAGTCAGGGTTGATCTCCTCTAGGACTGACCAGTTTGATTGCCTTGAAGTCCAAGGGACTCGCAGGAGTCTTCTCCAGCACCACAGTTCAAAGGCCTCAATTCTTTGGCACTCAGCCTTTCTTATGGTCCAACATTCACAGCCATACATTGCAACTGGGAAAACCATAGCCTTGACTATACATACTTTTGTTGGCAGGGTGATGTCTCTGCTTTTTAGTATGCTGTCTAGATTTTCCATAGCTTTCCTCCCCAGGAGCAAGCGTCTTTTAATTTCTTGGTTATAGTCCCCATCTGCGGTGATCTTGGAGCCCAGGAAAATAAAATCTGTCACTACCTCCATTTCTTTCCCATCTATTTGCCAGGATTCCTGACTCTAGATTTTAGGAAAAATCTGGAATAACCAAAATATAGTAGAATTTGGTTTTGCTGAACTGTATCCCACCTGCATGGTAGACTTTCTAGAATACAATGTGTATATTTCAGTTTTGAAAGAAAATATATATTTCATGTTATGCACAGGTCTAATTTAAATGTCCTTCCTCCCTCCCTCCCTCTGATTTTTCTCAAGGAGCTCAGAGCATTGGCCATAATACTCTTACTTCCAACTTTTCTCACAATAGCCCTGTAGGAAAGGTTGGGCTGAGAAAGCATGATTTTCCCAAAGACATCCCTTGAGTTTTGTTGGCTGAATTTCAACCCGGGATTCCCTAGAATCTCAAAAATGGGTTGAATTTAACAAATTTCTTTTAAGTAAAAGCAACCATCCAACTTCAGGGAAAAAAATAAATAAATAAAGCATGGACTCACTATCACCATGATTCCCTAAGATCCTTTAAGAAATGTGTATATAACTCTGAAGTATATAAAAGTTTCTTATATATCTATAAAATATCAAGTGACAATGTTTCCATACTAAATATTTACTATGGAATTGCTGTTCAAAGTTATCATGTCCAGTGTTTTTTTTCCCACTCTAAGGTATCAACATAAGTGCTCTGAAGTTAATGTTTCACATTCCGTAGAATATAGAGCAGCTTTTAATGACTTTGCTGTTCCTAAAGATGTAAGAGAAAAATAATGAAATATCCTATGACCGTGATGGCAAACCTATGACACGCGTGCCTGAGGTGGCACACAGAGCCATCTTTCTGGGCATGCAAGCTGTCACCCAACTCACCTGCAGCTGGGCATGCGCGCATGGCCCAGCTTGTGTTCAGGCCTCCGGTATGCATGCACGCAATTCAGAGGACCCAGCTAGTTTTAGGAGCTCTCCTGCACATGTGCGCGCGTTTGCGCATGCGGGTGATAGAGCTATTGTCACTCATAGGTAACAATTTGTGCGAAACCTGTGCGCATGCACAGATGGTGCAATTGTGTGCACAGCGCATGGGGAGCTGCGCAAAAGCCATGCGCATGCACCGATTGTGTGGTTGCATGTACAGCACATGCAGCGCATGTAGCACACGGGGAGGAGCCATGTGCTAGCGCAGATGGCACATGTGCGTGCAAAGCACGTACCTGTTCGGCACTCGGTGAGTAAAAGGCTCACCACCATTGTCCTATGATATATTTATTTAAAATATTTAAAGTCACAGAACTGTTTTTATACAGTATATGATTTCTACAATGAGACTATTATATGCTCAAAAATAGAAAGGTGTGACCGAACTTGCAGAGATGGCTAAATTAAACTCTTTGATTGAGAAAAATAATCTACATTTATGTTCAATTAGAAAATCTTTTATAAACCTTTTGTGTGAAACAAAAAGGTGGTTCTGATGATTAGAAAAAAGTTAGATAATAAAGAAAAGTGAGGTGGAATTTTTCTGCAATCATAGAATAAGAGAGAACTTTGTAAATGTACTGACTTTTTCTGCAAAGGAAATAGCTTGTTCTTTCTATTTTTTCTTTGTGATTCTTTCTATACATTTGCTTATATTTTTTCCTTTATTGGTTCTGCTCTCTTACTTTATGTTTGTTTTTATGTGTTTTGTAAAACGTAAAATATCTATAAATATAAAGAAGTGAGTCCTTTGCTATGTAAAAAGCTGAGCTTTCTTGTTGCTGTTTGGAAGTAACCTGGACGATGATTTTTTTTTGTGCCGATGTTAGCTATTTTGCTACTAACTAAAATTGCAAAGAAAAAATATATATAGTAATTCTGATCAAACAAATTGACCCAATCCTTGTTTTCAAGTTCTCAGAAATCAATTTTTAACTCAGCTCTGTACTATAAATACAGAACTAACTTTATTCAGATTGAACTGATAGCACCTGGAGGACATGAGAGGAGTGGGGAGAAAAGCAGTAGAAATTTGAGAATTGTGGGTTTCCCCACAAAGTGACTCACAAAATAAACATTTCTTAACAGGTTCTTACTCAAGTAGGTCATGACTAAGAAGCTGCTTTTTTCTCCTGTCTTTCTATTGGTGCCTCTAGGAGTGAATTCTAAAGGGCATGCAGTAAGAAACAAGACTTTCATTCAGCACCTGCTAGTAGTGAAATCAAGTTCAAACACAGAAATGAGACACGTGGCCGGATGAAGAAAAAGGTAAAAATATATTCTAATAATTGATGCAATGAAACTATGAATTCTTCTTTTCTAGACAGGGAGGGAAAGGGAGAGGGAGAGAGAGGGAGAGAAAGGGAGAGGAAGGGAGAAAGAGAGAGAGAAGGACGGAGAGAGGGACGGAGGGGAGGTGTCTGCAAATCTTCTACAGCAATTTATTTGTATTTGATTATTTTTAAATTTTGAGACAAAATAATAGTAAATGAGAAGGGGTGAAGGTTTAATTTACATTACAAAAAAGTTAAAGTAAGTCTTCTATTTTCCATATTTAACTGGCATGTTGCTTTTCCAAAATACAGATTTGGTTTAGTTCGTTTATTCTTTTGTGTTGAAAATATCTTTATGAAGCATTTTGAGCAGATGCTGCATGATTACAGCAAAAGTCTATGGCATGCAAAAGTATATACCTGCAAAGTCTGCTTTTTCAGATTGCAGATCCTGCTGAATCTATTTGAATTGTGCCAGTTCTTATAATATGTTATACTATTCAGTATAAATAAAGTGTATTTATAATAAAACTGATTGTATACCTATACATACTAAGAACTATAATAAATACAACCAGATTTAAGTTGTTTCTTCCCAGTAAATACAAGAGTAAAAAAGTATTTTTATATATTGAGCTTCCCATTCCCTTCCCTTTCCCCTTCCTTCCCTTCTCCTTCCCCTCCATACCCCCTTCCCTTCCCCCTTCCCTTAACCACTATATCTTAACCACTATACCAGACTGGCTGCCTCTTTTCTGCCTATTGTTAGTGTACAGTTTAATTGTTTTTAAGATGAACAAGTCCATTGCCATTATTATTACTACAATGCTGGGAAGAGGAGGAAGAACTTATAGTTTTGCTATTGGCACTATTGTAGTGATATGAAATGTTATGTCTTTGTCATAAAACACATTTGTATCATAGAAAAATCTGCTAAGAAATCAACTAAAAGGTTTAGGTTTAGGTTTATTTGATTTGTATACTGCCCTACTCCCGAAGGACTCAGGCAACAATAAAATACATAAATACAAAAAATTTAAAAACCAGATGAAATCAAATTAAATCATTTTGGCCCAGATAGATTAAAACACCCCAATAATTTAAAAACAGATTAAAATTTACATATTTAAAAAGGGAAGAAATTAGGCCAAGCCCGCCTGATGGAATAAAAAGGAAGAGATCCTTATCTGAATCCTAGTTGCTTTCATCTTATACCATGAAGTAAATGCTACTGAGTCAGTTGCCCAAAATGATAAATTTAGGGGATTGCCAGTCACGTTTGATTTCCAAAATGGAAATCTGAAAAAAAATCTGAATATTGATAAAAAGGAAGCTAAAAGGGCAAATCAAAGAATTCAGATCTCTAAAGAAAATACTAAACTAATAGACCTTCAGCTACAGTCTAATATATAGAAATGGAAAGAATTTTCATTTTCAGGAATTCTTCAGCATGATTTCCAAACCAAGTGAACAAATTAATTAGAGAAAACAGTTTCTTCAGAAAAAGGAAATCTTGCATTAATGGTGGGGGTGGGGGAGAGAGCTCAAAGCCTTTCCTCCCTGGAATTTACAATATATGTAAAGCAGCCTGGAAACTCCAACATTACTCCTTGTTCTGGTGACACCAGGGGTGGGTTTTAAAACCCGTCGCTAACGGTTTGCTTGTGGGCATGGGTGTGCTTGCGCATAAGTGCCCAGGCAGGTGGGCGGAGCCTCCCGCCACCGCCACTACCAGTTTGCCTGATCCAGTGAGAACCGGTAGCAACCCACCACTGGATGACACTGACCCTTTTATCTCTGTGATTTAAGTAATCTTTATCCCACTGTTTGGTGTATCCCCAAGCACCTAATCCTTTCTCCTTAACTTGTAAAAGGCTCTATGATAATAGAACAAAAATGAAGTATTCTTCATCTGTTTGGAAGAGCAGTATCCATGTGATCAGCTCATCTTTGATTTTCATTGGAAATTTCCCTCCCTAGATAAAATCTGGGGAGGTCTTTGGGACACAGGGCAATTTCGAATCTACGTTCATCTTGTATGGACAAGATGTTTAACATAGTAATAGAGTACTATGAGAATAATAGTTACATAGCACATAGCACATAATACAGAGTTACATAAAGAACACAATGTATGGCAAGGCATTACATTCTTATGGCAAGGATTGGATCCATTGAGATTGGCGAATAAGCAAGAATGTAAAGAAGAAATAAAATAAAAATGTAAGAAGAAATGCAAAAATGATAATAATGAAAGTTATTTAGCTATCTAGCCATCAATGGAAGGGGGTCAAGCCTATTAAACAAAAACATATTAAAATAAGAATAAGCAAATTGCAAAGAAGCTGAACTCTGCATTGGTCTTCCCTGCAGAAAATGTTGGGCGGTGCCTAAACTCTTTGTCAAGAAGATAAACCGTGTAGATGATTATCCTGACAATAAATTAGTTCTACTTGATAAAGAGGAAAAAAAACACCAAACATATCAGATCCTGGTGGTATCAAGCTATAAACTTGCTTCCATTATTCCAATGTGAAAAGAAGTTAATTTTCTTATCAAAAGATGAAGCAACTTCCAAATATTGGCTTTGGACCAGTAGACTGTAAAGCAGCCATTCTAACAAGATTTTTAAAAACAGACTGTGGCAGGGAGGGGAGAGGGGATTTACATTCAGTTTTGCTTAATACATTTTTGGGATAAATTAAGAAAAATCATAAAAATACAATTATTGAGCATACATACAGGTAGTTCTCAACTTAACAACAGTTCATTTAGTGACCATTCGAAGTTACAATGGCACTGAAAAAAAGTGACTTCTGGCCATTTTTCACATTTGCAGCATCCCCATGGTCACATGAACAAAATTCAGACACTTGGCAACTGACTCATATTTATGACGGTTACAGTGTCCAGGGTCATGTGATCATCTCTTGCAACCTTCTGACAAGTAAAGTCAATAGGATTCACTTAGCAACTGTATTACTAACTTAACAACTGGGCAAGGAAGGTAATAAAATGGAGCAAAACTCATTTAACAAATGTTTCACTTATCAACAGAAATTTTGGGCTCAATTGAGATCGTAAGACGAGGATTACCTATATTCAGTTTTGCCGGAGAGTCTGCTACCACATCAGATTAGGATCGGGGACAACAGGTTCAAATCTTCGCTAAACTATGAAGCATTCTGAGTAATTTGGGGCCAGTCACAATTTTTTATCAAATGTACCTAAAGATGTTAGTGATATAAGATTAGAGGGCAAGAAGGACACTCATATTTTGCTCCTGGAGAGAAAAAGGTGAAGAAAAATGAAATATATAAGAAAAGTATCATCCTACAAATAAAGGAGAATATTTGTACCTCAGGGTTGAAATGAGGGGTCCTTGGTGCTCTCTGAGCTTAGGGGTTTTTTTGGGGGGGATGTTTCATCACCAAGCTAGGTAACATAATCAGTGCACTATTTGGATATTGAAATGTCTACAAGAAAATAGCCAAGCTCAGAGAGCACCAAGGACCCCTCAGAATCATCTTAGATTTATAAAATAAATATCTATCAAAAATCAGTAAACATGTCAGCAAGAGTAAATTTGCAAGTTAGTTTTAGTTCAAAAATTTTTTAACAAAAGTTGCTCATTACACAACCTTGTTGCCCGGTGGGGGGCGGGGAGGCATGTCAGCTAGTAGCTTGGTTGCAATAGCTGTACACCTAGTCCATAAATGGGTTACTTAATTCGGTCTCTGCCCCCCAGCTTCCTTTTCACTACATACCTAAACCGCTGATGAAGCAGAAGGAAACCATGAACTGCTCACTGAAGGAATTATTAGACAAAGGACCTAATTTTGATGGGGCCCCTCATGATCAAACAACAGATAAGAACTTGGGTTTTGCAACTGCATGAACTCCTTGCTTGAAGAGGATATAGAAATCCCACTTCCACAGTTGCTCAAAAACATCCATCCCCAAACCAACTTGTCTATTGCTCAGCTGATAGCTAGTCTATTGCTAATGACCTTTGGTCAATGTTTGCTTCTCCTGGGCAGCTGCACCCATGGAATGGGTTGCAAAGAAAAATAGAATAGAGCCACTGGGGAAAAAAACAAATGGAAATGATAAGAAATTGAGGGACAGGAAAGGAATTTTATGGTATTGTAAGATACCTGTTGCCCTTGTGCATGGTTGCTATGAAAAAAGCAAATTCTCTTTTGCAGGGACAAAAATCATCTGAGAAGTAATTTGAACATGAGAAGTGAAGTCCTTCTCCAGCTAGGAGTGGCTGATTTATCGTCTGATATACATAGTTTGGGTGGTTATTTGCTCAGGCCAGCCATCTTTGTTCTAATGGTGGTCTTAGAAGTACTTAAATGTGCCCTTTTATGAACCATGCTTTCCAGAACAAACCTATGGCCATGTTGATTCAATACTGGTTCAGATAAACCAGGGGTCAGCAACCTGCGGCTCTGGAGCTGCATGTGGCTCTTTCACCCCTCTGCTGTGGCTCCCTTTCACTGAAATATATGCGTCACAACCGCCAATGTGCAACACCCGCCGGCACACGATTTATTGAGATTTTCAACCCCGGTAGGCCAACCATGGATAAATCCAAGAAAAGAACAGTTTCAGAAGAAAACAGAACATTTAATTCAACTACATATGCTAGTTTTGTGGCCACTCAAGAAATAGTCAGGCGCGGGAAGGGTTTCGTGGCTCCCGGTGTTTTTTTTTTTTCTGTGGGAAATGGGTCCAAATGGTTCTTTGAATGTTTAAGGTTGCAGACCCCTGAGATAAACCAAATCAAATATTCTGATCATTTCAAGAGATTCTGATTTTGAAGAACCGTAACAATTTACCTCTTAATCTTTTTTTTTAAGTTGCAACTTTTTATTTTGTTAAATTTGTGTACACTCAAGAATGTCATTCTTCCTTTTTTTGAATATCTTTGGGATGATGTTAGCATTTTTGTAAAAATCTGTAAATCAGCCTGGGAAATTGCCTAAAGACTGCCTTGCCTAGAAACTCCTAATCTCATAGCATCTTTGATATTTATCTTAAAATAAAAAAAATATCAGCTTAACCTAAAATAGTAATATCTTTTTATAGAGCTGCTGACAAGCAGAATGAAATGTTTGAAACATTGTTTGCTGTGCTTAAAAGTGGTTTTAAAATATCATAGTAGTAAACTAACACTGATATTGATTTTCGTTAAGGAGAAATATGAGAAGCTAAATAGACAGTTCAAGAAAGAATCAAGGCATTTATTTCCAAAGCTAAATTTGTCCTTCCAGTTGTTTCATATTTCCCATTCAACAATCTGGTAGGATTATGTTAAACATTTTTAAAAGAAATATTGGTAGAGAAAATCATATTATTGTTTTTTCTTTTAGACAATGCCTTTTGACAAAGGTCCAACATCTTCCAGATCATGGCAATATCTAAAGTATTGTTGGTTTTAAACTTACTTTTCTGTAAGATCCCCCAAAGCCTTCTTTCTCATCGGTGCTTAGCTAAAGGACCAGGTAAGTATTATATCCTTATAGGGGTTGAGAGAAACTAAATACAGGTAGTCCTTGACTTACGACCACAATTGAACCCAAAATTTCTATTGCTAAGTAAGACAGTTGTTAAATGAGTTTTGCCCCTTTTTCTGACCTTGCTTTCCCACAGTTATTAAGTGAATCACTGCACATTAATTCAGTAACACGATTGTTACATGAATCTGGCTTCCCACTGACTTTGCTTTCAGAAGGTCACAAAAGGTGATCACATGATCCTGGGACACTGCAACTATCATAATATACAATGCAATTTTTGTGTAGTATAACACTGATAATGTGATGTCATGTTGCGCATCATATTATTTGCCTTCCCTGTGTACAGACATGCGTGTTCCTAATTCTAGCCAATCAGTATGCATGTTCCTAATCCAAGCCAATCCTTTCCCTGCTGGGAAGGGATTAGGATCATGCATGTTCCTAATCCCAGCCAATCAGTATTTTACTAGCTAGATTTTACTATACTTGGATACCTAGCTTGGTTCCTAGGATGCAATGTATCCATAAGTTATTTCCTTCATGTGCACTGGTTTCCTGCTCCATCTCACTCTTACATTTAAATACCATTTATTTTATTTATTTGTTCATTTGGTTGGTTAGTTAGTTAGTTAGTTAAAAAGGAGCTAGCCTTTTGTCAAGCAAAATGCCAACCTGGCCTTCCAGCAGGCCTGGAGCCATTGATCTCGCTTTGCAATCTGAATGGTGTGAATGGGTTTTAATGTTTTTAATTTTTAAGTGTTTTTATAATGATTTTTTGAGTGTATTGTGAGCCGCCCTGGGTCTTCGGAGAGGGGCAGCATATAAATTGAACAAATAAATAAATAAATAAATAAATAAATAAACCTCTTCCAGTATTATTTTAATTTCTAGAATGAATTACTAGGTAAATACTTTTGAAGTATCATTTATTTATTTTTATGTATGGCATTTTAAAACCGCCTCTGTCCCTCACAGAGAGACTTTGGGCAGTGTACAAAATAAAATATTAAAAACCATAAAACAATATATAAACTTTAAAAGAGACAAGCAACATTAACAATTCATTGAAAGGCAGGGAAGGGCTTTCAGGACAATATTTAGCCCCATTGCTGTGCGCTCTTGGTGTTTCCCCAGCAAGGTTAGAATACCCAAAACATGGAGAATTTACTTCTAATGAATTGCTAAGGTATTCATAGTAATCCTCCCTCCTCCTGTTCTTCTTCTTTTCAGGTGTCATAATGTGTTCTGGGCGTGTATGGATAGAACCAGCCCCCATCATTCAAATAGGCCAAAATGTTTCTATAAATTGTCATTGCGTGGAAAACTGTCAGAAAGGGAAACTATCTCTGATCTTAAATAACGTCGACGTTGAGGATACACTCCTGTCAGTTATAAACCAAACTACAGTTCAGCTCAACCTTCAGAATTATAATGAGCCTTTTTCTACAGTTTCATGCCTTCTCAAAAGTTCTAGAAGCCGACTGATCTGTGGAACACAGTTTTGCATGGGATGTAAGTATCATGGCTATGCAGCATGAACTATGCCATTCTAGGACATCTTAATTAATTTGGGATAGTCAGTTATTTAAAAGTAAGTTTTTGAGGTGATACTTATGTGTTTGTTTGTTTTTTAATAATCCATTTTCAGGAGGGCTTATAGCTTGGCTTATAGTCTATGCCAGGGATGAAATCCAGCAGGTTCTGACAGGTTCTGGAGAACTGGTAGCAGAAATTTTGAGTAGTTTGGAGAACCAGCAAATACTACCTCTGGCTAGTCCCAGAATGGGGTGTGAATGGAAATTTTGCAATATCCTTCCCTCAGTAGTAGGAAGGGAATAAGGATTTTGCAGTATCCTTCCCCTGGAGTGGGGTGGGAATGGAGATTTTGCAGTATCCTTCCCCTGCCACACCCACCAAGCCACGCCCACCAAGCCACACCAACCCCACCAAGCCACACCCACAGAACCGATAGTAAAAAAAATTGGATTTTACCACTGGTCTAAGCATTATCTAAACTAAGGGAGGAAGCCAAGCCGTGTGGAGCAAAATGAATGGGTCTTAATCCTGAGTAAATATGCACATGTGGCACTCTTAATCGCATCTACTTTGAAGTAAACATCACCAAAATCAGTAAGACAGACACATCAATCTGAAACATGCATAGTCAAAATAATTTACATGATATGCTCCCACGTAGATGTTTTATAGATTCCAGGTTTATTTCTGAAGTATGGTAAACAAGCATTGCCAACAATAAATCCATGTTGCTCATTATACAATAGGTACAAATGTTATTGACAGCAGTTTCACATTAATTGGGACTGATTGTATATGTCATCTAGATGTACTTTTGTTCTATATATAACCATTGGAGAAGTAGTGGGAAATGCTGGTCACTGATTAAAGATAGCTAAGACAAATAGTTAAGAGCCAAAAAGAGAATTCTCCACTTTTACTTTAACTCCAATACACACATATCCCAACACAATGGTGACTGATGAAAAATGACTGAGCTAATAGCCATTTCCTTGTGGGTGATTTATAGCATTTTATTGCATCATCCAACTACTACTATGCCAACACTATAATCATGGGGACATAGTTTATATTGTCAGAATGATAGTTGGGTGACAATCAATGCTAGAAACCAGTTTTTAGGAAAAAGTTTTTGACACTTTTCTGAAAAGACTAGTATTGATACAATTTTAGAGACAAAATTACAAAAATTGTTAGCCACAAAGTAACTAAATGCTGTTTTTAGGACAATTAATTGCTAGACAAAGTATTTTGTGACAAATGCAAAGCATTGTAAAATCATTTAGAGTATCAATTATATTAACAGATGAAAATTGCAAGTCTCTAAATGAATCTTATTCAAATTGAAGCAATTGTGTTCATTGGCATATCTTAGACGAAAAGGGGACTAGAAGCTACTTTGAATAAATTCATTTAAAATGCCAAAGGAGATAGTGAGGAAATTAGAGAGATAGGATTTCATATTTTCTGGGTATGTTTTAAATTAGCATAATTTTACAAACTCTTTGATTTGTAGATCTGCCTGACAAGCCAGCCAATTTAACTTGCATTAAACCTGAGCAATCAGATAATATGGTCTGCACTTGGAAACCAGGAAAGAAAACACATTTAAACACTAACTACATTCTGTATGTGAAAAGGTAAGAAAAGTCTTTATCCCATGCCAGACATTTTATATCAGGTATTAGCAACTTTTAGAGATGACTGGCATGATTACACAATTTTGTACAACGTTATAGGTACACCAAAATAAAAGTAAAATATCTGAAGTTTCACTGGAGTTCACATATTCTTGCCTGAGGTCTTATGAGATCTCATGCAAGAAACAAAGAATTTGCAACATTTGTCAAACTCCAAGATTTTGGCCACTCTTGATGAATTATAAAAACAACAATGGAATAATATCAGAAATGTGCTCAGATCTCTTTCTGTTTTTAAGGGAAGTTTCAAGATCTTTCACTTTGGTCATGTCCTTTTATTTTGAATTAATTAAGTTCATGTTAATTATTAATTGTTAATTGTTAATTAATAAATAATTATTCATTCAATAATTAATAAATTAATAATTTATTAATTAATAATTAATAAATAGTTAATTATTAATTGTTCATTAATAGCACAGTGGTTCAGTGGCTAAGACGCTGAGCTTGTCGATCGAAAGGTCGGCAGTTCAGCGGTTCGAATCCCCAGTACTATGTAACGGGGTGAGCTTCTGTTACTTGTCCCATCTTCTGCCAACCTAGCAGTTCGGAAGCATATAAAAAATGCAAGTAGAAAAATAGGGACCACCTTTGGTGGGAAGGTAGCAGCATTCCATGCACCTTTGGCATTTAATCATGCCGGCCACAATGACCACGGAGACGTCTTCGGACAGCACTGGCTCTTTGGTTTTGAAACGGAGATAAGTACCGCCCCCTAGCGTCGGGAATGACTAGCACATATGTGCAAGGGGAACCTTTACCTTTATATATACCTAACATTCTTATCAATTATCAGCTGCCTGAGTGTCCTTTGGATAAAAAGGTGCTCTCTCACTCTCTCACTCTCTCTCCCTCCCTACTTCTCTCTCTTTGAAGCTCCAGTCATCATTTATGTTAACTAGTGGTGGGTTGCCCCCGGTTTGCACTGGTTCTATAGAACCGGTAGTAAAACCGGCGGGAGGCCCTGCCCACTAACCCTGACGTCATGAAAATACTTCTGCGCTTACGCAGAAGAGTGCGTGAGTGCGCAAGTGTATTGAGCACTTGTGCACAGCCCCATTGTGAACTGGTAGTAAAGGTAAGAACCTACACCTGATGTTAACTATACTGAGGAGGAGATGGTTAGTAATTTTTCTGAAAAGATAAATTCCAACATCTTCATAGGCCATCCTTTTGACCAGCATAGCAGTGAGAAGGAAGGGAATTGTTTAACCAGGCATTTTACTATACACTCCCGGGCCAGCTGGTTTCTAATGTAAACAGATATACAAGCATACATTTGTACCTGGAATTTTTGAGAAGAGTACTTTGGGATGGAATTTTATGGGGAAAAGTAATTGCGGGATATTATTAAGCACACTGTCACTCAGGAGTGAAATCCAATTTTTTTTACTACCGATTCTGTGAGCGTGGCTTGGTGGGCTCGGCAAGGGAAAGATACTGCAAAATCCCCATTCCTTCCCCACTCCTAGGGGAAGGATATTGCAAAATCTCCATTCCCACCCCACTCTGGGGCCAGCCAGAGGTGGTATTTGCCGTTTCTCCAAACTGCTCAAAATTTCCGCTACCAGTTCTCCAGAACCTGTCAGAACCTGCTGGATTTCACCCTGCTGTCACTCCTCCACTGACAAATGCAGGCAGCAGAGTCCAGTTTTTATTAAAACATGCAAAGAGTACTCAACCACAGCAGGGTTGTGAGATGTATTTGCCTGCCATGTAAAGTGTCCTTCTAAAACTAGGTTAGCTACCAATTCAACCAAACTTTGACAAATATGAAAGAATGGTAACTGTGCTGTGGTTTCCCTGCTCGGAGCCACAAACCAAGGTCAAACATACTAATGCCATACTTCTGATGAGTGAAAAAGAAAAACATGACCCACTTACATTTTCTGCAAAAAAAAAAAAAAGGTCACAAAATTTTAGTTTAAGGTAATAACAAAATAATTGCCAATGATTTGATATACAATGCACACTTTTATGCAACTCTGGCACCACTCATGAGATGCAGCACCTCCCAAGTTTTTTTTTTTTTTAATTTCCTGAGAACAAGGCAATTTATAGCAGCAGCTTTCTTCCAGTTCTCTTCATATGTATTTGACTAGAGTTCCCATAATTTATTTATTTATTTATTGGTTTGATTTATATGTCGCCCTTCTCCGGAGACTCAGGGTGGCTTACAATGCATTAAGCAATAGCCTTCATACTTTTGTATATACCTGCTTAGTAGGGCTTTCGCCCCCCCCCTCCCAAGCGGTGTTCTTTTTTATACAAAGTCAGCTTATTGCCCCCACAAACCGGGTCCTCATTTTACCTACCTCGAAAGGATGGAAGGCTGAGTCAACCTTGAGCCTGCTGAGATTTGAACTTGCAGTAATTGCACGTTGCAATTGTATAATGGTTGCAATATAGCCACTGGCTAGGTAGGCTAACTGGGGTAGTTGTTGTGTGCCATGGCTATGAGACATATTCCAGGTGTGGAAGCTTTCAGGCAAGTTATCCTGACTATAGGTCTAATTCCACTATTGAATAGATAACAGAAAAACAGAGTTGGAAAGGACTTTGGAGATCTTCTAGTCCAAATTCCTGCTCAGGCAGGAAGCCCTATACCAGTGATGATGAATCTTTTCGGCACTGAATGCCCAAACTGGAATGTGCGTGCAGGTGCATGCATGTGGGCACACCAGAGCACTGGAAACCTGAAAACCAGCTGACTGGTGCGCGCATGCCTGTTTTTTGGCTGTTTTTGGCCATTTTTGGGGCCGTTTTCAGGCCGTTTTTGGTCTGAAAAACGACCCAAAAATGGCCTGAAAACAGCTTGGAAAACAGCCTGAAAATGGTCCAAAAATGCGCCCCCAAATGCCCGGAAAACAGCCTATTTTGGGGGCGTTTTTCAGGCTATTTTCTGGTGCTCCAGTGCCCATGACGACTAGCTGGTCAGCACGCATGACAGCTCGCATGCCCATAGAGAGGGTTCTGCGTGCCACCTCTGGCACATGTGCCATAGGTTCGCCATCACAGCCCTATACCATTTCAGACAAATGGTTGTCCAATCTCTTCTTTAAAAACTTCGGTGTTGGAGCATCCACAGCTTCTGGAAGCAAGTTGTTCCACTGATTAATTGGGCAGAGTAAGACAGCCATGCAGACACCTGGTTTTGGATGCCTAGAATAAGGCAGCAACACTGTGAGGTTGTCTCTCTGAGATGCCAAAATAACTTGATTGGTTTGTATATTGTGCAAGCTGACTTTTTTCTGCTTTTATTAACTGTATACAGAAAAAGAGTAACTGAAATTATGGTGGCCCAGTGGTTAAAGTGCAGTATTATGGGCAAACTCTGCTGACAGCCTGGAGTTCAATCCTAATGAAGCTCTAGGTTGAGTCAGCTTTTCATCCTTCCGAGGTCAGTGAAATGAGAACCCAGATTGTCGGGAGCAATATGCAAATAATGTGACATTGTAAAATAAACCACCCAGAGGGTTCTGTAAAGCATTATGGGGAGATATATAAGCCTAAATGCTAAAGCTGTTGCTATAAAGAAAAAGGAAAAAACTAAAATAAGAAGAAAAAAACAGAGAAAGAGTATATTCACAGATGTACATACATGCATAAAAGTAAAATAAACGTTTCAATCAATGGAAGTTATCATTCGTTATAATCAGCTTACCTAATCTATATAAATAAGCTATTGATTCATACATTGCTGGTAACACTAATTCTATGTTTGATAGCTAGGACAATATCTTTATCTTTCTAATACTGAATAATAAGACTTCTATACCAGCAATGTAATCCATTTTATTTGGCCAGATGTTGAATTCCATGTGATAAGAATACATCTCAAAAGAATTTTTAAAAGGTGTTAAAACTGCAATAGGTTCTTAGTTTGCACCTTTTTCAACAACAACAAATATATATTTATTGGACCTTTATATGGAAATAATAATAATATTTTCAGATTTTGTATTTTTTGAAGTTTATTCCTAACCCATAAAAGTTGACATCTGGAGAAATAAATTGTCTAAAGGGATAATTACATACAGTACCTTACATTAATTCAGTTTTGAGAATCAATGTTTTTGAATTCATATTTTCATATTTCATATTTTTGAAGTTTATTCCTACCAAATGAAAGTTGACAAATTTAGTTCAGCATTCAACACAGTCATTCCTCAGCATTTGGTGAACAAACTAGGCCTATTAGGTTTTAGTACTTCTTTATGTCACTGGATACTTGATTTCCTTATTGATATGCCCCCGTTTGATGAAGTTGGAAGAAAAGTTTCCAATTCCATCTCCCTGAGTACGGATTTCCCACAGGGCTGTGTCTTGAGTCCATTACTGTTCACCTTGATGATTCATGACTGCTGTGCCAAGTCTGCTATGAATCATATTGTGAAGTATGGGGATGACACAGCAGTGGTAGGCCTCATCTGGGACAACAATGAAGATTCTTATAGGGAGGAGGTGAAGGCTTTGGTGGTCCAGTGCAATAAAAATAACTTGGTTTTGAATGTTAGTAAAACAAAAGAGGTCATTTTAGAAAGAGCCAGCATAATTATACTCCACTTTGTATCAAGGCTTCAGCTGTAGATGTGGTCAACAGTTTTAAATAACTGGGGTGCAGATAACTCACAATCTGACTTAGTCTCTTCATACATTATCTTTAGTGAAGCGTGCAAACCAGCATTTGCATTTCCTGCAACGGATGAGAAGAGCACATCTTTCTCCTTCTGTCATGGACACTTTTTACAGAGGCACAACTGAGAGCATTTTAACAAACTGCGTCCCTGTTTGGTTTGGTAGTAGCAATGCCTCAGATAGAAGGTCCATACAGAGAGTGGTAAGGACAGCTGAGAAGATTATAGGAAGCTCACTTCCTGTTATTCAGGATACTGCTTTATAAGCACAATGTGCTTAGAGCTCGAAGCATTGTTAGAGACCCCAGATACCCACTTCACAGTCTGTTTCCGTTGCTCTCCTCTGGGAGGAGGTTTCAAAGTATTTACAGTAGGACTACTAGAGTCTGTAACAGGTTTGTCCCTTATACCATCCATCTTGTAAATTTGCGGGAGTCTTTTTTTTTTTTTTTTGCCATGTATATGTATATATTCAGACTAGACTGATGTTTCTCTGTCAGATATGTGTGTGTATGTGGGTATATACACATGGGATTCAAAAATTTTTGCTACCAGTTCTGTGGGTGTGGCTTATTAGGTGTTGCATGGCTTGGTGGGTGTGGCTTGGTGGGTGTGGCAGGGGAAGGATACTGTAAAATCTCCATTCCCACCCATTATTTTTAATTTATTATATATCTATTGCTGGTCGAGGACCGTAATAAAGTTTTATTCATTCCATTCCCACCCCAGGGCATGGCAGGGGAAGGATACTGTAAAATCTCCATTCCCTCCCCACTCCAGGGGAAGGTTACTACAAAATCCCCATTTCCTCCCAATCAGCTGGGACTCGGGAGGCAGAGAATAGATGGGGGCAGGGCCAGTCAGAGGTGGTATTTACTGGCATTTTAAAAGCATTTTTTCTACAACCTCTTCGGCTGAAATTTAGTAGAGCTTTTGACATGACTTTTTATTATTAGTATTAGTGGCAGCTGTTTCTTCAATTAGTTTCCCTGGTTGCCAAACAACATTGCATCCTATTCACAAGGCCTTAAAAGGGAAAGGTGGCATGATGGGTTGAAGGAACATGTTTGTTTCTGAACTATGACCAGACAAATACACTTTGTCTGTCAAAATCCATCTAAAATGCAGCTCCCAGTTCAGGCTAATTTGATACTTTATGGCCCTAGCAATTATTATTTGATGCACAGTAACCTAGATATGAGGAGTTGAAATTAGGAAGAATCCTATCTTCCTTTCTCCTCGGAGTGCATATTATGCAAACCACCAGATAAATATACACTTTATGTAATCTAAATTTGGATGAAGGTATTAACAATACCTGTTTTCATGGCGTAGAGAAAAAGGGAGTTGTTTCACAAAAGTGTAGGAGTCAGAACATTGAGAATATTATATTTTTGCAATCTCCTGTTGGTAGTTTAGAATGAAAACATTGGTTGACTCATCATATTCTTTGACTATTTTAATTTCAAGGTTAGCCAAAGTGAGAAAAATTGCAGGTCGTCTGTGGGTTTGGGAGGTAGAAAGGGTGATAAATAGCAGTGTAGAATGCTTTTAACTCAGAGGAGAAAAAGTAAAGAAACTTAATTTGTTTAGTAAACTCTCAGGAATATCCCCAAAATAGGTTATTGGCCCCTCTCTACATTTATAACTCTAATTTGAAATTTAGGCAGAAAAATGAACAGTTGTTTTAAGTTCTATGTACTTCAGCAGGAAAAACATCCTTAATGGCCAAAGAAAGAAAAGTCATGGAAAAACTACCGTGTTTCCCCGAAAATAAGACAGGGTCTTATTTTCTTTTGACACCCCCCCCAAATAAGGGCTTGGCCTTATTATTGGGAGGGTCTTATTATTTTTGGGGTGCAGGAGGCAGTAACTGTGGGACTGGATGTCCCATTGCTGCCATTGCCTCCTCTCCTCATTCTTCGCATTGGCCGCTGCTCTGATGTCTCCCGCCACCTCTGCTTCCTTGTGGAGCAGGACTCTGCAAGGCGGCGGCGGTGCGACAAGTCTCACAAAGACTTTTTCTGGCAGGTAGGACATGGGAAAAGTGAGATGTGTCTCCCCTTGCCATCTCTTCTTCCCCCCCCACCAGGCATGACAGGACTCCTGCGCCTCACTTAGCCACCCGCCCCCACCCACCCCTTTTAGGGTGCAATTTGGGGGTGGCAGGTGGGGCGGGCGAGAAGCGTCTCACTTCTCCCCCATCCCACCTGCCACCCCTCTCAATAAAGAGATGGTGGGGAAGGGAAGCAGCCAGGCTGCTGTTGCCATTGGGGTGGGATGTATTGGGCCGCGAGATGCGCGTCTTACCTTTCTAGCACCATCACGTTTCTCGCCTTTCTGTCCAGGGAGACATGTTGTAGAAAAAACTTTCTCGCGAGTTCAAGGAGTTTGGCTGAACTCGGGGGGAGTAGGGCATGTAGTTGGTGGGGGGGGCTTATTTTGCGAAGGTGGCTTATATTATCACATGTCCTGAAAAGCCCAATTGGCCTTATTTTCAGGACATGTCTTATTTTCGGGATATCTGGCAGGATAAGAATTAAGTATTTTTATGCTTTTTTAAATTACAGATTGTTCTCTCTTTTTGATGAATAACACTGCCTTGGAAATGATAGGTTTTGCTGCACTGAAATTTTATAGGACTGTATTGTATTACAAAGCTAGGTTCCCTTTGAAAGCAGTAGAATTTAAACAAAATTACCAATGGTTGGATTATCCTTAACAACATGTGAGGGAAAACATGCTGACCCCTAATAACAATGACTTTACTAGAACAATATTTACAGATCTTGTTTTAATTACTTATTCAAATATTTAACTAGCTACGTTTTTATTTAAACTCTTCTTTGATCTTTGCAGTTTATTCACAGAAGAGAACAAAGAATTTGTCTCAAACAATAGTTCAGTTATCATTCCATTGAATCAACTACAGAAAAACCAAACTTTTTCCATCTCGATCCATGCTGAAAATTACTTGGGTGGAATTCGTTCAGAAGAACTTCATGTTGATCTCAACACCATAGGTAATATATGATTCAGGGGGTTTTTTTTGAAGGAAAACCTATTTCCCCCTCCCACACACACACAGGTTGCAGTTTCCATGAAATTTGTCACTAGTATTTTTATAGTAAAATCTTTTGAAGGAATTTTAGAAGTGACAGTTTAAGACTTGGAAAGTATATTCTTGGACACCCTGATTCCTAATCTGAAGAAAGTTAAACAATATGTATCATAAACAGATGAATCCAATTTTTTTATATATTTACTGTTTAAGTTTTATTGATTTTATTATTTCTTTGTTCAATTGTGAACTGCTCAGAGTTGTTTTTGTGGCATACAAGTTTAATAAATTATGTTGATTTTGAGAGCCAGACATTGCTCATATCAGGAGACAATCTCATTCTGACTTTTTTTAGTTTATATAATGTAGAATTAAAAAGCCAGATGTCACATAAGGATATTTAAATATTCAAATTTGAGTCAAACTGGAAAAGCCCAAAAGACATCGGAAACTTAAAATATAAAACATATAAGTGTTGTTGTTGTAGAACAATTCTCCTCTATACTAGTGTTTCTCTACCTTGAGAAATCTAGAATGTATGGACTTCTATTTTCAGAATTTCCCAGCCAGTATGAAGTCTCCACCCAGAATTCTGGGAGTTAACATCAATCCAATTTGAGCTCCACCTTGGAAAAAGATGCCCAGCTCCTACTTACACTTTTGAATGCCTGGCAAAACCCATGACAAGGTCATAATAAAGGACTTCCTTGGTCTCTAATCTATGTTACAAGTTCCAGAGAGCAATGTTCTCTCCCTACCCAAACATATGGTCCCCAAAACAGTGATAAATGCCAGGCTGCAAGAAGTGAGTATTCATATTTCTTCTACTTTTGTAGTTGCAGCAAAAACTTTTGATGTGGGATTAATTGTCCATCCTGCTCTGTGCAATGACACTGCAATCCTGCTATATGACACGAGCACTCACAAGACAACAATGGCAAAGACTGAAAGAAAATGCCTACTTTTCTGAATGAGTGCCTCTACTGGGCGCTATTTTTTTTCTGTTGAAAGTTGGAAAATTCAGTCAAAGCAAATTTAGGCATTTCCATATGGCAAAGAAATGAAGCAGGAACTGATCACAGTTAAACATTACTCACCCTTCCATATGTGTATGTATGTTCTATAGGTTGTTGGAGTGGAATGCAAGTGGAGCACTTGCATCTCAAATTCAAGAGTAAGAGTATTCTTAGTGTTCTCACCAATAAGTGAGATAAGTTGTACTGCCGTGTATGATGTGAGCTGGAGTGACTTGAACAATTTTAATGAAAAGCAATTCTATCTTCTTCTGTTTCTAAGTATGTGAGGCTGAAGAAAGTTAGGTCATTTCCCTAGTAGTGTTTTTCAATGTTTCCTACAAGCCATCTTTTTGCTAAAATAACCAGAATAAAGCTTTGTATTACTTCATCAATGTCTGTGCAATGGTGTGAAAATTCTATAATTCTCTATTGGTGAAACACCTTAGATTGGAGGGTGTTGTCTGAGCTATAATATTTTTGATATTTTTCTTAACAAGCTATATGAAAGCATTGAGGATTAATTTCTGCCATATCATAGGATCTTTTTGATAGTTGAATTGAAGCTCTATCCACTGATTTTTGTACCAGCAGAAAATTATATGGGCATTAAATTTCCATTGTCAATCTCTGTCCTATGTCAGCATTGGGTTACTGCCACTCATTCCACAGTAATTGAGAAATCTATTTTTGTACACTTTAGATGGATAGAATAAGAGGAACGATTCTGATCTAACAATGGTACAGTTAAGAAGAATGTCTGTACCAATAAGAGAGAATAAGAGAGAATATTGGCAACTCCAAATCTCAACCAACAAATGCTCTGTCTTACACATTGGCAAAAAAAAAATCAGAACACCAAATACAAGCTGGGAGGATATGACCTCATAGATGACCTCTGTCAAGGACCTTGGAGTACTCATCTCAAACAATCTAAGCGCCAGAGCTCACTGTAACAGCATTGCCAAAAAGGCATTAAGAGTTGTCAACCTAATCTTGTGAAACTTCTCCGGTAATATTGTACTGCAAACTAGGGCATACAAAACCTTTGCTAGACCAATTCTCAAATACAGCTCATCTGCCTGGAATCTGCACTGTATATCAGATATTAATACAATTGAGAGACTCCAGAGGTATTTCACAAGAAGAGTACTCTACTCCTCTGCTCACAACAGAATACCTTATGCCACCAAGCTTGAAATTTTAGACTTGGACAACCTAGAACTACTCCGCCTACGGTCTGACCTAAGCATAGTACACAAAATTATCTGCTACAATGTCCTACCTGTCAGTGACTACTTCAGCTTCAACCACAATAATACACGAGCACACAATAGATACAAACTCAAGGTAAACCATTCCAAACTCAATTGCAGAAAATACAACTTCAGTAACAGAGTGGTCAATGCCTGGAATGCACTACCTGACTCTGTTGTTAGATCCCCAAACTCCCATAACTTTAACCTTAGACTGTCTACGGTTGACCTCACCCCATTCCTAAGAGGTCTGTAAGGGGCATACATAAGTGCACCAGCGTGCCTACCATCCCTGTCCTAATATTCCTTTTTACTTACTCTTTTCATGTATTCAGATTATTTTATACTTTTACCTGTTATCTTGTACATGTTTGACAAACTAACTAACTAAATAAATAAATATTTGTAGCTCAGGGTTGAAATGAGGGGTCCTTAGTACTCTCCGAGCTTGCTTGTTTTCTTTCAGATGTTCCGTTACCCTAACTAGGTAATATCATCAGTGCTCTCATTCGTGGATTTGGGGATAAACTGAAGGCAACATTGTAGTTACAAGGCAGAAAAAGACTCTGTCACATAAAATGGTTAAGTGCAATTATGGAAAAACTCATAGTCTTTGGCTTGGATACTTGGACAGGGCAGCTAATTAAATTCAAGTGTCCTATTTTATTTTATTTTAATGTCCCATTGTACTTAGCAAACATTCTTGAATTAGGTTTACTTGGATCATCAATAGCTGTTAAGTGAACTCTCAAAGTAAGAATAAGAATTCTGGATAGTGACAGCATTTTTATAAAATAATCTCCATTTGGAAAGCACAATGGGACTGATACATAAACATTAACAAAACAATGTGTTTATGGAAAATAACTGTACAGCAAAAGATCTAAGAAATGAATTGGTGTAGAAACTATATCTACTGTTATTGTACTTCTTTTGAAGTATAAGAACAATCTTCTAAAATATGCATGTTGGGAAAAATGCTAATAATGTTATTGTTATAAATTCGATGTGCCATTCTTATGTTTCCTTTAGTAATACCAGCTGTACCTGTTGTTGTTCAAAATAAAACACTGGAGTCTCCAGGATTCAAGACAATAATACATTGGAAAAGGCAAACAGCAATCAATGAGACGCATTGTGAGGAGCGATATAAGGAGACAATAAGTGAAACTTGGCATGTGAGACATTGCTTTCCTTCCTTCCTTCTTCTAATTAGCAATGAAGTTTTTTATTGATCATTCCATTTCATAATTCAGTTGGATGACAATAACTTTGTAGGCTCAGTATTTTGGTTTTGTGGTGAAACATTTCCTCTACACACATGGTTCATATTACACATTTCTGTATTTCCCAAAAATGGAGGTTATAGAAACTGTAATCCATCGTGCTTGAAAGATTATCAGGAGGGCAAAGTTGATAAGAATATTTGCCCTATGACCCATTTAGTGAATTACAAGTGATTATTCTTTGATATAGTTCCTGTTATATGGTTTGAAAAGATTTTATATTATAAGAAAGATAAATCCAGGCAGTGTCTCTCATTTTTTTTAATAAATATGTAAGAGGAATACATTTGTTAATACAATTGAAAGAATGCCACACCTATATATTCTTACATTTTCAATACATGCAGTATGCAACTCTTAGATTGGTTGAGTTGCATGCATGGCTTATTCTATGAATGAACCGGCTGATATAGAAAACTGATGGTGCTGGGATGCAGTAGATCTTTCTTTACCCAGCCTGTGATGACTCTTCTTTCTCCAGAAAGTGTATCATCTCCAGAGCAACAAACTAGGAGACATAGGAACACGTTGGGGTCCATAGGCAGAAGCAAGGGGGCAACTGACTAAACAAGTTTCATATCCTGACACTAAGCACACAGCTAACATACTCAGATCTTGGGAACAAATGTAGAAAAAAAGAGTTTGCATGATGTTATCGCTTTTGATGCAACCTCAGTTTGTTATAGATAAGTATGTTTTCCTCCCTCCAGCATGAGCAAAATGTTGCTAGCCACATAGTAGGAAGCAGATATTTATTATCTTCACATTTTATTTTTAGAAAATTAAATATATACATAGCTGTAAATGTAATGGAAAGATTGTTTTGAGCCTTTCCTTTAGCACTACTTTAGTTTAAATTGATGTTCTTTCTCAGATAATCCCAAAACAGAGTGAATAAGCATCATTGCTCCATTAAATTCAGGTACATTATCTTAACAGAAATGTTGAGAGATCCAGTGATGTACATATAGTTTGGGATTGAACTTCAGAAACTTCTGAGTTTCTACTGAGTGTTACTATCCAAACATGGCTTTGAGGCAAAAGTAGGTCCCATTAAATATAATAAACAGGAATATTTCCAAATGCAGCTAAAATAATTTGTATTGCCATCTAAGTCATATACATCTAGAATCTAACATTATCACCCATATTGCTGTTTTTAATATCCTTGTTTTGAGGATGCTAGCCCTGAGAACAGAGGTGGGTTTCAGCAGGTTCTGACCAGTTCTGGAGAACCGGTAGCGGAAATTTTAAATAGTTCGGAGAACTGGTAGTAAAAATTCTGACTGGCCCCGCCCACATCTATTCTCTGCCTCCCGAGTCCCAGCTGATTGGGAGGAAATGGGGATTTTGCAGTAACCTTCCCCTGCCACGCCCACCATGCCACGCCCACCATGCCACGCCCACCAAGCCATGCGATGCCCACCGAGCCACATTCACAGAACCGGTAGTAAAAAAATTTGAAACCTACCACTGCCTAAGAATGCTCCATTTCTGTTTGATTTATTCAATTATCACTGATTTAAAAAAGAAGTTGGCTGTTAGGAAAAGCAGCTACAACAGTAAATCATATTTGAAAATAGAAATCACTTTCCACCATAGATGGAGGCCTTTGGGCTATGTAGGAACCAAAGATTTAGGCTGAGATCAGAAGAGTGCCAAATTGGATTTTACTGTTTCTCTGTTTTAGGTAAGAGACTGGGATGCTAATTTAAGAAATGAACTTAACACCGAGTACAACTTAGATGCATATACAAAGTATGAGTTTCAAATTAGATGCAAACTAACTCACCCCAGAAGCCTGTGGAGCAGATGGAGTGAATCTGCAGTATATATTACTCCAGAGAAAGGTGAGTTTCACTGCTTTTTCTTGAACATCTTTTTCAAGAAAAAAAAAATCCACAGAGAATGGATAAAGAATTAAAGCTGCCATAAATCAATTAATTACAGGTTTCTGAGTATTTTCAGCAAAAAGAAAGACTAGAAAATATATACAGCAAAAGGAAGCTGTCACTCAGGAACTGGAATACTAGATTATATCTTTTTGCTCTTGTTTCCTGTATTATATTCATCAGGTTATATATAACCGTAGCACTGTGGTCTTTATGAATTTGAGATGTTTGTGGAAAATGCATGTATGGAAGATTGATCCTATCATTTTCCAGCCATGTGTGCTGGAAATATTCATTAAAATATTTGCAATCAACAGGTTTGGCCAGTGCTGCTCCTCAGGTAGTAGCAAATCTCTCAGTAACATTTTTTCTTTCTTTCAGCTTTTACAGGTAGTCCTCAATTTATGATCATAATGGAGTTGGAATTTCCATTGTAAGTCATGACGGTCATAAGTTGAGGCACCCACCTAACTGATTTTGCAACCTTTTTTGAGGCAGTTGTTAAGTGAATATTAAGCAAATGTCATTAAGCAAATGTTGGTCATTAAGCAAATGTCACAGTTATTAAGCGAGCACCATGGCCGTTAAGTAAGTGAATGCATTCCTATGGGCGTTTTGTTTTGGTTTTTTTGCGAGAAATCGTCTGAAAAAGCCGATTTCCAGCAACAAAGTTATAAATTGCCATCACATGACACAGTGGAATGCTGCAACCACCATAAAGGTTGCCAAATGCAGGTAACTGTGCAGGAGGCTATGCTACCATCAGAACTCTGTAACTGGATCACAAGTACCTTTTGGGGGACACATTGTTACTTTGAATGGTCACTAAGCAATCATTCAATAAGGGAGGACTACCTGTATATGCAGATACTGTGACAGCCTTTTTCCCATACTGAAATAGCTGGAAATGAAGCCCATTGAAGACAATACTGTCAATCCACTTTTCAGCATTGGCATCCATGCTGGCCAGGTCTTCATTCTAGACAGCAGATTCCACATCTTCCTTATTCCTTATAACCTTGCTGGGGAAAGCAACAACTTATATACTGCTTCATAGTGCTGTAAAGCATAGTGCTTTACAGCCTTCTCTAAACAGTTTACAGAGTCAGCATATTGCCCCCAACAATCTGGGTCCTCATTTGACCAACCTCGGAACTATGGAAGGCTGAGTCAACCTTGAGCCACTGAGAATTGTACTGCCGAACTGCAGGCAGCTGGCACTGTGCTACCACGGCTCTATCAATCACTTCCTTTTACACAGGCAGCCTTTGGGGACATGAACTTTCCATTGGTAGTTCTTTTGCATAAGACTCTTCCTGTTGATTTCCCCATCAATGCTTTCCCATTCCCCCTATCTGCCACTGGACAGGTAAGCATGGTGGCAAGGAAACTTCTACCCTGCTTTTTGCTATAGTGCTTAGGCAGAGGAAATTGGCAGAACCCTCATCAATTTCATCTGGTTAAAAAAATGAAAGGAGGGACCATGCTTTCACAGATTAATTTGTTAAAGAAAAAAGTCTACTTTTTCACCAGTCCTCCACCAAACCCTTTAAAAACAAGTGGAGGGCCAATGTCCAGAGCTTGACTGGTCCACAGTGGGAGTATCCTTTCAGAAGGAGCAGGAAGCCTTCCATAAGAAGGCCATGGAAGATAGCAACCAATGACCAGACAGATGGGGTCTTCTTACCATGGTGTGCAATGGCCAACTGGAAGAGAGATATTTGCTTAGAAAGAAAGGAAGCTCAAACATACAACATGTCTAGAGCGGGCAGAAGTTGTAAAACATTATTTTTGAAATGGGACAAGGAAGAAAGGATGGAGGTTGCCTTTATGTGGGATGGAGACAGGTTGAGGACAATATTTGCTCCTGTCTTTGAGCAGCCATCCTCAAACTGGGATAAGCAAGACATGGGGACCAATCCTTAGTCATTTGATAGAAATAATATGCTTAGTATAATTCATATCAAATTGCAAAAGTTCAAGGTAAGAAACCCTACTCTTTATTTGGTTTTGGTTACCACCTTTAGAGCGCTCCATGGCTTAGGACCTGGTTATTTACAGGACCGCCTACTACCACAAACAGCCTCCCACCGGCCGGTACGCTCTCATAGAGAGGGGCTCCTCCGGGTGCCGTCAGCCAAGCAGTGTCGACTGGCAGCCCCCAGGGGGAGGGCCTTCTCTGTGGGGGCACCCACTATCTGGAACGAGCTCCCCCCGGAGATACGGAGGATCCCAGATCTGCGCACTTTCTGCCATGCTCTTAAGACCCTCTTATTCCAGCAAGCCGGCCTGGCCTAATTTTTCTCCCCTTTCTTTTAAATTTTTTAAACTGAAATTTTAATTTGTTTTAAATTATTGGGATTTTAATTGTCGTGGGCTAAATTATTTAATTTGGTTTTAAATTGTTTCTAACTTTTGTATTTCTGTATTTTATCTTGTGCTTGTTCACCGCCCTGAGTCCTCCGGGATTAGGGCGGTATACAAATTCAATAAAACATAAACAAACAAACATAAACATTTGGTCCTTGCCAGTCCTACTACTGTCAGAATTAGGATAACCTATTCTGCTTTTTGCTCTCATTTCACCTGAGTAGTTAAAACAGCAGTGACTGAGGAGAGGAAATCAATTTTAAAAACTGAGTTGAGCTAACCAGCCAAAAGTTCTACAAATGAAGGAATATTGTTGCCAGTGGGAACTCACTGAGGAATAGGAGAGATTTTTGTAGGCTTAGCAGTAAAATATTGTACGTCCAAGCTTTTTCTGCTGTTTCCCTCCGAAAGTTACCACAAGCCCCATGCTCTAAGGAGAAACTTTCTAACCTCAGTAAGAAATACAACATACAACTCTGGTTAGCACACAGTTTCACTTTTTTTTTTTTGTCAACACCAGATAAAAGTTTAGCACATTACAGGAAGCCATATTATCAGAGAATTAGTGACCCCTGCTGACAGAACTGGGTTCTATGTAAGAAAAAAATATTTTTGTTTTCCCATTCAAGAGTCTTTTAGCACATTTATTTTAGCAAGTCTCCTTTCCCCTTAGTAGCTACATTCTGATCTGAAATTCATCAGGTGAATTCTTTCCCATTGTTGTAATTTCCTATTAAAACTGTCGTTTCCTGAATGCATTAGCTATTGGGAACCCTTATTTGGCAAAGTCAGCTTTGTGATACTTTTTTGTTGTTATACTGTTGTTGTTCTGTTCTCATTGTCAGGAAGAGGGGAGAAATGATATGTTCAAATACTGAAAAAGTTTGCCACTACAGTACTAACACACAACATATTTATATAAAGTTAACTTAGTTTACACCATAGACCTAATTTTCTCTGAATAACACATTAAGAGCCTTGATAGTACAGTGGTTTAGTGCACCCTGTTATTAACACAGCTGCCTGCAATTACTGCTGGTTCGAATCTCTCCAAGGCTCAAGGTTGACTCAGCCTTCCATCCTTTCTAAGGTAGGTGAAATGAGGACCCAGTTTGTGGGGGCAATAAGCTGACTTTGTATAAAATATACAAAAGAATGAAGGCTATTGCTTAACGCATTGTAAGCCGCCCTGAGTCTCCGGAGAAGGGCGGCATATAAATCAAATTAAAAAAAAAAAAAATTGAACCAGAAAGTGATAACAATGAGTTCACATAATGCACTAAATTTAAATGTGATTGACTAGATTGTGATTCCATATGTCTTGTGAATAAGGCCTGCCTTTTATGTTTCAACTGAAAGTGTGAACTTGGGTTGATAAAGCAGCAGCTAATAGCTACTTACTGATCTGTTACATAATTTATCAGTAATTACTAAGGTAAAGGTTCCCCTCGTACATATGTGCTAGTCGTTCCCGACTCTAGGGGGCGGTGCTCATCTCCGTTTCAAAGCCGAAGAGCCAGCACTATCCAAAGACATCTCTTTGGTCATGTGGCCGGCATGACTAAATGCCAAAGGCACACAGAACACTGTTACTTTCCCACCAAAAGTGGTCCCTATTTTACTTGCTTACAAACTGCTAGGTTGGCAGAAGCTGGGACAAGTAACGGGAGCTCACCCCATTACGCACCACTAGGTATTTGAACCGCTGAACTGCTGACCTTTCGATCAACAAGCTCAGTGTCTTAGCCACTGAGCCACCGTGTCCCTGTCCCTGAGTAATTACCCAGTAATTACTGGGTATTAATAATAAGTACTGTCTTACTTATGGGTAGGTAGAAACTCAATTATAGGTAGTTTCCCTCTCCAGCAAACTGGCAGAGAAGTTGTCACTCTCCATATGTAATTGAATTACAACTCCGAGGGAATTCAAACAATGCAGGCTCAGTGAGTGATATTGCAAGATGTGATTCAGCAATGGATACGACCTAACAGACGACCCTCACTCTGTCAAAGACCTTGGAGTGCTCATCTCAAATGATCTAAGTACCAGAGCTCACTGTAACAGCATTGCTAAAAAAGCATTAAGAGTTGTTAGCCTATTCTTGAGTAGTTTCTTCTCCGGTAATATTGAACTGCAAACTAGGGCATACAAAACTTTTGCCAGACCAATTCTCAAATAGAGCTCATCTGTCTGGAACCCGCACTGCATATCAGACATTAATACAATCAGATGAGTCCAGAGATATTTCACAAGAAGAATCCTCCACTCCTGTGCTCGCAACAAAATACCTTATGCCACCAGACTCGAAATGTTGGGCTTAGACAACTTAGAACTTTGCCATCTTCGGTCTGATGTAAGCATAGTACATAAAATAATCTGCTACAATGTCCTACCAGCCAATGAATACTTCAGCTTCAACCAAACAATACAAGAGCACACAATAGATACAAATTCATGGTAAACCGATCCAAACTAGACTGCAGAAAATATCACTTCAGCAACAGAGTGGTCAACGACTTGAATGCACTACCTGACTCTGTGGTTTCTTCCCCAAATCCCCAAAACTTTAACCTTAGACTGTCTACTGTAGACCTCACCCCATTCCTAAGAAGTCTGTAAAAGGCGTGCATAAGCGGACCAGCGTGCCTACCGTCCCTGTCCTAATGTTTTCTTTTATTCGTATCCTTTTCGTGTATTTATAATTATGTTTACACTTGTATCTGTCATAAAATATATGCTTTTTTATTTATTAGCTTCCTACACTGTCTTTCCAAAATCAATGTAGTCTTGTTTTCCATGCTTACTTATCTTTTAAAATCTATTTTTAAAAATAGTTCATTTGCTCCATTAGTATAATTATTCCCCAGTGTAAGAGCAATGCTATAATAGAAGTCATTTTATATATATTTGCCATATGTTTCTCTCCTCTTTTTAAATACAGAACCAGCTGCGGTACTGGATGTATGGAGGAAATTCGGGCCAGTTTATCCCAATAGTACCCAAGAAGTGACTGTCTTGATCAAGGTGATAATAAACACCATTTAAAAATAAAATAAAATAGAGATTATCATTATCAAATAAAAACCAGGCGCCACTGTGGGAGTGTAGGTCAAAAAAGTCAAAATGGCAGATTTGACCACACAGTCAAATCTTTTAAATGTTTGTTGGCCATGCAATGCAGATTAAAAAGGGGTGAAGACTGCTTTATGGATTCCATTTTGAAGCAGACCTGATCAGTTTACCTCAGTGGTTCCAAAGGATTGAGAGAAAAGGGCTGGATTAATAATCTAAACTGTCTGTGGGAAGGGGCACTGGGCGAGGCTATAATTTCTTCTCCTGCTTCTGTGGAAAAACAGTGGAAAACATATCTGGGCCAATGGGCCAGATGAGGGTATAGCTGGTTTTCTCCTAGTTCATCACCTGAGAGAAGGGTGGTTGGGAATAATGCATGGGGTGGAGTTGGATATCTAGTGTCATATGGGCAGATGTCCCACATAGCAGATGCTGAGTGCTAGGCATAATGTGTGGGTGTGTTTATGACATCCTATGTTGCACTAGTATGTGTGAGGGTGTGATGATGTAACCCTTTCACTTGGAGATGGGAGCACACCAGTTGGAGGAACTGGATGAAGGAGAAGGGAAGCAAAGCAAAGATATCGTATCAGGAAAGTGGCATGGAGCAATGCAGCAGAAGTCAGGTGTGGGCTGTTCTTAAAGAAAACACCTATCTATTCTGTATTATTGAAACCTGATTGGATACAAAGGTGAGGGGTTCCCTATTTAGAAATTTGCCCTTCTGGGTTTTGAATGTGGCATCAGATATAACGCTGGGGAAGAGGAGGAAGTGTGGTTGTTGTCATTCAGGAATCTTTGGAAGTTTTTAGGGGTGCTGCATTGGATATGATAGACTGTGAGACCTTGTTTGTGAAATTGGACAATCCATTGGGATTGCTGCTTCTGTACCAACTTTCCTGCTGTGTAGCAGCTTCCCTGCCTATACTTCTCAGCTCTGTGGGAGAGATCAGGTGGAGTTTTCTAGGCTCATGATTCTGAGGCATTTCAACCTGCCTTCTGTGAACCCAGAGACAGAGGCAGCTTGGCAACCATGGACCTCATCCAGATTATTAAGGGCCCTACTCAGAGGTGGGGGGATGGCACACACTAGAGCTGGTCTTCATCTCAGAATTATGGTGTGCTTTGAAGTTGAGTATTGATATCAACTTCTTATCAAGGAGAGATCATGCTATCCTAGCCTTGACATTCTCTGCAGTTAATTCCCACTGCAAGAAGGAAGGACCAATTCAGTTGGTCTGCCCCAGACAATTCATGAACCCAGCTGGATTCCATAGAGACCTTAGATTTATTCCTAAATTCTGTTGCATGGCTAGTCCAAAACCTTAGCTTGGAATGAGCAGGCAATGACAGCCTTGGATCAGATCATTCCTGTTCTGACTCTGCATTTGTGGATTCTTGAATTCCTCCAATTTTCAGAAGGATTCCCTGAGATGAAACAATGCAAGACATGCCTGAAGCACCACTGGAGGAAGACAAAGAATGAATCTGACAGAGCCTAGCTAATAACCTTTATTAGGGCTTACTTTGTGGCAATAAGAGCACTGAAACAGGTGCTCTTATTGTGTAACCAGATAGCTGGCTGGCATCTTCATTTTGAGTAACCAGATTGCTCCTTGAGAAGGAACATCTGCAAAGCCACTGTGAACACTATTCTAAGCATTTAATGGATAAAGTATCTCAGATTTATACCTGCAATTTGATTGGGACAGTTCTATGGAATAGAAGAGTGTAAATATAAATATATAGAAATAAAGTATGATGTACAGTCTTGCTTGGTTATCTAGGGTTCTGAAGAAGTGGACATAGGATGTGGCCACCTGTGTTTTAGATCCAAGTCCCTCCTTGCAGGTAAAGGCCTCCCAGGTAATGGTGAGGTTGGACATAGTGAAGGCTTCTTTGTAGAAGGAAAAGTTCCACCTGCTTTGAAAAAGGTGACTTATCCCAGTGGTAAAATCCAAAAAATTTTGCTACCAGTTCTGTGGGCGTGGCTTGATGGGCGTGGCTTGATGGGCATGTTGTGGCTTAGTGGGTGTGGCAGGGGAAGGATACTGCAAAATCTCCATTCCCACCCCACTCCTGGGGGAAGGATATAGCAAAATCTCCATTCCCACCCCACTCTGGGGCCAGCCAGAGGTGGTATTTGCCAGTTCTCTAAACTACTCAAAATTTCCGCTACCGGTTCTCCAGAACTGTCAGAACCTGCTGGATTTCACCCCTGACTTATCCATATTAAGAAGTTTTTTCTTCTCACTTGATTTTGAGAACATTCCAAACATTTCAAATTTTTTAAAAACCCTACTAAAATTCTGCTTGAAGATACAATTTGAAGAGGTGAAATGGCAGACAGTAAAATACTTAAATGGCTCCCTACTTTTTTGTTTGATTCTGATTAATTCTTCATGAATCCTTTCAAATGCTGTTACCTGGGATGAATGGCATGTCAGGTGTAATTTAGCCTTCCTGAGCAGCTGTTAGTTCAATCACTTTTTCCTTTGGATTTCACATTTCTGCAACTTGTGGAACATTATATGTACAAATAATGAAATATTAGTTTTTGCTGTTCTCTAAAGGCAATTCTGCATTTCTCTAGCCGCTGTCTCCAAAGGAAAGCAGAGGAAAAATTCTGAATTATAGAATATTTTATGAAAAACAAGGAGAGAAGGTGGATTTATGTAAAACAACAGAACTACATTGCAAAGTGATGGTGCCCCCAGCAGTGACCATTATTTATGTGACAGCACACAATTCCAAAGGAAGTTCCAAACCTGCAAATATTTTTGTGAAACAACCGCCTCACAATTACCAAGGTAAGATATCACAAAGCAGGCAATTTTTCAGAAATATTATGTTAGATTCAGTGGTGGGTTTCAAAATTGTTTGCTACTAGTTCTGTGGGTGTGGCTTGGTGGGTGTGGCATGGCTTAGTGGGCGTGGCTTGGTGGGCATGGCAGGTAAAATCTCCATTCCCATCCCACTCCAGGGGAAGGATACTGTAAAATCTCCATTTCCACCCCACTCCAGGGGAAGGATACTGCAAAATCCACATTTCCTCCTGATCAGCTGAGACTTGGGAGGCAGAGAATAGATGGGGCAGGGCCAGTCAGAATTTTTACTACCAGTTCTCCAAACTACTCAAAATTTCCGCTACCGGTTCTCCAGAACTAGTTAGAACCTGCTGAAACCCACCTCTGGTTAGATTAACAAGACACTCAGAGTCCTCTGGAATGGGTGGCCATAATATTTTTTTAAAAACGATATTAAATGGAATGGAATAAAATAACCTATTGGGGACTCCCTAACATTATTCCCACACTTATTTATGTCCCTATTGTAATATATTACTATTTAATATATCACAGGTAATCCCTGACTTAACCATCATAATTGGAACCAGATTTTCCATTGCTAAGTAAGGCAGTTGTCAAATGAATCGCAATTTTGCAATCTTTTTTTTTTTTGCCAAGGTTGTTAAACAGATCACTGCAGTTAAGTCAATATGGTCATTAAGCAAATCAGGTTTCCCCCATTGACTTTGCTTGTCAGAACTGGGAAGTCCACAAATGGTGACTACATGACCCTGGGACACTGCCACAGTCATTAATACATGCCTGTGGCCAAGTGCCCATATTTTGATCACATGACCATGAGGATGCTGCGACGGTCATAAGTGTAAGTCACTTTTTTTCAGTGCCGTTGTAAATGACAATGGCCGCTTATAAATAATTATACATTTTGAATTTTGCCATCTGCAGATTGAAGCTATTAAGTTAATTCAGACAGATTACATCCTTCCACTATGACTATATCTGCAATATACAAGTATGTATATTTATATATACCCAAATTTCAGAGACACCCAGTTGAAAAATATATAATTCCAATGCAGACATAAATATTATAGCAGGAAATTGGGATCTAAAATATATATTTAAAAGATTAGTTTCCTGTCATTGTGATTATTAAAACATTATCTACATAAAAATGTGTCCGCTAAATTTCAGGTCACAGATGAGTTAATACTCATGATACTGCTTTAGAAACATGCCTTTACAGAGCAGCCTATAGTAGTCAGACTGGTATTTTTATCATTTCCGCACTCTAAGAATTACAATTGCATAGCACATGTCTCTCTTGTTTGTCGACTAGTTTTCCTACAATGCCCTCTACAGGTTCAATCTAAATATACCATTCTTAGAAACATTTCAAAAAACAGTTCTTTGTTGGAGTGCTCCTAACAGAAACAATTTTTTTTTGTATTCACCTTTGGATACTGTAGAAAATTCTATCTGTTTGCCTCATTAATTCAGTTATAGACGTTAGGAACATAAATTTTTCTACCCTTTCGACTTAATTATTCAGTTCCCACAGCTTCTGAAAATACAGAACACTCATAAAATTCTATCTCAATGGATGATTTGCATTGGAATATATGAAGCCGCCCTTTACAGTTTTAGGAAGAATGCACAGAGAAATGTTACCACAGAGGATAACACCATGGGAAAGAGTCTCCTCAAACCTATTTCATCTTGTGCATTACAACAGAGAATGAGCAGTCCATCAAGCTGAGCCACAATTTCTTTTAGCCATGGCTTGTGGAATATAGTGTTGCACACAATACATGTATTCCATGTCTTATTTTCTTTCAGGAAATGCTACAGAATGTAGAGTTTTAGTTTTTGGCTTAAAGCATTGTGTGTGAGTGTTTTTTTTTTGGCCTTTGCCTTTAAAAAGGCATTGTGTGATGGGATGTACCTATGAAGTAGAATTGTTGTGATGGACTGTAATAAGGCTGCAAATTCCCAGGAAAGAGAGAGCAGATTCCAAAGAGGGGGGCGAGATAAGAGACAGCAAAGCCCAGAACTGCATCACAGGAAGAGGAAGAGATTGAGGATAGCCACTCCCTACAATTTCCCAGGCCGCGGTGGAGCAGTCCAGGGGTGGGTTCTACTTAGCTTTATTACTGGTTTGCAGCGGGGCCGCACACACGCTCTTCTGCGCAAGCACAGAAGTTTCTGCGCATGCGCAGAAGCGTTTTGATATGTCACGGTTGGTGGGCGGAGCCTCCCACTGGTTTTACTACTGGTTCTATAGAACCGGTGCGAACTGGGGGCAACCCACCACTGGAGCAGTGGTTAGAGTGCAGTATTGCAGGCTCCTTCTGCTGATGGCCAAATGCCTGCAATTTCGCAGTTCGAATCTCACGAGGCTCAAAGTTGACTCTGCCTTCCGTCCTTCCAAGATCGATAAAACAAGGACCCAGATTGTTGGGGGCAATATGCTGACTCTGTAAACCGCTTAGAGAGTGCTGTAAAAGCACTGTGAAGCGGTATATAAGTCTAAGTGCTATTGCTATTGCTACATCTATTAGATTAGGGTAATATAGGTTTAGTCTGGCAAGATGCTGTCTATATGGTATATGCAAATAAAGATCTGAACTTTGTTTTAATGTTGTTATGTCATTTTGGGGCTAGGCCTGACACATTTATCTTGGTCACAACTGATATCACAGCATGTACAAAGAACTATCATAGTAGCTACTAAAATGGGGATGGAAAAATTCCATAATGTCTGAGATGGAAATCAATATATATGGAGGTCACTGCATTACAGAGACGAATCTATAAATTGTTCACTAATTTCATGAGCATTTTTAACTATGTCAGTGCAATCCTTTTGAATTATGTCAATATATAGTTATGGAAATATGCAGTAACAAAACTGATATGCTGACATATAACACCGTCTGTTTTTCCCCGTAGCTTTCCCACCCCCTATTAATATCAAAATATTCACTGATAAACAGAAAGGAATTTTTGTTAAATGGGAACCTCCTAAATCTATTGGAAAAACACTTTTATGGTACATAGTGGAATGGATTTCTGCAAACTTCAGTCATTTTCATCATAGCATTGTTGCATGGAAGAAAGTTCCTTTCCAGAATACATCAACTTCTATTGAAGGTAAGCTACAAGTCAATTATTTTGGTGTCTTCACAATAAATATGAAAGGTGGATACATATATTAGTAAGTACAGGTAGTCCTCAACTTACAACAGTTCATTTAGTGACTGTTCTAAGTTACAATGGCACTGAAAAAAGTGACTTATGACAACTTTTCACACTTATGACCATTGCAACATCCTGATGGTCACGTGATCAGAACCTTGGCCACTGCCTCATAATTATGACAATTACAGTCTCCCAGGGTAATGTATCTTCTTTTTGCGACCTTCTGACAAACAAAGTCAATGGGGAAGCCAGATTCACTTAACAACCACCTTACTAACTTAACGACTGCAGTGATTAACTTAGACTCTGTGGCAAGAAGGGTCATAAAATGAGGCAAAATCCACTGAACAAATGTCTGTTCTGTTAGCAACAGAAATTCTAGGCTTAATTGTGGTTGTAAACTGAGGAATACTTGTACAATATCTAATAACACAAGATTACCTTGGATTTGAAGCAGATCACACCTTTGAAAAAGCATTCTAGATTACTGAGTATTAAAAATATGTATATTTACTAAATATAGATATTTTTAATCCTCAGTAATCTAGAATGCTTTTTCAAAGGTGTGATCTGCTTCAAATCCAAGCAAACCCCGAAATAATAAATTATTGATTTAAAAAATGCTACTAAAATCATAAGAACATCACAGGAATTATGCTGGCTGAGACTGAAAGTCATCATTCATTTCTCACACTAAGTAATCAAATGGAGGATGTGTACAATTGAGTCTTTCCATTCAAGACTCTTAGCAACTGGCATACATGGACATCTGGAGTTAACAGATGGCTGTCATAAGTATTATCATCAATTGTCTTATCCTCCATGAATTTGCCTGCTTCTTGTCTTTTACAGCTACCCAAGTAGTTTGCAGCTATTGTGAGAACCTAGTGAAAAAGAATTATTTAGACCCCACTTGGGTGGGAAGTAAATATACTCATTAAAAGCATTTCCAGAATGGATGTTTCTGTGGTTAATGCTTGTTGCTATTATTGCTCATGTAAAACAGTTAAATCATGGTTTCCTTCTTAGAAAAAGGTTCTGTTGATGATGACGATTCCTTTTAAGAGTATGTGTTAGAACCGAAATTCCATAAAAATTATGTGCTGTTTTAAACTTCACCTTCACAGAAGGCATCAGAATGGCGGAGAACTTCACCATTTCAGTATACGCTGTTTATCAGAAAGGCATCAGTCGAGCCAGCTCCATCCAGAGTGAGTAGAACTCAAGCAGACAGATTGTAAAAGATTAATGATAGTTACTGATATAGAAACTTTCCAGTTACGTTTCGTCCAAACCATAAGTTTCTTTCATCTGGGTATGTAGTCTACAGATTGTGTGTGCATATGAGTTCCTTTGAGTCAATCTTGTCTCTAGATGACTGCCTAGACAAGTCCCTGCAGTTTTCTTAGCAAAATATTTGGAAGTGGTTTGACATTGACTCTGCCCTAAGGATGAGATTGAGTGACTATCCCAAAGTCACCCACTCAGCTTGGTGCCTAAGGGAACACTAGAACTCTCAGTCACCCAGTTTCTAGCTTGCCATAAATAGCTATGCCAAACTGGTTCTCTACAGATGGAACAAACAACGACGCTCATCCAAAGTAGTATTTTATTTCTAAGACTTATCTAGAACAGGGTCTTACCCCAAAAAGTAAGACCTTCAGTTTTGGTCGCCACGATGTAAAAAAGATGTTGAGACTCTAGAAAGAGTGCAGAGAAGAGCAACAAAGATGATTAGGGGACTGGAGGCTAAAACATATGAAGAACGGTTGCAGGAACTGGGTATGTCTAGTTTGATGAAGAGAAGGATTAGGGGAGACATGATAGCAATTTTCCAATATCTCAGGGGTTGCCACAAAAAAGAGGGAATCAAACTATTCTTCAAACCTGAGGGTAGAACAAGAAGCAATGGGTGGAAACTAATCAAAAAGAGAAGCAATTTAGAACCAAGGAGAAATTTCCTGACAGTTAGAACAATTAATAAGTGGAACAACTTGCCTGCAGAAGATGTGAATGCCCCAACACTGGAAATTTTTAAGAAGATGTTGGATAATCATTTGTCTGAAGTAGTGTAGGGTTTCCTGCCTGACCAGGAGGTTGGACTAGAAGACCTCCAATGTCCCTTCCAACTCTGTTAGTCTAAGTTCTAAGTATTTTGCATTCAAAATCTTAATGTTCAATCATGAAAGCACGTGAAACTAAATTCAGGTCCGGTTTTTTTTTTTTTAATGTCATCCAGAAAGCAGGTGTGTGTGTGTGTGTGTGTGTGTATGTGTGTTTGTGTGTGTGTGAAACATTTGTTTTCAACTTCTCAATATTCCATGCTGGATCCCTATTCATGAAGGGATATATAGGTATTGTCAAGAAAGGCAAAAGAGTTAAAAATCCCTGTGCACCACTGAACATATCATCCAATCATGCAACCTAATGAAATACAGATTAGTGGACGCAGACCTAATCTTTCAGTTTTTTGTCCTTTGCTGAGAAGGTGGCAAGTACAGGTAGTCCTCGGCTTACAACGGTTCATTCAGTGACCATTCAGAGTTACAACGGCACTGAAAAAAGTGACTTATGACCATTTTTCACATTTACAACTGCTGCAGCATTCCTTGGATAATATGATCAAAATTCAGATGCTTGGCAGCCAGTTCATACTTATGACCGTTATTGTGTCCCAGGGTCATGTGATCACCTTGTGCAACCTACTGACAACCAAAGTCAATGGGGAAGCCAGATTCACTTAACAACCATGTTATTCACTTATCAACTACAATGATTCGCTTAACAACGGTGGCAAGAAAGGTCATAAAATGGGGCAAAACTCACTTAACAAATGTCTCACTTAACAACAGAAATGTGGGGCTCAATTGTAATCATAAATCGAGGACTATCTGTAGACATCCTATTTTCAGACAATGAAATAGAGAAGAAGAAGAAAGGAATGAAATAGAAATAAAGAAGGAAAAATAAGCAAGGATGTGCAAAATCCAATCATCTTCGCTGCAATAATAAAAAGTTAAAAGCAGCCATTCAGAAGCCATTCATATCTCAGCTCTGGTGATGAAAAGAAACTGATTCTTATAAATAAAGTTAGCAGTTCTGATAAAATCATACATTTACAGTATTTTGGTACTTGTCGAAGATTCTGAAGAGTGAGTGAAAATTCGTTCTCTAGCTCTGCCCACAGAAAAATCATACTGATACTGAAAACACTGTTAAAAAACTGGAAAAAAAAGTATTATGATTCAGAACTCAGTAAAAAGGACATTGTGTGACTTTTGTTTGTAATATCTCTATACTATATTGGGATGACAATAGAATTCTTTTTTTTAATAAAAAAATTATTTTATTTCCAAAGTTAAAATATAAAACCCCAAAAAAGAAAAAACAAAACAATACAAGAAAAACACTAGAAAAAAATGTGCATAAAGACAAAATAACAAAGATACACATAAATGGTCCCCCCTGGTTGAATACTGATAAATATATTTCAACAATAATAGTTCCTCCCTTCCCCCACCCCGGAAAACAGGTCCACAATTTATAAACTTCTATATCTTTATTTGCTAAATTACTATACGGCATTAAAAATATTACAAACATGAAAATCTATCACTCACCCAAATTGCCCTACCATCTATCTACTGTAAAAGAAAGCAGTTGATGGTAATCCCAACAACAAGCTAAACTTCAAAGCCCTCTATTAATGATCTGTTATTGTAATTAACTTGCAGAAACTCCACAAACTTTTAGACTACCATAAATTCACTGCAATCATTATCTCTGAGCCATCCAGGATCAAATATCCTTGATTGATTCTTGACAATAAACTTCTCCTTGAAATTATAACTAGGATCTTCCAGATAGTTACATCTCACTCCCCAAAGCCATAAATCTGAGTTGAGATTATTTCTGCAGCCCTTGTTGTTCAGTAGGTTTTCCCATGAACCGAATCATAGCATCCCCCAAGAGTTGTCTTCTGGCTATATATAATAAGTCTATTCTTCAATCTCTTTCTCCTTTCCTAAGAAGATCCAGTCCATCACCAATCCACTGATTAAATCTTTTAAATGGATGGCCTATTCAGCCTCCCCTACGAAGTTTCCAATTCTCAAACAATTTAACAATTGCAAATCTGATTTAACTGCTATCACCTGTATCTGGGTTTCATCTTTAGATTGATTTAAAACATTTGCTAATTCATCAAATCTTTTTCCTAGATTTTCATCTAGAGCTTATAAAACCTTTTTTTTCCAAAGAAAGTCTTTAACGTTAAGGTCATCTGGCTCCTACCCCTCTTATATATCTCTTTTTGGGAGCATTGTATAAAGTGTATAATATATAATGTTCGGGATCTTTTATTTATTATTGCTTTAACTTTAATATAGTCCCAGTCCCTCTTAATGGACAAACTTCCAGACCAAAATGTAAGCAATTTCTTCCATCACAAAGTGAATGTTCCATCATAAAGTAAGTACAGAAGAAATTGAGATTCCCACAAATAGAAAATAAAGGGGGAAATTCCTATCCTAATATATACTAATCCTAATATCCTAAATTCCTAATATATACAAAAATAGAGTAAAACAACAAAGTTCTTTTAAGAACAAGTGAGATATCAAATCCTTGCAGTAGAAATCCGATGTACTTCAAATTCAATCATTTTCACTACCTAAGGGAAAGTCCGCATGCCGTCTACTGCCATGTGGCAAAAGAGAACGTGTTCTTTAACTCCAAAATGAAAAATTCACTTTTGTAATCTCACAAGGGGTTGTAAGATAAATCAGCATTCAACCAGATGTTTAACATTAAAAATGTAGACCAAAACAAAAGAAAACTTCAAAATAATGTTAAAGTAGAGTCATGCCTAAAAAAAGAAACGATGACTTGAAAAGACGGAAACCAGACCCTCAAGTTATGCTTACTGAGAATCATGATGCATTGAATTCTCTTTCCAGGTACACGGTCATCCATGGGTCATTGTGGGTTACTCCAAGTTATTTACATTCAAATCCAGGGATTGTGCTGCCAAAGAGACGGCTTTGGCAGTAAAGTCAGCTGTTTGTCAGTAGGAGAAAAAAATCACCCCACCGCTCAGTGTGCCATTTTCTGGAGACTCCCGATTGACCATAAAGTTCTGAGGGTTCAAAGGAAAAAAAGAAACATTGGGAAAAATTAAAATGAGGTTCTGTATTCATTTAACACAATTTGCAGCAAAATATGAAACAAAGACTCTTGCCTTGAACCACCAGTGTTTTTCTGATGGGGTTTCATTACTATTATTGGAGAAAAAGGAGCCCAAGAAAAGGACTGCTCAAGGAAGAGACACTTCATGTTGTAATGAAAGAATGAAAAAGATCTTCAAATATCCTCAATAATCACATGTGTCACATACACATAGTACTCACTTAACAACTACAATAGAACCAAACATTTTCATTGAAAGTCATTGCGATTATTATGTGTGTTATGTGAAGATAAGTGCTAGATACTTTTTTAGTGAAGGCTGAACTTTCATTGTACAAAAGCAATCGATATGCCCTTAAAGAAGGAATTATTCTATCCTCTATCATGCTGGATTCTTACATTATGATATACTTGGACTTCTTAAATTAAGCCCTTATAGCAAGCGGAAAACTGATGCTATAGCAGACGTTTTTCCCGAAGTGAAAATATGGTATCTCAATAGGTCCTGTAAGACTGATCAAGGATGGTGAATATTTTACACAGATAAAATCTTGCAGAAATGTGTTTTTGATACTGTTTGTTCATGTGTTCTTGGTAAGATTTTCTGTAACATTTAAAACTTGGTGACAGAATTTCCCTTTTAAAACTCTGTCAATTTAATTTTCATCCTAACACAGCTTTGAACAAAATTTCATTTCAAATTCAGGATGACATTTTAGTCCATTCATATGAAAACGGAGAGAATTGATTATGTTCTTTATAAGGAGCATTTAAAACTTCTTTTTGCTGCTTGGTAGAAGAAATGAAACAGTCAAAAAAATACTCTCTTTTCTGGGTAGAATAATGATTATTATTGTTGTTATACAAGTACTCCTTAAGTGACTTTACTTCAGTGTTGGGTTGCTCCCGGTTCGCACCGGTTTGCAAGAACCGGTAGTAAAAATTTGTAGTAGTTCGGAGAACCGGTAATAACATTGGCTGGCCATGCCCCCGAACCGGTCCCCGGCCCGGTCACTGCTTGCTTACCCCACCCACCTCATCAGAGGCTTTTTTTTTTTTACTTTTAAAGCATTTTTTCTACATTTTTCGGACGAAGAGGTTGTAGGAAAAAAAATGCCTTTAAAAGTCTCTGGCGATCCCAGCTGAGTTGCCTGATCGTCAGAGGCTTTTAAAAGCATTTTTTTCTGCAACCTCTTAAGGTTGTAGAAAAAGTGCTTTTAAAAGTAAAAAAAAAAAGTTGACCACGCCCACCCAGTCACATTAAACCCCCACCAAGCTACGCCCACAAAATAAGCCACACCCACAGAACCGGTAGTAAAAAAATTTAGAACCCACCCCCAGGTCACTTAGTTACAACAGAACCTGAAAATGAGACTTACAACCCGGATTTGAAGTTCCAACATCTGCCTCTCCATGGTTATGTAACCACATTTTGGGTGCTTGGCAACCAGCCTGCATTTATGGCTGTTTGGAATCATGTGATTACGATTTTGATATTTTGCCAGAAACTGGCATTCCCCTGTCACTATTCAACATTGTGGGCTGAATTATAATTGTAAGTCAATTGAAAGTTATTGAACCACACGATGACAAGGTTTATGGAATAACTCAGCATTAATGCTACTTCTAAAGTTCTCTAGGCTTTCCCCAAAAACATGATCAGTAGGAAGTGTGACTGCTGGCTGAATCTTATAGTAGTGTTGTAGGTCCCGCAAGGGAGAGATTTAACTTAGTGACTAAGTAGATGATTTGCATGCAAAATCAATATAATATATTTTATTCTATTAAAAAAAATCTATTCTATATTTGCAAGGCACTTTAAATGAATCATTCTTGTTCTCACATTACAGCAGAATTCATTCATTCTCACTTTCTTATATTTTTTTCTCTTTTCTGGGTAGCATTGATGAAAGAAAAGAAAGAACTTGACATTTCCCAAGAAAGGAGTCTTGCCGTCATCAGGGGTAGGAAAGAATTCTACTAATTGGGGGGGGGGTGTTTGTGAGATTTTCTGTGTGATCAGAAATGTACGGCTTATGCAACATTATGACATTTCAAAGTGGCAAGAAATGTTTATAGCATGCACTGACAATGATTCCAAGAAAATAAAACTTCAGATTGCTTTCAGACATTAAAGACTTAAAGATGTAACCTATGATTACTCACAACTTGGACCCATCTAGATTTCATTCACACACACACACACACACACACATATGGGCACCCCCACTGTTAAATTGTTAGTCATTTACTAAATTCTTCTATAGAAAATGAGTGCACCCAAGCAAGCATGACAAAACGTTCTCAATAAATGCTGACTGGGAGATGGGAAGCAGGGATAGGACATAGGTCAATCCATCAATAGGGAAAACAGATGCCAAGATGCAGAAGATGAACTTGCTAGATTCTAGGTTTTCTCTATCTAAAAAGTATGACAAGAACGGTGCCAACGAGTTTTCGGAAGGAGGAAGGAATCGGAAAAGTTACATTGCAAGAGCACTTTCGAACTGGTGCAAGGAAAAATGTGTGGAGGCTGCCTTTCTGGTGGTCGAGGATGTATTGAAGCAGTGGTGGGATTCAGCCGGTTCGCACCAGTTCAGGCAAACCGGTTGTTAAATTACCTCCCCCCCCAATCAAAGTGGATCCTGGGCGCTGCATTGCAATGGAGAAATGGGCAATGGAGCTGCCGGCACGAGGGAAGGAGAAGGCCGCTTTCCCTCTTTTTTCTCCCTGCTCCTCCTCCTTCCCTTGTGCAGGCTGTTCCGTTTTCCATTTCTCCACTGCAGCGCAGCGCACAGGATCCACTTTGATAGTTGGGGGGGGGATATTTTAACAACCAGTTCACCCAGGGTCAGTTTGGCTGTCACGGGAGCTCATCCCGCATGTGCGGCGGAGTTGGGGATGGGCCATGCCTCCCACGACAGCCAACTTGACCCTGGGTGAACCAGTTGTTAAATTATTTGAATCCCACCACTGGATTGAGAATGACATAATGTGTTCGTGTCTTTAAATGGTTTGTGGAACATCATTCCTCCAAGGCAAGCCAGACATCCAGAGGAGTCTGGGGGTTTTGATTTCCATTTCTGATAGGTCCAAGGGAAATGTAAACTTTGTTAATGGCAAAATGCAAAATAGTAATGTTCTTGTACCACCTGTAAAATTCCCAAAGGTATTCAGTCAAATTCCCCATGCTTTTGAGTAGGACATGTTCACATCCTTGGATGAAGGAAATTATAAAAAGCAAGAACTTCTACCACTGAATGTAATTTAATAAATTACTATCACTATCCTTGGAAACCCATTAGTGACCAAAGTCAAGAAATTCATGAAAAGGAACAAGACAATTTAGTTTTAAAATAGTAATAATAATATTAATAAAACAGGTGTGAGCATAAATATAACTTAAACAAAGAACACTTATTAAAAAATTAAAAGCATAAGAAGTATTAAGACTTTTTTTTAAAAAAAGATTTAAATACAGACAGAACAGGAAACCAAATAAAAACGTGGTTAAATAACAAAGACGAGAAAAGACTCTAATTCGTGAGAGTTTGTACCACAATGGAATCCTTAATCTTTATAGCTCTTTAGCAGGGTTGCTTTCATTGCAACCCAAACATGTATCTCTTCATCTTAGCCTCCTTAAGAAAGATTCCTCAAGAATTTTGCAGTAAAATAACTCAATTATTCCTCAATAACTTTTGGGAATTCTTTTGCATGGTCAACTGAAGTTTCATTGATTTCACTTGGTTTGTTCCAAGCGGTTGCCTTTAGATCCCCTCTATGTAGAGATCCCATTCATAACAGCGCTCTGGGTCATAAAATATTATTGCAACATTTCAAAAAAGACAACCAAAGCATTCAAGGAAATAAGCATGTTTTAATTTTAATAAGTCCTCATAACTACAATTCTACACATAGCTGCTTGGGAGTTCACTGTTCTCCATAATGTCTACTTTGAATAATATTGTTTCAACTGACATAGAACCATAGAAATAAATGGGATGTAATCATTTGAATGAATCTATCCTTAGGGCATTACCAGAAATGACAAATTTCCACATGAAAAGCTATTTAAACCGGCTGCTGATCATTTGATAGCTCTGCTGAGCTCTTGGTCAAAAAATGTTACCACTACAGGAAAAAAAAAAGCCAGAATTCAGCATGCTAGGAAAAAAATCCACTAACTTTATCAATTGATCTACAATGGGCTGTAGATTGCCCAAGCAGATTTGAAGCTACATCTCATGCTTTTTGTTCTCTGTATAAATCTGGGTACAACTTGCTGAGTTTTATTCTTTGTTTAACTGAAAAAATGTTCAGCTGAAATCTTTGGCTTTTAATTAGAAATGTAAGCAGTGTTGCAGTTGAATGGTTTACTGTTTAAAAAGCTGACAAAGAAAATGAAATATGTATCCAACTGCTCTTTACTTGCAGTATTGTCCCTAATCTTCTGTTTCTTATCTGCCAGAAACAGTAGTAAAACTGTTTTAAAACAAAAGGTCTTATTTATCAGAGCAAGGAGAATCTGGCAATTGCCCTCTTCTCCAGCAGATGATAACACTTATCCAGTTTAAAAAAAATCCAGGAGTTGCACTTTCCTGCAACTCATTCAGAATGCATGAATGAAAATTTGTATATTCATCTTTCCCTCTCCCCCCCCCCTTTTCTCTCTCTCAGCCAATGATGATTACGATACTGGGATTCTGTTGGGAACTGGTGTCGGAGTGGCTTTCTTATCAATCTCTGTTTTCACTTTGATTGCAATTAAATCATGCAGGAAAAGGTACCAATTGCTATTTTTCCCAGGCTTTGGTTAATGAAGATTTAGTTTTATTTATTAATCAAATGTATGTAACCACCCATTTCTTGACAGCATAATTTGGGAATGTGCAGTCCCAATACAAGTAGGCCTCAAGTTATGACTGTGACAAAGCCCGCCCATTACAGTTACAAATCGCGACGATCATTAAGGGAGGTACTCACACAATCAATTCAACAATTCCCACCTGCTCTCCTTGATACAGATGTTAAGCAGAGCATAGGGTGCCTCAGTGGTAGAAGAAGTCCTGGGAGATCGAGCATAGGCCTCAGAGAGTGGAGGAGGGCTTGGGAGGCCTGGGGTTCCCTGAAGTATCTCATGCCATGTTTCCCATTTGTTGGGCTCCCCTAAGACTTTGGGCCTACTGCCCACTCCACCACACCTGTAACTTCAAAACTGGTCATAAATAACTTTGGTAGAGTTCATGATAATTTCATTTGGTTGCTAAGTGACCAGTCTGAAGTCAAGAACTGTCTGTATCAGTCTTGATTTCCTTTATTAAAGCATGACAAGGATTATTATTATAAAATTTTGGCACTCCTTTGTCCATAAATTGTTGTTGAAAGTATTAGCACTTGAGCGTTGTTCATAATTGAATGTAATTACAGAGCTTTGTCTCCCAGTGTGAGGGAATGTCTTAAAAGCAGCTTGCAAAACAAGTTGATATAGAAAAGCATCTGAGCTGAAGAACGCTGTTTCAAAAAGAAACCTTTTGCCTCCTAGCACTTCCTCTCATTCCCTTCATATTCTTCCCATCATCTTTGAAGATAAAAAAAATTGGTGAATGGAGAGAGAGGAGTGAAAAAGGACATTCAAGGATAAAAGTTAGCAGCAGTCGTATTGGTTTAATAGCTGCTCAGTAGCTCTTTCCCAACTCTGGTTTAGATCTGCGTGATGACGATCCATATTTGAAGACAAGAGTCTGCAGCCACAATAAGTGTTGACAATTACATTGATATTTCTCTCAGTTAAGCATGTGAATTCTAATCCATCATTTAAAAATGCAAGTTAACATGTTGTGTTTTTGTTTCAAGGGTTAACAAAATGGTTAGATCGATAGCACCAAAATGGCTTTTTGAAGAATATCCTAAGATGCAAAACAGCAAAGTAATCAAATGTCTCCAGGTAATTCTTTGGATTAAAATATTTTTATGTTTAAGAAAACCAGGAAGTACTTAGATATCCATTTCCCCGCTTTCCTTTAGAGCATTATATAAATCCCTCAACTTACAACCATGCATTTAACAATGATTCAAAGTTATGAAGGCCTCAGAAAGAGTGATTTATGGTCTGTACTCACACTTATGACGTTGAATGACCACTACAGTTTTCTGATTACAATTTGGTGCTTTGCAACCAAGTAACGTTTACGAGTGGTTGTAGCCTCCTGTCTTCACGTAATCACAATTTGCAACCGATTTTGCTGATTTATGGCAAACAAAGGCAAAAAATGCCCATTGGTAAGCAGAATTCACTTATCAACCACTGTAAAAATTGCCATAAAATTGGGTCCAACTCAACTTATGACTGCAACAACCTCCTAATTGTGATTATAAGTCAAAACCTATCTATACTCAGAATCCTGTGACGCTGCTAGTACCTCAACAGGTGTTTGCTCCTTCCATGTTCCAACCTTTATGATGTGCCCACAAGAGTGATAGAATATTCAACACTTTCTATATTATTTTTCTGCTTAGGAAAATGATGCTGAGACAGACAATTTTTCCGCGCCATTTTTGGATGTTGTGGTAACTGAAGTTGAAGAAATATTGATGCAGAACCACTATAGGGCTGTGGAGAAAAAAAGGGAAGGAAGCAAAACAGTTTCTGAGAAAGTCAGTAGCTCAGATGATGTACCATTTGCCAGCAATTTGGATGTGACTGTGAGAAATGGGTACAAACCTCAGACTTCTAATAAGGCTCAATTGGGAACTACTTTCAGCATCACCAGTGAAACACCTTTTCAAAACTGGGACACCAAATCAAATTCAATAGTTTCGCCCATAAGTAATTTAAGGAAAGATTATACCAGTCCTGTGGCCCCTGCATGGCCTATTGTTGACCCCAATGAAAATAAGTCTTTATTTGATAAAATCACCCTTATTCTTAGGAATAGTGGAAGTGGGCAAAGCAGGGTCAGCTCAAAAGATGAAGACCCAAGCACCCAAAAGGCACCCCAGTCGAGGTTTCTGCTTTCAGATGAAGATATTCAAGAACAGACTTTAATACCAGATAATCTACTTTCTTGCTTAAAAACAATAAGTGAAGACCGGACCAACATGTCCTATTTCCCTCAAAACGCTATTTACTATGAGGATTGAAGAAAAAGAAAAAGGATATATGTTTTGCACAAAGAACACAAACTCTGCATTTTCAAGCAGCATAACTGAAGGTTCTCCGTTCATTGTTTGAACAAAATTGAAAAAAGTAAGTCGCAGCCACCATTTCAGTTTTCATCTCTCAGGTTAATTCATGTTAAAAACATATAAAAGACAGTTGCTGGAATTGGGTATGTCTAATTTAATGAAAAGGAGGACTAGGGGTGACATGATAGCAGTGTTCCAATATCTAAGGGGCTGCTACAGAGAAGAGGGAATCAAGCTATTCTCCAAAGCACCTGAAGGCAGAATTAGAAACAATGCATGGCAACTAATCAAGGAGAGAAGCAATCTAGAACTAAGGAGAAATTTCCTGACAGAACAATTAATCAGTGGAATGACTTGCCACCAGAAGTTGTAGGTGCTTCATCACTCGAGGCTTTTAAAAAGAGATCAGAGAGCCTGTTTGTCTGAAATTGTATAGGGTTTCTGCCTGAGCAGGGGGTTGGGCTAGAACACCTCCAAAGTCCCTTCCAACTCTGTTATTCTAATTCTAACCTCTAATTCTAATGTTCATATTGTAATTAACATGTACATCGAATTAGGGGAGATCCGAAAGTCAACTGAATAATCTTCTCAGAAGGTAAAATGATTTATAATAAAGTTACTTTACAATTCAAGACTATGAAATGATACCGCGGGTATTTGAAGCCCAACTTCTTACACAAGGAAGTATACAACTGAACTGAAGGATGCATGTACAAGATATACCTCAGGGTCATAATCAATATAAAGGAAGTGGGGGAATCCATTAAAAATCTGACTAAATTCAGATATGTCAGCAACCTGACATACAGTACCTTCTTGGCTCTAAAGTCATCAAAAACCATGCCAAATATCTATCATTTTTAATGGATGACAGGAAGTCGTCTCAAATTTAAAGTTCTGAGGGCCAAAGAAGTTATTTACCACTATTGACTACTATGATGTTTCATTAGCCAGCTAGGTAATATGCGTTCTGAGAGAGCACCTATAACTCCACAGTTCAACCCTGAGCTACAGATATTCTCTGTTATTGGAACTATTCACTAGCAGTGGGAAATAAACTGTTGTGTATCCTTTTATTCTCATCATAAGGACTCTAATCAAGCTGAGCTGCATCTTGCTAAGGCAAACAAGTAGTCAAGCTTAGCCTGAAGTTTAGGAGATGATACATGTTGCTCCTCTGGGCCAATTTGGACTTGCTTGAAAAGCTACTGAGGACTGCTTAAGTGGCTATTTCTTCATTGTGGATGAAAGAGCAAACTGCTCTTATTATCATCCAAGGAATTCTCCTGACCTCAGTGACATGGATCCCTCCCTTCCAACCATCATTGCGCTCCCTCAAAGGATGAGGAGATGCAAAGCGTTTCTGGTATCCAACCATTAAGGAAGCATGTTTGCACCATGCCATAGAAATTTACAGTATGACCGTATGTGGAATAGAGTATGTAATTCTGGGTGCCCAATTGCAAACATTGTACTGAACATCTCAAAAAGTTGGAGGAAAGGAGACTGAGAAAACTTACTGTCCAAATTAGAAAAAATAATAGTTTATGAGAGACATTTTAGAATTTATAGACAGTTATGATGTAGAGAAAATGGACAGAGATGTTGTTGTTATTTTGTCTTATAATACAAAAACCCAGGGATACTGAATGTTGAGGGATATGGAACAGTAAAAGAGCAAAACACATGAAGCATAGTTGGACTATAAATTAACTTTTTCAGAATGTCACGATGGCTACCAACCTAGAGGGCTTTAAAAGGAAATTAAGCAGATTGAGGACATATTGGTGGAGGGCTACTAGATACAATTGCTGTTTCTAGATTTTGAGGTTAAGAGCACTGAATACCAGTTCCTGGATACAACAGTGGAGATACTTCTATATGTGATGGCTTCCCTTTGGAACTTAATCATTTGGAAAAACAACATGCTGGATTACATGGGCATTTATATGATCCAGGAGAGCTCTTTCCTATACATGCTGTAGTAGTATCTGACCCAGTCTTTGTGGTCTTTTAAAAGAAAGCTAGGTATTGATGAAGGAGCTCATTTTGAGAACCCTAAAATGTGTTAAATGCCATTTAACATTAACCTAGAGATATCGTTCCCCTCAGAACAAGTCACCGTCGAAAATTCTCAAAAATATGAATGACTTCCTAGAAATGGAAATACCGGTACTTCAATACCTCTAGAAACTAAAATTAGTAGCTGTTGATGCAGGGAGGAAATAGACAACCGCAACAGCTAGTGGAAATAAAAGTCATAAAGTATTTTTTTGTCATTCTTTTCTTTTTGAAACTTTAAATCCATAAAATAAGAATGTATGTCAGTCTTCTTACAATCCAGGAATGATTTTGTTCTGAAAAGAAATTGTTAATGCCATATACCTTTAGGGAATTTTTTAAAAAGACTAGATAAATTCTCCTTATATCACAAGAAAAAGAGGGTATTTTTATGATTCAATAAAGATTTAAAACACAAGTTGTGTATAATTACTCAAAAATAAGTCCCATTGCTTGGATTCACACATCATGCACACATAAGGCACAGTTTTAACAATATTTCACAGAACAAAACATTGGTTCACATATAATGCATTGCTTTAGAAACCACCATTACAGAGTTCACACATCATGCTCAGGTGAAAACAAGCCCCGGATTTAATATGAGATATTAAAATGGTTTACTGTTGCTTACTATGTATATTTAAATAAATAATCCTCCCTTTTGTGAATTAAACTCCATTTCCAAGTTTCAATTTTATCCTCAACTTCAACTAAGACCCTGATGAAGAGAGTCTATACCACAAATAAATAAATAAATAAATAAATAAATATACATACATACATACATACATACATACATACATACATACATATATAATGTTTTTAACATGCTACAAGCTATTTTTTTCATTTCTCTTGTATAAAATTAATATAGCTACTCCTCTGGAATTTGTTAGAGTTGCCTGTCATATATGGGTTACACAAATCCACATAGTCAATAGATATGACAGCAAAAAAATTAGTGCTCTATCTCATCTTTTGATCATCCAGAATTTTATTTTATATCTTGTTCGTCCAGATTTGGCAATTCTAAAATTTACTCTTCTATAAACCCTTTAATTCTCTGGAACATCTAATACTGTGATGGCGAACCTATGGCACACAAGCAGGTCTTAGGACTTCCTTAATAATGATAGCAGAGATATCCCCAGGGTGACCAATTTCCACAGGATCCAATCAGTGGTGGGTTTCAAAAAAATTTACTACCGGTTCCATGGGTGTGGCTTGGTCGGCGTAGCATGGCTTGGTCGGCGTGACTTGATGGGCGTGGCAGGGGAAGATATTGTAAAATCTCCATTCCTTCCCCACTCCAGGGGAAGGATACTGTAAAATCCCCATTCCCGCCCTGCTCCAGGGGAAGGTTACTGCAAAATCTCCATTTCCTCCCGATCAGCTGGGACTTGGGAGGCAGAGAATAGATGGGGTGGGGCCAGTCAGAACTGACCCCAGTTTCTCAGAACTACTCAAAATTTCTGCTACCGGTTCTCCAGAACTGGTCAGAACCTGCTGAAACCCACCTCTGGATCCAATGCTAGATTCGGTGCAGAAGCTCCCAGCTTAAAGGCCAGGTTTTATTAAAACCTGGCACCATGACTTCATGGCCCTGCTTCTATGGACACAAGACTACAAGACTTGATCTGGTGGCATATAGCTCTGCTATGGGAATTGAATGTCTGAGGCTTTCACAGATAATAATAAAAATAATTTTAAAAGAAAGTTTTGCAATTGTGTGAAGATTCCCACCCACTCAAGTCTCGTATCCTTTACTCAGCAAACAGGTGTGAAAAACAAACAGGTTAGCTCAGAATGAGCCCTGAACTTTTAGTCTTTGAAAGAGAAATCGAAACATGTCACTAAACTCCTCAAAATAACAATGCCACGGTGGCAATAGGTGGGAAAACATAGAATACTGTGATGCCATTTAATAAGAAAAGTTTTGATAGATATTTAGGCATTATTATGGAGAGAGGTGTGGTGGCCTAGTGGTGAAGACCCTCGCCTCCCACTTGGAAAGTTGAAAGCTCAATCCTAGGCAGTGGCAGATGTTTCTAAGGTGCAAAGAGAAAATATCTGCTGCAAACTCTGCATAGGCATTAGGAAGGGCAACCAGCCAGTAAATGCTCAGCTCCATCCAGTCACCTCAATTCTACCCCAAATTAAGGGATTACAGAGTTGTAAAAAAGAAGAGTGTTTTTTTTTTTTAGGCAATGGGATGGTGGAACCAAAATCTGATTTTTGAAAATTTAGGGTAATACATTGTTTTGTTCGTAAATACATAGTCTAACTATGTTACAGGAAAGCAATACAGAAAGTACAATCTTCTGAGAATACTGAATAAACATATTGTGATGTAGCGTGTGAGCATATTTTATGGGAATAGATTGTTCAGTTCTTATTAGTGACCTTTTTTACGAAAATGAAATTGGCAGTGCAAAACCAACGTTCAAGAAAGTTGGAAAAAGAAAACCAAAGGGGAATGGAACTACTTATATAATCACGCGTTCACACAATTTCCATTACGGTTACTAGTACGGGCTGAAATCTTCAGCAGTGATTTCACCCCAGGAAACCTGGGAAGCAGATATATCAGGGCTTAAGCAGGCTGCCCCTCTATCCTGTATATAACTTGCTGCCTACACAGGCTTATGACAAACTATATGTTTTCAATAACTTTCTAAAAACAGGAAAATTACATGTAACAAACGTTTTTTCTTATAAATGTAAGAAACAGAATTTTATTCTTTCATTCTCTCCATTTCCTGTTAAAATTAATAATATGATTGGTTTGCTTATTTGTTTTTCACCATGCATATGACCACAATTGAGCCCAAAATTTATGTTGCTAAGTGAAACATGTGTTAAGTGAGTTTTGGCCCATTTTATGGCCCTTCTTGCCTCTGTTGTTGAGTTAATCATTGCAGTTGTTAAGTTAGCAACATTATTGTTAAGTGAATCTGGTTTCCTCAGATTCTTGTCTTTGCTTGTCAGAAGGTCACAAAAGCTGATCACATGCAACCGACACAAATATGATTCAGTTGCCAAGGTCGGTAAGTGTGAAAAATTGTCATTTTTTTTCAATGCTGTTATAACTTTGAAAAGTCACTGAATGAACTGTTATAAGTTCAGGCCTATCTTTACACCAATTTTTTTTATGATGACATCTTCCAAGGAAAAATATTGTTATATTCAAATAGAAATTTCCTAGATGTTTTTGTCTGGAGGATAAAGGTAGGATTTACTTATTCACCATAGGATTCCCATTGCTCTTTATCTGCCCAAATTGGTGAGAGCGGTATAGGGAAGGGTGAAAAAATTAAATATATTTTTGTCTTGGTGAACAGCACCTATCAAGAAGAAATATACCATTTAACTAGGAAATCTGTAGTCAATAGAAAAGAGATAGTGGGACATTTATTAGGAGCAAATAATATCAGTGAGGATAACTGTTTGGTTTGCACCTGAATGCAACAATTTCCAGTTTCAGATTTTTATACAAAATGAAAACCAGTTATCCCTTAAAATTTGCAAAGCAAACTGTCAATCAAAAATAATAAAATTCTGCACCAGGTATGTCATATTGCATTACATTGGTTATGGATGACCTCAAAGACTATATTTAGAAATTTTTTCTTCTGTATAACATGCTTAGAAAAATCTGCAGAAAAATACAAATTTTAATCAATATTACATTACCAAAACAAGAGAATTAAGATTTTTAGTCAACGGTTACCAAAATAAGAGAATTAAACTTAACAATGCAAAAATGGGAAACTCATTTTTGAGTATTTCAGTCCTCCCTAGAAGCAAAAGCAGAATAAAAGTAAATTTATCATGATTAAAGTGTTGGACTAAGATCAAGGGAGAGCCAACCCCAACTCCACCCTCAGCCAAGGAAAATCACTGTGTGGCCTTAAGGTTGTCATACTCTCAGCTCAGAAGGGAAAGGATGCCTACATATGCCAGCTTTTGCTCCTAGAGGAAAGCCAGGATGTTAATCTAACCAATATAAATAAATAACCAGGATGCCCACATCCTGGAAAGAAGAGCTCATGTTTCGTTGGTGCAAGGTTCCTTTTCTTAGGCATCTGGCAGTCTTTGGTTGAGGAATAGTTATGGATTAATTTAAATCTTGATCAGTTTTAGCAAAGGAATTACTTATATTAATTTGGAGTGTATGTTCTTCTTTGGGTTTTGACTGTTTCTTCACTAACCCATGGGATGGATTGCATTGGTATAAGACTCTTCCCAATGTTGAAATGCATTAAAAATATTCATATTTCAGGGCCTCAAAGTAACCTAGTATATAGCTGGCTTTCTCGAGGGTCTCTAGGAATGAGTGGAGAGTGGTTGAATGGAGACTCAGGGAATACCAGAGTTCTAGAGTGGGAAAACATCCTGGAAAAAGCCAAGGAAAAAGCCAAAATTGTATTGTTGTCAACCCCTGTGTGAATACATTAAAAAGTAGAAGTTTAACTCCAGTTTTAGGGGGCCCTTCATGCATTAAAATCCCTGTGCTGTTAAATTTTCATTCCCACTTTAGTTTTGTGAACCAATCAGGGGTTCAGTGGGAAGAGTCTTGGGAAATGTATTTGTGTGAATATGTGATAAACTGATGAAACTGGCAAATCACGTGACCCTGTTAGTGTTACCTAAATTAAACATGGTGGCACCAAATTCACAAAGCCGTTGGACTGTGGCTGATCCCACAGTAGAAGGTGGAAGTGTCCACCTTCCACAAGATGTAGAAGAGAGTAGCATTTATTCAACCTGTGACACAGCGTCTTCCTTTCTCTTTGCCCCCTCCTACTGCATGCATTACAAACGACCAGACATCCAGCTCTATCCAGCTCTAAGGGCACAGCTGGCACCACCTTCTCCCTAAATATTCTCTCCCATAACTTTTGTTTTGTGTAGGGTTCTGTTTTGATTTGTTTTGTTGAGGGCTGCATTCCCCCTGGGGAATACTCCGGTGGGGGGGGGAGAATTCTGTGTCAGAGAATGGAACAGAAACAATCAGCCAGTAGAATCAACCAGTTCTCATAGCTGGAATAAAGTAAATGATTCTTCAGTGAAAAAAACAAGAAAGCAAAGAGAACGCATAGCTAAGAATTGAGAACTGTTGAACTGGTTGCTGCTTTCTAAATGCCTTTTTTGGTCTGTGATGGTTCTTCATTTCAATTCTGGAAAGACAGGGAGGGGGAAGGGGAGGAGAAGGAGAAGGAGGAGGAGGAGGAGGAGAAGCAAAGTTGAGAACAACTGCTCTGGAGCAACTTGGGCGAAGGGGGAATCGGGAATCTTTTCACCAGGGAAATAAATCTCCGCCTCCAAAAATCGAAGTTTCAGTCAGATCCCATTGCCCCGGACAGAACTATGCTCAACATTTAGGTCTCGACGTTGGCCGTGCTTTCTTCTGCAGGCTGCTTAGTGCTTACCCCAAATACCAGTTTTGGATACTTTTTAAATAATTAGCTGCTAGGAGATATGTACTCTACGTCAGGGGTCTCCAACCTTGGCAACTTTAAGCCTGGCGGACTTCAACTCCCAGAATTCCCCAGCCAGCTGCTGGGGAATTCTGGGAGTTGAAATCCGCCAGGCTTAAAGTTGCCAAGGTTGGAGATCCCTGCTCTACGTAATAGGCTTTTCTTTAATTTTTAAATGCATCATGGCTGGGATAGTTAATGCATTAGCACGCTAATAGGACACGTGAATGTAAGTAATAGTTTGTACTTTATCTTTTATCTATGCGGTATCCATTTCATCCAAAACATTGTTTTTAAATTTCCTGGCCATTGATCAGATTAAATCAATACTGAATTTAATTCTTTAGGCGTCCGCAAAAAGAATGGTGGGGGCGGAGTGCTGCTTCCTTTCTCTCCCCCCCCCTCCCTTTTTCCTTTCTCTCTCTCTCTCTCTTTCTACGAAGCAGCACAGAAGATGCCGGCGGAGTGATGAGCTACGCGTTGCCTGCCTTGGGTGTCCTGCTGCGGGTGAGTTGCCCCGTGGAGCTGAATAGGGAAAGAAAGGGAGAGATTTTCTCGACTCGCTGAGAATTTGGGGAAGACGGGATGGTGGGTTCCTCCCCCCACCCTTCACCCCGGGCGAAACTGCCTGCTCCTGCCCTGGAATCTTTTGCAAGCAGAGCGATCCCATCTACTCACTTCGGTTCCGTTTCTGGGGATCAGATCGACCGAGTGTATGGCTGGAACAGCAGTAGTATTAAAAATAAACAAAGGTGGAAGAACCCCTGAGTAAATGAGGAAAAAAAAAGAAATAGACAAAATATTATCCAGTCTCTGTCTCTTTATATTAACCAGGCTTTGCTAGTTGTTATCATTTTACAGAAAGTGCTACTAAAAGCTGCCCTTCTATTAAAAGTGGCAAAAGGTCAGAAGCCCTCTTATTCTTAAATAAAAACTTGTGAAAGGGCCCCCAGTTAGAATGATAGATAGATGGATGGATGGATAGATAGATAGATAGATAGATAGATAGATAGATAGATAGATGGAATGAATTCTTTATTGGCCAAGTGTGATTGGACGCACAAGGAACTTGTCTTTGGTGCATACTGTCAGTGTACATAAAAAGACAAGATACATTTGTCAAGAATCCGAAGGTACAACACTTATAGTCATAGGGTACAAATAAGCAATCAGGAAAATTAGCAGAGTGATGGCGTTCAGGAAAAAACTGTCCTTGTGTCTAGTTTTCTTGGTGTGCAGTGCTCTATAGCGTAGTTTTGAGGGTAGGAGTTGAAACAATTTATGTCCAGGATTCGAGGGGTCTGTAAATATTTTCACAGCCCTCTTTTTGACTCATGCAGTATACAGGTTCTCAATGGAAGGCAGGTTGGTAGCAATTGGTTTTTCTGGTAATTATCCTCTGAAGTCTGTGTCTGTCTTGTTGGGTTGCAGAACCAAACCAAACAGTTATAGAGGTGCAGATGACAGAGAGAGGCCAGAAGCTCTTTGATAGGCATGCTGCAATTAGTAACTCCTTTCTTGATAGACTTAGCATATATGGGCGCTAGCAAAACTTTTGTCAGAAGATTTCACCTTATTCCTTTAAATGAAATAATAAGATATAAAAATATGGGCTAAGCGATGGTAGATGGACTCACGGTTGCGCAAAAGGCAAAGAGTTTGTGTTTAGGCTTCAGCTTGGAGAGATGTACTGGTAGTACTTAAATCAGTGGCTTCGGTTAGGTATCTGATGTGATGCTTATCAAGTTTCAGATGATTCAAAACTGAAAGGGACAAGTTAGAAGAGATTTTTAAAAATACCTGGACGAAAATACCTGGACAGATTTCAGCAAAAAGGACTGGAATGAATAAGATGGAACTAAAAAGGAGATATGTTCAGTTGCACATCTGGGTGTGGGGGGAAAAACTGAAAGCGACAAGGATAAGATGTGGGAGACCTATCTTGGCAATAGTACATGTGAAAGGAATCTGCGTGTCAAATTAAATATAAGCTAGCAGTGGGATACAGCTACTAAACTGGTAAATGCTATCTTGAGATGCATTAACAGGAATGTAGAGTCCAGATCATGAGGAGGAATTGTTCAATTCCACTCTGCCTTGGAGTTGGGGACTATCTGGAATACTGTTTCCAATTTTGGGCATCACCGTTCTAAAAAGTCAATGACAAAAATGAAGCATGTTGGAGAATAGCTATCAACATGATGAGAAGTCTGGAAACCAAGCTGTATAAAAATGGTTAAACATATACTTATCCTATGGAAGAGATGATTGAATAGTAGCCTCCAAATTTCTGAAAAGCTTGTCCCTCAGAAGAGTAAGCATCTATCTGGCATGCTTTAATTTGAATTTCTGCACCAGGCTGATAATTATAAATGTCTCCTTTCAAGCCTATGATAAACAGGAAAACTAATAAAAAAAGAGCATGGGAGCATATATTTAGGATTGCTTCCCTTGGTGAATTTAACAAGTACAACAAACTATGAAAGTATAATTCCACATGTCCATGTATAACTGCTAGAAGATCAGATAGTACAAATTAGCTGGAACAACATGAAAGAATCATAGAATCTATGAATACTAAAACCAACAGTGTAAACATAAACGGAATCAGTTACGTAACAAAAATAAAGTACTGGTTTGAACAATTGTTCAAGAAGAAACAATGGTGCTCATCTGGCCCGAAGGTGAATCTTCGTGGCTTAACATGTTAAGTTTGTTCTGATTTATAAGCATACCAGAAATCCCCCAACTTTGGTGTGTGTGTGTGTGTGTGTGTGTGTACAACTACACGCTGCCATAGGTAGTGTGTTTAATTCTTCTCTGTTAACTGCTATACCACATGGAAAATAATTTTTGTAAAGAGACAAGTTTTCTTCTTAATATCCTGAACTGATCATTCATCCAGTCTATTCCTTTGACAGATAAAGAAACTGAAATAGCTTTTTGATGTTCTGTTTTGTCATACTTGGGAAATGATCTGAGGAAGTCAGATATTCATCAGATAATCACTTACACCTTCCAAAAGATGGCAAGGGAAATGGTTTCACGGATAACATACTCTGCCACTTAAAAGGAGTGCTCTACCTAGGCAATATAGATTTCTATCTTGTACTTATTTTAATGTTACGCTACATGTTTTCCACATTGACTAACTTATTTACAGTTCATGCACAAACATTTCTGTGAATTTTTTTCAGCACAGAAGGGATTTAAAACATTTATATGACATAGCATAGCATTGGAGGCCCAGAAAATAGCAGTCTGAATAGCTTTATCATTCACCAGGAACAAATCATCCACTGTACGTGGTCCATCAAGATTATGGCATATCAATAAATGTTCAGGACTCAAATCCCCACAGTCACAGCTTCCATCTTCTGTGATATTGTCCATATCTTCAAGTTCTTCTTACATCATGACACCTCTGTTCTCGGTCTTGTCCATGTTTTCCATATTCCATGTGGGAGCTAGTACCCAAGCAAAGGTCCTTCCGTAAAATTGTCCAATTTTTTTTTTAATTTGATTTATATGCCGCCCTTCTCTGAAGACTCAAGGCAGCTTACAATGCGTTAAGCAATAGCCTTCATACTTTTGTATATTTTATACAAAGTCAGCTTATTGCCCCCACAATCTGGGTCCTCATTTTACCTACCTTAGAAAGGATGGAAGGCTGAGTCAACCTTCAGCCTGGTGAGATTTGAACTTGCAGTAATTGCAGGCAGCTGATGTTAATAACAGTGCTTTAGTCTGCTGCGCTACCAGGGCTGCGCTACCAATTTTCACTGTAGTTCGAGTTATTGCCTGCTATTGTATGTTTTTTTGTTACTTTTCCCCCTAAAAGATTGTTTTTCAATTGACTTGTACACCTTAGAGGTTATAGTAAAGGTAGGGAAAAAAATGTGAAGTGATTTATCTTAGTCTGATTTTTATTTTTATTTTTTTGCATCAAAAACACCTGGCATTTTAACAGGAGTGTATAGACTTTTTATAGCCACTGTATGATGGCGAAAGAATGACAAAATGTGAGCCTTTCAGATGTATGTTTGTCAATGGAGGCAAATCCTTGCCCATTTAACACCCCCCCCCAATATCTATAATTTGTTTATACAAGTAATCTAAATTGTTTGAGAAGGTACAGCAGATGTGCCAAGCCAAGCCAAGCCACCAGATTATAACCTGACTTGGTTTGCCACTCCAACTTCTGAAGCTGAACCTCATGTAATCATTTAAAAAATAGATATGCCCCACCTATGATTTATCGATGGCCTCTACAAACCATATTGGTGGCAATCATTGACACCTTCCAGTATTAAGAAACTAGGCGACATAAGCAAGTTCTTTCTTAGGGTGGGGACACAGTCTTTGGTGAGCAGCAGTGATTTAAAAAAAAGATTAGGGTTCACATCACATCCATTTGGGACTGAGATTTTCTAGCTGAGTCAAGTTTATGTATGTATGTATGTATGTATGTATGTATGTATATAAACTATAGGAAATAAACTAGATAGACAGACAGACAGACAAGACAGTTTATTTCCTGCCTTCTACTGGCAGGAAACTAGACAATTTTCAATAATATGGCTCTTGCAGGAGCTTTAAAAAAAAGCATTTTAGGGAGTAACTGGCCTCCGGATCCTTGGTTGCCCATCTTTGGTCTAGAAATGGGGTGTCCAACCTTGGCAACTTTAAAACTTGTGGAAGTCAATTCCCAGAATTCCCCAGCCAGCATGCAACTAGCAACAATTCTTGGTAGTTGAAGTCCATGTGTCTTAAAATTGCCAAGGTTGGTGACCCTTGCACTAGAGTTTGATCACAGGGTTGAATATGACAAACAACACTTTTCTATCTGGTTACAACTATAATTTCCGATTCCTTCCCTCATATTCTTTCAAAGTAAATCTAATAAACCTGATCAGGCTTTTCATCTAATTCTCCTCTCTGTTTCGTTTCAGTCTTCATGAACCCAGAAACAAAACTTGGGAAATATTGCTCATCATTGAAAAAAAAGAAAAAGAAACTAAAGAAATACGTTTCATGACGAGTCACATTAATCATGAAGTATTGTTCCTGAACCGAGGGGTGGGTGGATGGGTAGAGAACAGAGAAGAAAATACAGGGAAAGGCAAGACTCTGAAAGAAAAGACAAACCTTGGATCAAAACCATTTGGTTTCTCGACGGAAGCATCTGCTTCTAGAAGAATATCCACACTTTATCATTCCTATGATTGTTTCTGGTGAACTCCAACTTTTCAGTCCTGTGTGCCAAAAATATGAAAGTGTCTTCCTCCTTAAAGGATTATTCGCTGATTATATGTACTGATTATTAATTAAAAAAAAACAACCCAGGAGTAAAAATTCAGCAGAACATATCAAGATGCTCAACATAGGAAGCTTACCTTTAAAAATGTGTTTTCTAGTATTGTTGGGAGCAGGTGAGTGAGTCCTGGAAATCCAGGACTTTTTTAACCTACATATCTTCAGTAAAGGCAATAATCTAGAAGAGTCACAGGAGGAAAAATATTCCTATCCTATCATATAGTCTTCTGCCAAGTGGGGAGGGTTCTATATGAACAAATAGCTTCATCCAAACTATTGAGTCACTGACCATGTCCTCATTACTTTAAATAAAGAACTGCCTGGGATTAGATCTTGGGGATACAAACAATGGGTAATGTAGATTTGATTAGACAATGTACAATCAGCGGTAGAACTACTGAATCAAGAAAGAGAACTAGAAAGCCTGAACAACAAATTTGGAGGAAGAATTATGATCTGGACTCTCATTTCTTAACTCTGGGAGTCTTAAGTTCATAGATTATTCAACTTCGAAAAAATTTCAGCTTCAGCTTCCGTTGCAGCCAATGCTGCCAAACAAGTCAGCAGATCCCATAATTTCCTCCTGTAATGAAATCTGTATAAACAACACTTCTTTACTTTTATAATTATTTAGGTTTTGAAATTGTTTATTATGAAACATCTTTGTTTTGTTTTTTTATTCTAGGAGTAAACGTTTTGCTATCAGAAGAATGCACGAGTAGACGGTTGAGTAGCATTTTTTTTTCTTGAAAAAATATCAACTTTTTTCCCCATTTTATTGTATTTATTCCATTTCTACAGCTGTCCATCAAAATCAATGACTCTGGGCAGCTTACAATTCAAAAAATATGCCACAGTTAAAACTAAAAAAACATTTTGAAACAATAGAAACAATTTTTTAAAATCCAAAATAAATATATACATCCTTCTGCCCATTAGGCTTTTAAAGTGGCTGAAATGATTAACTAAAAATAGCCACCCTGCAGAATTCCTTTTATGTTAGTTCTAGAGTTGGTTGTGACATCCACTGAGGCAAATGCAGACTCTTTTGTTGACAAAGGGCTTCTTGCATTTTTTCCTCCAGAATTGAAGCCTTGTTTCATTCCAAGGATTTTTACTCTAGTTGTGTCTAGTAAAGAATCGGGATAGGCCCTACAAATTTGCATTATTATTATTATTATTATTATTATTATTATTATTATTATTATTATTCTCATCCTATCTCCTTTCTGGCAGTGCTTGGGTGTTCTAGCAAACCCTCTAGAGCAGGGGTCTCCAACCTTGGTAACTTTAAGGCTTGTGGTCTTCAATTCCTAGAGTTCTTCAGCCAGCAAAGCTGGCTGAGGAACTCTGGAAGTTGAAGTCCACAAGTCTTAAAATTGCCAAAATTGGAGACCCCTGCTCTAGAGGAGGGATTCAACAGATCCTGCCTTGTGTGACATGTAAAAGCTGTGATGTGGCATGCAAAGGAAATGGTAGCGGTTCTGCTATTTTTGGTACACAACATACAACAGTGAGAATATCAGTCAAGAAAGTCCAACTCCAAGCTAAATTGCTTACTTGAAAATCTTTCCCTAAAAGTTCAACCGGCTCCAAATCTATTTCTAAGTTAAAAGAGGAAGCAGAGATAAGAACGACAGCCCTTCCTTCCTCTGCCTCTCCATGTTTCTCTCTCAGTACCCGCAACCCACTACCTCACAGTGTAACTTATTCACCTGTACAACCATTTCAGAGAACCACATGTGATTTCCCTTCAGTAGCTTTAGAAGAGAACACCCAGGAAGTTGCAGCTCATGGGAAAGCAAGCCCATTATTTTGTCTTCTTTCTCTGCTTGCGTAAACACTGGAAACTTGGCTAAGAGGCAATCTGAAGATGGCAGGGCAATGGTAGGAGATTCCTTGGTTTGTCCAACAATATTTTAACAGCTAACCAAAGTAGAGAGAAAATTGGTACTTGATTTTGCAGAAGGTTAAAAAAGAGAAGGCTTCAACTTTGGAGCAGCTTCCTTTAATCAGGTGCTCCTTGTGCTGTATATTTCACTCTGGTAATCCCCAATCGATACAGGTCACTCAGCACAATGGGCCCCAAAGCCCAACAAGGGCCTTTAAATGATTGAGAGAAACCGAGAGCAGAATATTACCTCCCTTCGGGCTGCTGCCTTATACCTGCAGCTTATAACAATATTATGTTCTCCAAATTGGTAGGCCAGAAAACAGATGGAGGGACCTAAAGTATCTATGTGGGATTTCAAAATCTAAACTACTTGTTAAGAGGGGCTGTTCAACTGCCCCCCCCCGAATAATTGGTCCTGCACTTAAAAAGACCCTGAATCCAACATGTTTTTTTGGAGGACACCTGCTGGAAAAAACTATATAGCAGTGATGGCTAACATTTTCTGGACTGAGTGCCCAAAGCACACGCATATGCGCATGAATGCTTGCATGCATGCCCAAACCCCCAAAATGCAATGCGTGCCACGCATGCGCCCCACGCATGCACCCCACTCCCCGTGCATGTGTGAAGACCAGTTGGCTGGTAGGAGGCACGTGCACATGAGCAGCAGAGCTGAACTGGGGTGACGGCTCATGTGCCATCAGACAGGATGCTGTGTGCCACCTCTGACACACATGCCATAAGTTCGCCATCAGGACTATATTGCACTACACTACATTACATTACACTAATGATAGACTTTGAATGTCGCCTCCAGGATCAAGAAGTTTGGAATAAGACCAAAGGTGAGCATTTATGGGAGCCAAGACCATAGATGGGAGCCATGGGGTGTTAACAAAACCAAGATGGCTGACTATGGAGTTGCAGCTGCAGCTGTGATTTTTCTTTTCTTTTTTACTCCTTCTGTGGATGTCCCTGTTATGAGCTGTTTGTTTTGCCATGTTGGGGGAATCCACACAAGCATTTTGTACTGGCACAGGGCAAAACATATGGTGTCCAAAACCCAGTTTAGTTCTGTTGCAAGAAGTTAATATTTGTTTATTAAAAGATTTATATGGCTCCCTTTTTATATAGCCGTAACTCTGGGCGCCTCCCAAAAAAGAAAACCAATAAATACAATAATCATAAAAGAGTAAAATAATAAGACGAAAAATCCTGCACCTTAACTGTCCTTAACTTGTTGAGTTCTTTCCTGCCTTCCAGGGGACACATGCGTGCAAATGGCACGGAGCTGTCATTAAAATCAACGGTGGATCTGTCCTGCTGGCTAAACAAGAGCTTCTACCATAGGCATTGTAACATCGTTTTGTTGCAAAACAACTCCATTATCAGTAGCAGCAGCTCTCCAAATTCTTCAATCAGAACCCAAATTCTACTGAATACTTTTGGGAGGCAGACATTTAATTGCAATTGCAAAGAACCGAGGCCATTGAACATATGTGGAATTTATGTTGATGTTGGAAGTAAGAAGCTTTTTAAAACTTTTGTTAACTATGTACAGAAGAAAATGGGAAGGGAATTTGTTTACTTTTGAAAACATTGTTCTATTATGAATATATGATTTTATGTAGTCAATGAGACATAATGAGATAGAGGGGGTAAATTAATTAATATTAGAATAATAGAAATAACTGAGGAAAGGCAGATTTTGCCTTTCGTGAGATGGGTGCTTTGTTCAATAGTCCATCAGACAAAAAAAGAATTATTGCCTTTCATCAATTTATAGCCTCATAAAAATGCTTATGTGTTATAATCACTCAAAATTTTGAATAGAGGAATGTGCTGTTATCTCTTCCTCTGATTTTTTTCCAATAACTCTTGTTCATCTCGCTGCCAGTCCTATTTCTCTTCGAAATTAGTAACTCCCACCAAGGCTTTGCCTAGGAAAATAAGATACATACTTTCATCTTTCCACTTTTATGCTATAAAGTGTTTGACTTTAACTGGATTATTTAGCAAAATTAGGACTGCAGTGAGAAGAACAAGAGTCACATATGAACATATCAGAGGTGGGTTTCAGAAGGTTCTGACCAGTTCTGGAGAACCGATAGCAGAAATTTTGAGTAGTCAGAGAACTGGTAGTAAAAACTCTGACTGGCCCCACCCACATCTATTCTCTGCCTCCCAAGGCCCAGCTGATGGGGAAGAAATGGGGATTTTGCAGTAACCTTCCTCTGGATTAGGGAGGGAATGGAGATTTTACAGTATCCTTCCCCTGCCACACCCACGAAGCCATGCCCACCAAGTCACGCCCACAGAACCGGTAGTAAACAAATTTGAAACCCACCACTGGAATATATCCATGTTTAGCAGCAGGTACCACCACTGCTTTGTTGCAATGTTCAGCAACCCTCATCAGATCCATATAAGAAAACACACCACAAAACCAAGTTATTTTTTGACAATACTATCTCTTCTGAATTAATGGGGAAAATAGAATGAAATCGTAATAACTTAGGTCTCACTTCCTTGGTGGAATATATGTATTATTAATGTACACATGGCAGGTCTTTCCTCGAAGAGGTTTTGATGCATGGATTCACTGTACGCTGGAATGTTCAAATGCAAACAGACTCTTACCCAATAATTTTTATAAACAACAAAGATTCAAACCAAGAGTCATTTCCTCCTATCTCAGCTGTAGACCACTTTTCTTTTTTAAGTTGCTCCAGATCAACCAAAAAATGTATCATGTGCCCAGTATGGAAAATATGGATCCACCATTTGTTCTTGGGATAAAGGATATCATACCTATCTGCTTACTACCTATACACTATGGTAAGTTCTGTCTCCCTTATAATTAAGTTTACATCTGGCTAATTCTGCTTCATCACTTCATCTGTGTTTCCATTTTCTTATGTACCACCTGGGATGAAATGAGTAGAATTTGAGCTAGCTTTGATCAAAATATTGGTCATGGTTGTCAACCATTAGGGCTTAAATACCCTGACATCCACCTTTGCTCTGCAAGCCTTTTTTGAGGATTTGCTCCCATTATTAGGGTAATTCAAAATATTGTATAGTCTGCGGCAAAGGAGAAGATGGCATAGTCTATCCATGATGAGTTGAACCTTATTTAACTCTACAAAAGGAACAACATCCTTCACCTTAATAGATTGTTCTGAGGTTGGAAGTTACTTTGGATATCCTTCAATAACCAGATCCAGCTGATATTGTTGCTTCCTCTTTAACCTCTGTGGCTTTAAAATCGGTGGCTGTCCCTCAGTTTATCTTTATATTGTGAATAGAAAGTCCAGGAATACACATTCTCTATCTCCCCTTCTCTAATCATCTGCTCCCATCACAAGATTTTCTTGATGGTTGGCAGAATGTAATTGTATCCAATTGTAGATGGATATCATGGCTTATGACAGTGATGGCGAACCTATGGCACACGTGCCCTCTCTGTGGGCACGCAAGCCGTCGCCCCAGCTCAGCTCCGCTGTGCATGCGCCCGTGCCTCCTGCCAGCCAGCTGGTTTTTGGGTCTCTGCCACACATGTGCAGGGGGTGGGGTGCATGTGGGAGGGAAGCACGTGCATGTATGGGGGGCGGGGTACATGCACGGGGATGGGGCATATGCGCAGGGGACACACACACATTGCATTTTGGGGGGTTGGGCACTTGGTCCAGAAAAGGTTAGCCATCTCTTGCTTATGATAACACAACTCCCCTTTTTGGCCCTTTAGTTAAATATCTCTGGGGGCTGTTACAGACTCAGGTTATATCATCTGAAAATTAACAGTTTTTAGATGCACCGGAGGCTTGGGATGGAGACCTTGATATAATAAAAATGCCAATTCTTTTTTGTAATACTGGTTGAAATACCTGATTCACAATCCAGATACAAATCTGAAAGAAATTTTGCCATCATATGGATTTGATTTGGTTTGGTTTCATGATCTATAATGCAAATTTCAAAAAAGTTGTGCAGGATTTTCATTTTTAATTTTGTCATCTTTCTGAGTTTATGATTCTATACTTGGGATTTGGCAGTAGGTCTGAGAGTAGGTATTGGGGTTTTGAGTAATCAGTGGGAAAACTAAACTGAATATTAGGGTAAGTGAAATTAACCAAATTAAGTACCTGAAATATTAGACCGAATGATTAAACTGGATATTATAATAAAAAGTATCGGATTCAAGTCATCTACAAAGAAACAAGTCTTTATGAACTGAACATTTAGGTTATAATTAGGTAATATAATTTCTGTGACTGTCATATAATTTTATATAGATGTAAAATAAATCTAGGCAAGGAAGAAGGAAGAGGAAGGAAAAGGAAGGAAGGAAGGAAGGAAGGAAGGAGAGGGGGAAGGGAAAAGAGAAAGGGAAAGGAAAGGAGGGGGAGGAGGGGGGGGAGGAAAGATAATTCACCCTGTTCATCTCAGTTTCTTTTTTTGTTGCAGGGTAACAAATGAAACCCCCAATGGAACAGTCTTGGGAGAAAAAAATAGCACTACAGTTCAAACAGTAGATCTCAGGAAAAAGCTGGACTTTGAAACTACTTATACAGTTGTGGTTGAAGCCACAAATAAACTTGGGAGCAATTCATCTGAACCAATGCAGTTCACATTAATAGACATTGGTGATTATCAGGAACTCTGATAAATTATTGGAAAGAATATTTTGAGTGATAATTTCTAATCAGTCGGTCAGTTCAACTAAACCAAACCACTCTTGTATCGAAAGTCTTTTTGCTGCCTTTGCTAAATACTGGTAGTACTTTGCAACCCTTGATAAATTGCCTTTGGAGGTGGCTCTTTTGATGGTGTTTAAACCAAAGTGATGTAGAAATGCCTGCAAGTGTTGCATACAGAATACAGACCCCAGGAGGCCAATTGTGATATAGGAGCTAAATAGGACTGCAGTCAGACAGGAGCTAAGTTCAACTCCCCATCTGGGCATTGTGTTATTCATTATCTCTTAGCCCAACCTAACCTATCTTACATGGTAATATTAATTGGGATAAAATGAAGGGAAAATCCCTCATGAGTCTTATTTTGAGTTCCTTGGGTGGGATAAAACTACTAAAAAGTCAAGTTTCTGCTACTGATCTTTAAGCAATAAGAAAGTATAAATCTGTGTGCTTTTCACCCTGACTGCTTTTGGAATTTTTGGACTCAGCTTTTCAAATGCATGCTCCTTGAAGACAAACAATATCAAGTGTGTATGATTTATTTGTGAAGTTGTAAAGATACTTCTTGACTTAGGACCACAATTGGGAACAGAATGTCTGTTCTTGCTAAACAAGATATGTTAAGTGAGTCGCACCCGATTTTACAACTTTTTTGTGCCACCGTCGTTAAGCAAATCACTGTAGTTGTTTAAGTGAATCATCTGGTTGTTAAGTGAATCTGGCTTCCCCCATGGACTTTGCTTGTCAGAAGCCAGCTGGGAAGGTCACAAATGATGATCATATGATCCCAGGATGCTGTAACCATTGTAAAATGCATGCCGATTGCCAAGGGCCCAAATTTTGATCACATGACTTGTGTGGCTGCTGCGATAGTCATTAAGTACTAGGACCAGTTGTAAGTCACTTTTTTTTTCCCAGTGCCGTTGTAACTTTGAACAGTTCCTAAATGAATGTTTGTAAATTGAGGACTATCTGTAAAGTTGTAACAGACAGAGATGATTGGAACAAGGAAATAGATAAACGATTACATAAAGCAATGGGAAAATATGTGACCCTCCCATGTTTATAGACAGTGAATAGCTGAAAATAATTTTCAAGGTGACAAGTAGGTGGTTGTATTGTCCTCATCTCCCACTTATGGCCTTTTCAGAAGCATCTAACATATTACTGCATGTTACAAGATATCAGATTATTAGATAGTCTGGTCTTGAGGATTCTTGTAGGGGTGTTATTAGTATGGCTCAGAATTTTATTTCCAGAAATAATGTTGTGTTTTTGTTCCTGTTGGTGCATCACTGATCATCACAACACAGTGAAGCCTCACCCTCCTGTGGACCTCTCAGTAAGCTGTGATGCCTTTGTTCCCCAAAATTGTACCATCTTATGGCAAGATCAGCAAGAAACACAGTGCTTTAGACTGAGATACCAACCAATCCACAGTAATTCCTGGATTACGGTAGGAATGTTGAAATGAAATGAAATTGCTTTATTACAGTCTCTACAAATAAAGAGAGAAAGTAAGGATATTTTATTTTTTACGATTATGTAAGTCATTATTTTCTATATTACTAATGTGATACCTTAATGATACTCAGATATGTCAGTATTTTCAGTCCCATAGTAAGCATCCAATAGAAGAGAAATCAACGGCATGTTTTATGCAAAATATATCCTGATGTAATAGAAGCAGATTGTTGATTGTCTTCTGGTGCTTTCCACCTAAATCACGTCCCCGGAGGCAAGATTTATAGCAGCATATTGAGTCATCCTTTTGTTCTTACTCAGCTAGGGAGTGTATATCTTTAATACTGCACAGGATTCATAATCTGTCATTAATTTAACACATACTGTACTTCCAAATGCATACTTATTAACCAACATCAGTAGCGTGATCTCTATCAGCTCTTCTGTCTCCTCTGCACATTTTTTTATCATTTGGTGGATGCAAGATGGCATCCAGAATGCTTCTTAGCACCAAAAGAAAGCAAATGGTTCTCCAACTGACCATGAGTGAGCGGATACATCTTACTAAACCATAATATAGTTGAGTTTTGGCTTAACATGGCTTAGGCCCGGGGTACTTGCAGGACCATCTCCAGCCGCTCTCCCACCGTCCTGTGCGCTCTCACAGAGTCGGCCTCCTCAGGGTGCCGTCGGCCAAACAATGTCGGCTGACGGCCCCCAGGAGGAGAGCGTTCTCTGTGGGAGCCCCGACCCTCTGGAATGGATTGCCCACCAAGCTCAGGACAGCCCCCGACCTTCTTTCCTTCCGTCGCGAGCTGAAGACGTGGCTCTTTCATCAACTCAACTGATCTGTTTGGGGGTACACTGTCATAATTTTAAACTGTTTTTAATAGGGTCGCTGATTTTAATTTTATTTCATTGTGATTTGTATTGGAATTTGTCATTTTGTAAGCCGCCTTGAGTCCCCAGGGAGAAAGGCGGCATATAAATCGCAATAATAACAACAACAACAACAACAACAACATGTTTTGTGCATTGAGCCGTTGTGCTCTATAAATAAAGTACAGGATATAGAAACAGGGAGCTTAGAACAGAGGTGAGCAACTCTCCCAGGCATGTTATAATCTTGTTTGGTCCTGATCTTGTGATCTCCAGAAGCTTTCCAGATCATGCTTGCGCAGTTTGCTGGCAAAACATGGTATGGTTTCCCCCCCCCAAAAAAAAGGGAGAAAAGAAGAGGGAGTCAAGCAATTGTCCAAAGCACCTGAGGGCAGGACAAGAAGCAATGGATGGAAACTAATCAAGGAGAGAAGCAACCTAGAACTAAGAAAAAGTTTCCTGATGGTTAGAACAATTAATCAGTAGAAAAACTCCAGAAGTTGTGAATGCTCCAACACTGGAAATTTTTAAGGAGAGATTGGACAACCATTTGTCTGAAATGGTATAGGGCAGTGATGGCTAACCTTTTTGCCATCGCGTGCTAAAAGTGGGGGGAGCAGGGGAGTCACATGCACACGTGCCCACACCCATAATTCAATGCGCCCCACCCCACCGCGCTCCCCTCGCTTTTGGCAGGCAATGGCACGGTGGGCCCTGTACGCCCGTTTTTCGCCCTTCCCAGGTTCCAAGGGCTTTCTTGGAGCCCATGGAAGGTGAAAACAGCCTTCCCCACCCCACCCCCAGAAGCCCTCCGGAGGCCAGAAACGGCCCGTTTGCCGACTTCCGGTGGGCCCAGAAAGCCCAAAAATCAGTTGGCCGGCGCGCGCATGCATGCCATAGGTTCACCATCACGGGTATAGGGTTTCCTGTCTAAGCAGGGGGATGGACTAGAAGACCTCCAAGGTCTATTCTGTCTTGTCCCGTCCTGTCCTGTCCCGTCCCATCCCATCCCATCCCATCCCATCCCATCCCATCCCATTCCATCCCATTCCTGAAAATAGATACATTAAGCTGCTGCAAGGGAAAATGCATTCATCTCTAATCTCAAAGTCATCCAAACCTTGGGGGGGGGAAATAATTAGACCTGTCCAACTGCTGATATCACTGCAACACCAGACTCATGCCCGCATGGTGCTTGGAAGCCAAAATACCAGCGAAGCTGCAAAAAATTCCATGTCTCTTTGCTGGCATGATGTATTGATCCAATTAATGTGGCATCTTCTGGTAACAACAGTTAAGAAAGGCATGATATAGTGCAGGGGTGGGCAACAAGGACAGCCAAGCTGGGAGTTGAAGTCCACAGGTTGTAAAAGGGCCACAGTTGCCCACCCCTGATATAGTGCAATGTCTGAAACCAAACAATGATAAAAATAGTTCTGCAATTCTGCCTTGTCCCATCGGTGAGGTCCTAACAGCCCTAATAATGTTCATTAGTGACAGACAACTTTAAAGCAGCCTCACACATCTGTACAGAGGAGAAACAAGACAGAGATACGTGTTTACAAAATAATGAAGCTTTGGTTCCAGCACGTAATTAGGAACAAATGTGAATGCTTTTGCCGGGTCTGGCTTTTAATTTAGAAGATCCTATGTCTCTCTTGCGGTGCCAACTGGGGCATCTTATAGCACTTACAGGATTGTTGCAGGGTTCTGTTGAGTGTAAATAGAGCTTTTCTGTCTCTCAGTGGAATTGGGATTACCAGAGAAAAACAGCTTTTATTATGTTGTATATGCATGCTTTCATCTCCTTTTCATGCTAGCTTGAAAATCTGAACGCTAGAAGGTACGATCTTCATGACCTGGAGCCCAAGATAAAATATGAATTCCAAGTTTCCTGCAGGCTTCTTCTAGAAAGGGGTTTATGGAGTGACTGGAGCCCAGCATTTCAAACAGAAGCAGGTAGTAAAATAATAACTCCACATGTCTGTTTTGTTATTTTGTTACCGACATAAAAATAAGTCATGGACGGGTGAAATGCTCCCAGTTCGGACCAGATCACCCGATCTGGTAGCGATGGCGGCGAGTGGTTCAGAAACCGGTAGCAAAAATCCCTGCCCCCCCCATGCCCAGCTGAGCCACACGATCATCAGAGGCTTTTTTTTTTTTAAAGCATTTTTTCTACAACCTCTTCGGCTGAAAATTGCTTTTAAAAGTTAAAAAAAAAGGCCTCTGATGATCACACGGCTCACCTGGGATCGTCACAGGCTTTTAAAAGCATTTTTTCTACAACCTCTTCAGCCGAAGAGGTTGTAGAAAAAAATGTTTTTAAAAGGAAAAGAAGCCTCTGACGATCAGACAATTCAGGCCAGGCTATAATGTTATAGGAACTTAGGGAGAAATGAAAAAAATATTCTTAATGTCCTAAAAAACTAAGTGTGGGAGGGAAGGTTTATCAAAAGCACTCTCACAAAATGGCTGCCACAAGCACTTGCTCATCCACAAAATGACGGGGATTGATAGTAGTCAAATTCCATTTTCTAGGACAAATAAGGAAGGTTGCTTTGCTCCACCCCTTCTAGTCGTTTGTGGGTATTTTCTATCCCTTAAAATTAATCTTAAAGCTTTGTTTATTGGCAGACAAACACATTTCCAAATAAACCCTGGTGGTCACTCATTTTTTAAATTAATTTTTCAAGAGTGCCTCTATCATCTATTGCGCTTCAATGACCTATTTGGGGATGAAGATAATGCTTAAGTTGGAACTTTGCTTATATATAAAAAATATATGCTGCTTATGGTTTAGCTGGAATGGCACCAACTTCAACGTCTCATCCAGCATGGCTCCTTCTCTAAACTGAGACTGAGACCACCTGAGACTAATTATGGGTAGTCCTCGACTATATCAGTTCATTTAGTGACTATTCAAAGTTACAATGGCACTGAAAACAGTGACTTATGACCATTTTTCATACTTATGATCTTTGTAGCATCCCCAGGATCATGTGATCAAAATTCAGAAGCTTGGAAACTGGTTCAGAGTGGGTTCTACTTACCTTTACTACCGGTTTGTAGTGGGAGCGTGCATGTGTGCATTTCTGCACATACACAGAAGCTTCTGCGCATGCACAGATCACCCATGATGATGTCGTGGCAGGTGGGCGGTGCCTCCCCCCCGGTTTTACTACCAGTTCTATAGAACCGGACAGAACCTGGAGCAACCCACCACTGAACTGGTTCATAGTTACGACTTACTGTGTCCTGGGGTCATGGATCACCTTTTGCAACCTTCTGACAAGCAAAATCAATGAGGAAGCCAGATTCACTTAAGAACTGTGTTACTAACTTATCAACTGCAGTGATTCACTTAACAACAGTGGCAAGAAAGGTCGTAAAATGGGGCAAAGCTCCCTCAACAAATGTCTTTTTAGCAACATACATTCTGGGCTCAATTGTGGTTGTAAGTCGAGGATTATCTGTATCCCTTATTGCAGATAGGATACTAATATATAAGTAGTTTTCGACTTATGACCACAATTGAGGCCAAAATTTCTGTTACTAAGTAAGACATTTGTTAAGTGAATTTTGCCCCATGTTATGACCTTTCTTACCACAGTTGTTAAGTGAAACACTGCAGTTAAGTTAGTAACACGGTTATTAAGTGAATCTGGCTCCCCCATTGACCTGGCTTGTCAGAAGGTTGCAAAAGGTGATCACATGACCCTGGGACACTGAAACCATCATAAATATGAATCAGTTGCCAAGTGTCTTAATTTTGATCACATGACCATGATGCTGCTGTAAAGGTCGTAAGTGTGAAAAACTGTCATAAATCACTTCTTTTCAATGCTGTTATAACTTTGTATGGTCATTAAAGAAACTGTTGTAAGTTGAGATCTACCTGTAGAAATCAGGAAAAAAAAATAGAAAATAAATTGGGTGGCAGGGCATGTTGATATCTCCCAGCCCTTCCCCTTTTAAAGGTACTAAGAATGATGAAGGCCCACTGACATCATACTTCGAAGAATTTCTATCTATGGTCTGAGTTTTGGTAACTTTGGGGAAATTTCCTAGTTGGTAAGGGTAAATCATTACTTCTTTTATTAGAATGAGTGAATCCTTGACTGCCAAGTATTGATAGCATTCTTCCATTTGTTTTCTGCCAGCTGCCCAACACTTGGCAAAGTTTGCTCCCAAGTTGATATAAACATTACATTCTAAGGACATTTTTCTTGGTTCCCAGTGCCGTTTGAACCTGTTGATGTCTGGTATTTAAAGGAGGAGACCTCTTCCAAAATGCAGAACATTACTCTCTTCTGGAAGGTAAATATTTCTGTACACATCTTATTCTGATTTTAAAAAAGGAAATGGGGAAAGGAGATACGTGCCATCACTGCTGCATTTTCCTGCGCAAAGGTGGAGCCTTGAGAGATGAGGTCAAAAAGTACCTTCTTCGTCTGCCAGAAAGCTACAGAAGACCCATGTTAAGGAATATGCACAGAGTAACCTTTGAGTAGCAAGGTTGTGCACATGAGAAACGGCTGAGAGTGATTGTGAATAAGCACTGTCAATACACAGACACACTGAGTTGTGATATTCTTTTACTTTTAGGAAAAAGTAAAGCAAAGTCCAATAAACAATCCAGGTCATATACAGATAAAGATGGTTAAATTGTCAATCCAGGGATATTCCAAGAACAAAGTCTTCTTACCAGTTGTTGTAGTCATATGCAATAAAACAGTTCTTTTTGGAGTTGCAAACAGGAACAAGTACAGCAGTAAAACAATCAGTAAAAAAGTAGAAAACAACAAGAGCAATGATCAAGCAGTGATCATGCAGAGAGAACAGGCAGATAGGAGCAGAGGTAGCAATAATAATGTAATAAGAAAAAATAAGCCATGATTCAAGCTTCCTCTTAAGTACATTAGCTACAGAGCTAGCCAATCAGAATACAGAATGATGAAATACAGTATTACAGTCTTAAAGCTATACATTACATTTTGACTGCAAGCATGCATTGATGGTTTATATATATTGTCAACCCAACCAGTTAGACAATAGCCATTCCTAACAACCCGCCCCATTCTCTACCTCAGGCACTCTTTGGCCAGCTGTTGAGAAAAATCAAACAGGATACATCTTCATGACAGAGTGAATTTTTGAACCCAATGTCCTTCCGGTTCTAGTCCAGTTACCCTGTATTGGGGCATGGCAGAACACCCTAAACTAATATGGAAAAATGTTTGTTTTTGTTTTTTTACAGTCAGTAAATGTACCAGGAACAATAAGCCAAAACTTTTATTATCAAGTGATATTTCAAAACCTCAACCAGATGCCACCTAGAACTGCAGAAATGAGTGTGACCACCGATACTGTTTTCTCACATGTCTCCCTTAAGGCGGATTATAACATAACACTTAATTCAAAGAATTCACGGGGTGTCTCCCCATCTGTCTACATAACTACAAAATTGGGAATTACAGGTAAGGTACATTTTTTTTCCTACAGAACTTAAACGCTCATCAAGTTAATTGAATATTAGTTATTGGCCTCAGTTGTTGGCCACAGAAAGAATTCCAGAGGTGGATTTTGCTTTGATTCATGCTAAATAGTATGAATTAAAAAGATTCCTTCACCATGTAATGTAGTACAGTAGTACCAACTCAATGGATAATGATAATTCAGTTTAATTTTCTTTTGCATTACCTATTCATGATTTTTTTGGTAGCATGACTTTAGTTCAGTATTACAATCACTGATTACTTATAGTTCCATTGTGGAGTTCCAAATCTTATTCCACTTTACTAACATCTCTATGAGCGTTATTTCCATTTCTAATTTGAATGTCTCCAGAGCTGATGAAGTTGCATTCCAGTTGAGCTGAATAAAACAATTGTTTTTTTTCTTCTTCAAAGAACTGCTACCACCTAACCAGGTCTCTGCCACATCCATGGAGAATGAGAGAATCGTTGTTAAATGGGAAGCACCTTCATCAACACCATCCTCTTTCATCAATGGATATGTAGTTGAATGGGTAGAGATCCCTCAAGACTATCACAGGAACACCTCCCTGACATGGTTTAAAATTCCTGTTTCTAATTGCACAGCGATAAAAGGTAAACCATATCTCAGGAAAACATGTTGCTAACGAGCAAGTGTAGACAAGCAATTACAAACGAGTGTTGCTTTTAAACATTCACACATTTAAGTCCCCATTCAGCATTGCGCACCAAGTCAGTACAACCTTCCCCAACTCAATGTAATAGATCAGGGGTGTCAAACTCAATTTCATCGAGGGCTGCATCAGGGTTGTGTTCAACCTTGGGAGGCCGAGTGGGCATGGCCAGCTCGATGTAGTGGTGGCCCGGGTGGGACTAGGAGGATCCTCCTGCAGCCCTCTGCCAGCGAAAATGGAGTTTGGGAGGGCCGTCTGCGGTCCTCCTGAGCTCCATTTTTGCTGGCAGAGGCACCTCGGGCCAGTCCTTCACTGTTTCTAGGGTGGCCCCACGGACCAGATCTAAGCACCCCACGGGCCATATCTGGCCTGCAGGCCTTAAATTTGACACTCCTGTAATAGATTATATACTGGAATGGATTCCAGGCAATCCTTAATTTACAACAGTTCATTTACTGACTGACAGAAGTTACAACAGCAGTGAAAAAAGTGACTTATGGCTGTTTTTCATACTTAATGACATGTTTACAACCTCTAAAGTCTTTTCCCAAGGCTTCTAATCCACAGATTGATAATTTTACAAGAATGCATGTTGCATCTGATTTGATCATATACTTTAGTTCTGCAAACTTCAGAAAAGAAGAGCTTAGTTTTGCTAATAAATAAAATAATATTTTCTTATTGATAATCAATCCAGCAGAAGCAAGTTTGCATACACTTTTAGCCCTCAAGTCCAAATGTTTCCTAAATTTATCTGAGAGACAGAAAACGTACCTGAAACATGTGGCCTTTAGGATAGAGGACCAAGAAGCAATGATTGGGAAATTATGGGAATTGAAGTCCACAGAGCTTAAAGCCACCAAGATTGAGGGGGGAAAAAATGAACTAAGAAAAAAAATTGTTAGCTTCCAGCAGCACCATTAGATATTGTTGTCTAAATCTAGAATCTAGGATGACCTTATGTCTACACCAACAAATTGATGATTTGCAAACATCGTGTTGAAAAAAATAAAACCACTCTGCTTCTAAAATTGTGAAGCGCTGCAGTCAGCTATGCCTGAAAGACCACTTTCTAATTTCTAGATAATTTAAAGCCCAACGTATGCTACCACATCAGTGTGTTTGCACTCTATCAGGACAGAGCAGGAAAAGCAGCTACGACCACAGAAAATATCTCAGCAAAAGGTAAAAGTAACTGATGGTTTGGTTTAAGGTCTGAGATCATCTAAAACAGAGGTCCCCAACCTGTGGGCTGTGAGGGGTTTGCAACCAGGCCATGGAAACGGTCGGCGAGCACACATGCGCACGAGCGCATTCTCACATGCTCCATTTAAGTGAGCAGCAGAGGTGCGCATGCATGCCACTCACGCAAATGGAGCTGCGCATGCATGTGCGCACTTGTTGACCACTCACGCGGAATCATCCCCTCTCCCCACCTCTCACTGGCCCTGCAAAGCCAGAAATGTTGGGGAACTCTGATCTAAGATAATCAACTTTTTCACAAAGATTTCCTTTGTAGCTCCATTAACAGGACCTCAGATTGTGAATGTAACTGTGGAAGATGGGAGCATTTTGGTCTCCTGGAGAGAAGTTCCAGAACATCAGAAGATGGGGTGTATCATTAGTTATAAGATTTATTTGCAGAAACAATTCTTTTCTGTACCCCCAGATGTCCATGGTAGGTACCTTATAAAAATTAATAACAAGTACAAAATGCATGGGGTACTAAAAAAAGGAGGGGTGGGCAACTTTCAGTCAAGGAATTAACAACTCAGACAAATAAACTAACAGTAAACAATAGCCTAGTCAAGGACCAAGCAAGATCAAGCCTGCCAAAACTGACAGGGCAAGTCACTGGTATAAAAAGAGAGCAAACTCCAATTCCTTCCAGCACTGATGATGTTACCTAGTTGGGTAATGCAGTGCCTGCAAAAAAAGCCTACCAAAGCTCATAGGACACCAGTTCAGTCCTGGGCTAAAAATATTCTCTTCTATCAATAGCTTTCAGTCAGAAATTAAAGGTATTCAGGAAGGAACCTTGTAGGTCTTCTAGTCCAATCCCCCGCCCAAGCAGGAAACCCTACACCATTTCTGACAAATGGCAATCCAGTCGTTTCTTGAAAGCCTCCAGTGATGAAGCTCCAATAATTTCTGAAGGCAAGCTGTTCCATTGGTTGTTTCTTCTCACTGTCAGAAAATTTCTCCTTATTTCTAGGTTGAATCTCTCCTGGATCAGTTTCCGTCCATTATTCCTTGTCTGGCCTTTGGGTGCTTTGGAGAATAGCTTGACCCCTTCTTCTCTGTGGCAGCCCCTCAAATATTGGAACACTGCTAACATGTCTCCCCTGGTCCTTCTCTTCACTAGATTAGCCATGCCAAGTACTTGAAACTGTTCATTGTATGTTTTAGCCTCCAGTCCCCTAATCATCGAGGTTGCTCATCTCTGCACTTTTTCTAGAATCTCAACATCTTTTTTATAGTGTGGTGACCAAAACTGGATCCATTCCTCCGTGCCCAAAGAAATGGACACTGCCTTAAATCACAAAGGCAAAGATATGCAGCTTGATTTGATAAGAGCTCATGTTGTGAAACAATTATTCTTTCACCTTCTTATTTTTCCAATCAGAGATCTCTAATCCAGCCCCACAGCCCTTTTGTATAAAAAACATAGAGGCTGGTGCTTCCTATGTTATTTGGATGACGGCTTCTACAAACGCTGGAGAAAGCCCGAGAGGGAACGAAGAGCTGATCTACATAAAAAGTAATTATAATACGTCACCATTATGAGTAACGGCTGAGGTTTTTTTCCAAACAAATTCATGTTAGGCACATAATCATCTGTCAAAATGTTGGGTGAAATGGTTTGATTTTTAGATAATAAGCTGCAAAAGGTATTAAATTATCTTCTCCAATTGGAAGGTTGGGATTACTATATAGCAGGGGTGGGCAACTGTGTCCCTTTTACAACCTGTGGACTTCAACTCCCAGAATTCCTGAGCCAGCTTGGCTGTCTCAGGAATTCTGGGAGTTGAAGTCCACAGTTTGTAAAAGGGCCACAGTTGCCCACCCCTGCTATATAGGAAAGTATCCAGGGTGGTTGCTTTAATAAACAGCTAGTCCTTGATATACAACCACAATTGGCACCAGTTGTTATGGCTATAAGTTGAGGCACCCATGTGACCAGATCTGGTTTTATATTTTTTTCAGCAGGCTTTAACTGAATGTCACAGTCATTAAGTGTGAACCCATTCTTTCAAATGGGAAACCAGCAAAAAGCAGCCCAAATTGTGCTCATGCAACTGGCCATAATGGTGAGACAGTTACCAAGCGGCCAAAATGTGTTTATGTGGCCATGGGGGTGATGATGTGGTATAACATTTTAGGATGACCAAAAGTGCTTTTTGGGCTGTAAACCATCTGTTCTGAGCCCATCGTAATTTTGAATGGTTGTAAGTTGAAGCTACCTGTTGTAACATATGTGTCTTACGGAGTAATGTGTCATGGATCTCATTCAAAAAAAGTTGTAAGAGACTAAATAAATTAATGTCTTCAAAAAGATATCAGATTTCTAAATTCTGGTTAATCTAAGTTGTAATGTTTTAATACCTGTGCTTTTGTCTTTAATACAACAGGTGGATTTATAGGTGTTTCTGACTGGGTTCCAATTGTAACCATTTGCATTATTAGCACACTTTCAGTCTTCTTTTGCTATATACCAGCTGTTCGGCAAAAGTAAGTGATCCTAATTTTTTTTCTTAGATGATTTTTTTTAATGTTTAATCATGTCTAGTTCTCAGAGACTGCCTGGACAGGTGTGTTCAGTTTTCTTGGCAAGGTTTTTCAAAAGTTTCTTTGTCTTCATTGTCTCCTTCCCAAGGCTGAGGGAAACTGAATGGGCCAGGGTCACCAAGCAATTTTGGACCTAAAGCAGGACTAGAACTCACAATCTCCTGATTTCCGGTTTGATGCCTTAATCCAGTGATGACTAACCTTTTTCTCGTTATGTGCCGAAACTGCGGCACCCATAATGCAATGCGGGGAGCCTGCGCATGTGCGCACAATCCCCGCACATTCCCCCCGCCGCCCCGCACATGCACACGTGACCCCCCCCATGCTCCACCCCCCACACATGCACGCATGAAAGCTGGCACCCATAATGCAATGCAAGGGGGGCCTGTGCATGCGTGCATAACCCCCTATGCTCCCCCCCCGCCCCATTTTGGGCCTATAGCCTCCTAAGCCCAAAAACAGGTCACAGGGGGGTGCCGCACCCTCGTGCTCCTACCGCCCCCCCCATGCACGCCCTGTGCATCCCAAAAATCAGCTGGCCGGCGGGAGGTGCACGCATATGCACAGTGGAACTGAGCTGGGCGACAGCTCGCATGCCCACAGAAAGGGTTCCGTATGCCAGCAGTTCGCCATCACGGCCTTAACCAATACACCAAAGTGTCTTTCTTTAGATCAAGCCTGTCAAACAGATACAGCGATGCAATCAGGTTTGACACCCCTGCTTTAGATGATTAGTGTTTGTTAGCTGTAGAGTGACATAAAATTAGAACACAATAAAAATGGAATTAAATAGGATAATTCACAGGGGAAAGCACTCCCTTGATTGTAAAAATATCCAGAATGAGTTGAGACATGTAGGGCGAAGTTAAGCAGGATGTTTTTTATTTAATTTTAAAAGCATAATACCAACAAGGAGGCTATTAATGGCTGCCTGCGGACCCATAAAAAACCTAAATTCCTCCACAGCAAACACAGTCCGTATCGTGCCTTTCTCAACAACTTCAGATCATTCCTTCAACATGTTCATTCTTCATGATGATTCTGCTCGGTGCTCTACCTTTAACTATACTTTGCCTTGTTGTGTTCCAATGCATCCATACATTTCAGCTCCTTATCTTTAGATATGCATGTACATTCAGCGAGATACCTGACCGGGTTCCATGGATATAGTATTTCATTTTTGGAAGCCAAAGGGGCAGTCTACAAAAAGAGACTGTTTTAAACATGGATGCTCTAATATTATCTTTCTGTCTTTTTAGTTGCTTCTTCCTTTCCTTTATTTTAGCAGCTCCTCTATTGTATGTCTACTACTCCACTAAGAGCCCAAAAGCCAACCAGAAAGGGCTTAGGTCAGGGGTCAGCAACCTGCGGCTCTGGAGCTGCATGTGGCTCTTTCACCCCTCTGCTGCGGCTCCGTCACACAAAATATGCGTCACAACCGCCAATGTGCAACACCTGCTGGTTGAGCTTTTCAACCCCCGGGAGGCCAACCATGGATAAATCCAAGAAGAGAAAAGTTTCAGAAGAAAACAGAATGTTTACTTCAACTACATATGCTAGTTTTGTGGCTGTTCAAAAAGAGTCAGGCACGGGAAGGGTTTTGTGGCTCCAGTGTTTTCTTTTCTGTGGGAAACGGGCCCAAATGGCTCTTTGAATGTTTAAGGTTGCAGACCCCTGGCTTAGGCAAACATACATACTTTGAAGATATGTGGAGAAAGATGCCCATCAAATGCTTATAGAGCGGCCACCTTCTAAAACTTGCTTTTGGAAGCGAGAGAAAAGTAAACAGTAATGAATAATATTTATTCATTTAATTTATATCCCTCCTTTATTGTATTTTTATAAATAAGATGGTGAACAAACAGAATAACAGAGTTGGAAGGGAACTTGGAGGTCTTTTAGTCCAACCCTCAGCTCAAGCAGGAGACCCTATACCATTCTGGATAAATGGCAATCCAATTTCTTCTTAGAAACCTCCAGTGATAAAGCTCCCACAACTTCTGGAGGCAAGCTGTTCCACTGGTTGGTTGTTCTTACAGTCAGAAAATTTCTCCGTAGGTCAGTCCTCTCCTTGGTTAGTTTCCATCCATTGCTTCTTGTCTTGCCCTCAAATGCTTTGGAGAATACCTAATACTTTTTCCTCCTCTTTTCCCCACAATAACAACCCTATAAGATGAGTTGGGCTCAGAAAGAGTGACTGGCTTAAAGCATGTGCAGGATTAGATAGTGCGCACAAAGCCATCGCCTCCCTCCCCCCACCTCGCTGCCACCAATCCGCAGAGCCGGAACCAGGGGTGGGTTCTAAAATTTTTTACTACCGGTTGTGGGTGTGGCTTATTTTGTGGGCGTGGTTTGATGGTCATGTGACAATTCTTTAGGATTTAGTAGAGGTACTGGTCTACCAGGCTTTTAACTGCTTGCAGAATTGTACTGGTCTACTCATTTGTTTTTGGAGGCACCGGTCTACTCATTTGTCCTTGGAGGCACCGGTCTACTCATTTGTTTTCGGAGGCCCCAGTCTACTCATTTGTTCTTGGAGGTACCGGTCTACTCATTTGTTCTTGGAGGCACCGGTCTACCACCACACTGCCTTTTAACACTGATCAGCTGTAGGGTGGCCCTTTGAAGCCCCACGGCAAGAGTTTAAACAGTTTTTTTCCTTCTAGCCGATCAGCTGGGACTTGGGAGGCAGTGAATAGATTGGGGGCAGGGCCAAATAAAAGGTAAAAATAACGCAGTGGCGGGCAGCTCCCGAACAAAGAGAACCGGTTCGGTGATGTCGTATCGTCATCGCTACCGGCTCGGCGGAACCGGGCCGAACTGGGAGGAACCCACCACTGGCCAGAACTATTGGGGACCACTAGACCAGTTGGAACTGGTTCCCACTTTCATAAGACAAAAAAGTCAAATAGCAAATTCCTTGTAGGAATAATAATTGGCAGCTTTCTGCACCTTTATAATAACCCAAATCTGCTATTTTAAGCAGGCCAAATCAGACCGTCACAATTTACAGGGCAGAAACCATCCAACCATCTTTGCAAGCAACAGCTCGCTTATTGGCTGTTTGAGGTTACAACGGCACTGAACAGTGTGACTTTTGACCATTTTTCACACTTATGACCGTTGCAGCATCCCCTTGGTCGTGGGATTTACAATTTGGTTGCACGATCATGTGATTTATTTTTGCAACCTTCTGGCAAGCAAAATCAATGGGGAAGCCAGATTCACTTAACAACCATGTTACTAACTGATCAACTGCAGTGATTCACTTAATAAATGTGGCAAGAAAAGTCGTAAAATGGGAGCAAGACTCACTTAACAAATTTCTCTTAGCAACACAAATTTTGGGCTCAATTGTGTTCATAAATTGAGGACTATATTTATTGTACTCATGCCAGAAGAGTTTCATATAGCTCTGCCTAGTTTAATAATTTCTAGAGATATTTTAACATCCCACAATTGTGGCATTATTATCACTTAAAACTAACGGCTGCATTGTTTTTTGTTTTGTTTTTTTCTCACTAGGATTTTCTCTCTCTTTTCTGCTTTGGTATTTGGTTGGTATCCAGATCCAGCTAACTCTACATGGGCAAAAGAATTCTCTTCTACAGAGGTAGACCAACCTACTTAATAACTCCAACCCAGCTGATTGACTTTTCTCTCTGAATAGAAAAACATCTTCCTTAAATTTGCAGAGAGAGAAAAAAGAGTAAATATAAATAATTTAGCTTCAGTTTTCTAAGATTTCCTCTTATCGAATGTAGATTTTCTGTGATGAAAAACACATGCCAAATTTATTGATGTGACAGTCTCATACGAATCTCAGAATCTGTTAACATTGTGGTGAAAAACCCCCACTTTATACAAGAATTTATGAATGTCAAATTGTGCCGAGCAGTTATATAAAAGTGACATTTGTGCAAAAATGCTTGCTTCTAAAGAGAGGTAGATTTATATTATTATCAAACTCACATTTTCTCTTAATTTCTTCCTTAAGGATGAATCAAGTTCCAATTCTACAGAGTTTTTAAGCCACCCAGTCAGATCTGAAGACCCCGAAACTCTACAAATAAAGGAAATCTTAATTGAAAGACAGGGCTTTACTTTTATGGATGGGCACATATACAAAAATTCTGAGACAGAGGCACTATCTATGAGAACTAGCAACTGCAATTCTTTGACTACCAATATAACAGATAGTACTGGGAACTATCAGTTGCCATCTTTGTACAAGAAACTTATACCTGAAGATCGAAATGAAAGCCAAGTATTTTCTGAGTGCTTGGTTAATCCACTCAAGGATGCCACAGAAGATTACCTGCCAACCATCACACCTGCCATTATGACATCTGAGGAAGACAGCTCTGGATCTGAACTCAATTCGTTGCCTATTTTCCCTATAAGTTCTTTTCGAAGAAATCCAGGTTTTTTGGGTGGAAAACTTACTCTGGATGCTATAAAAATGGACTGTAATTCTTTCACTGAGAACCCTTTTTTAAGAGCAGAGATATAGGGAATGTTGCTCTTAAGCATTATGACTACCTATGCTCTGTGAGGGTTGCTATTCTCATGATACCCCCAAACGCTTCTCATGGGCATTAGATTCTGTTGGGATTTTTATAAAACAAAAGAAAGATAAGCAATTTCATGATTTCAAAAACTGGGCACTAGAGGGGATTAAGTTTTTAAGAAGAGGAAAGATATACAAGGCAGTAAGACTATTGCAAAATTGTTATATCAATGAATCTACAAAGGCGGCTTTTGAAAAATGAATTCAGAAAATGCTAGCTACAATATCGATAATTTCAGTAATTATTTCTGCTTCTATGAATAGATGTCCAAATGTTCTTCAATGTTATTGAAGAAATGACATAGAACAAATTTTATCTGACAAGATAGAAATGGTTTCAAAAGTGGATGTATAACTGACAGACCAAGACAATTACTTTAAAAAATGATGTTTCACTGGATTTATTAAAGAAACTGACTTAAATTTACTTAAACTTAAAATTTAAAAGAGAACTACAAACCAAGGGCGTGACCTGGATGTTTCTTTACTTGATTTATAAAAGAGGCTTATTAAAGCCTTGAAGAACAGTGTGTGATGAGATAAAGAAGAAATAGAGAAAAACAGATCCTATGACAATATTTGAATGAACTAAAGATTAACATGGTTAGAAATAAAAAGGATATCAAATTGTTTTTTGATTAACATTAAAACAAGATACATAGTTAGCATGTATTTTGGGAATTTTTTTTTTTTTTTGGTGACACCAGGACTGAAAAGATGATGTTGCATGGATTTGTTTATAGATAAAGAGGTGGAATTTTGGATGAAGTAATAAATGTTTGTAACCATAATCACTAAATTTGTTTGTGATGAAAGCTGGAAATCGCATACATACATATACATACATACATACACACACACACATTCTTTTGCATTTTTTAACTTTTATTCTCTAAGTTTCGTTTGTATTAGTTTATAGTATTAAAATTCTTAATAAAATGGTATGTGCATAAATTAGGACAGTCAGCAGGCACAGACATGGCAATTGAAAAACAAGGTCTTTGAGAGGTGTAACATGTCATTTGGCTGACTCATTACAGGCATTTTCAGTGGAGAGAATCCAATCCCCCACACTTCACTATTAGGTGAGATCATAGCTCACTGTGTCTGAAACACCAACGGGGCTGATGCAAGTTGCATGTTCTGTAATAAAGACTGGAACCTACCCTTCTAAATCAGCAGCAAAAATCCTGGCCTCGAGAGTACACGGAGTCCTCGACTTACAATAATTCATTTAGTGACTGTTCAAAGCTACAATGGCACTGAAAAAAGTGACTTATGACCGTTTTTCACACTTACCTTTTTATCATCCATATGATCATGTGATCAAAATTCAGATGCTTGGCAACTGACCCATGCTTATGACATTGCTGTGTCCCAAGATCACACGATCACCTTTTGCAACCTCTTGACAAGCAAAAACGACGAGGAAGCCAGTTTCACTTAACAACCGTGTTACTAACTTATCAACTGCGGTAAGAGAGGTCATACAATGGGCAAAATTCACTTAACAAATGTCTCACTTAACAACAGAAATTTTGGGCTCAGTTGTGGTTGTTAAGTTGAGGACTACCTATATTAGCAAAATAAGAGGAATTGAGAGAACCACTATGATCAGCTACAGCAGTTGGTCATAGAACAGGGGTGTCAAGCTGGCAGCCCGCTGACCGGATGTGTTACGCGCAGGCCACGCCCACCCCAGCTCTGCAAAAAACGAGTTTGACACTTGTCGTAGAATGCTTGAAGTTGGAAAAAAACAGAGAGGAAATGAGGAGTTTCTGTGAGAAGCCTTTCCTAAGCTGTGACAAATTTAATACTCTGTAGCAAGGGTCTCCCAACTTTTAAGACTTGTGGACTTCCCAGCAAAGCGGGCTGAGGAATTCTGGGAGTTGAAGTCCACAAGTCTTAAAAGTTGCCAAGGTTGGAGACCCCTTCTCTGTAGGATTGGGAGACAAGACATGGGGCAGAATGGCCAGGAACTGAAGCTGCTGCAGTCGTTCACACAGAAACATGAAGGGTGAGTTCAATAAGCCTTTAAGCCAATCTAACCCATTTTTCCCCTAACCCAATTAAACTAGGTGGCCAGTTAACAAAAGAAACTCGACACTCTGTGTAGTTTGTACATCAGCATTCACATCTGACAATGCAAGCAAATCACAGGATTGAAATGTCTGTGAGGAACTCCTATGGTATCATCAGAGCAGCCAACTCAGGTAAACAGTAGGAAGTACCTGCCCTTAAGGCAGTGTTTCTCAATCTTGGAAGCTTGAAGATGGGTGGACTTCAACTCCCAGAATCCCCCAGCCAGCAGTGCTGGCTGGGGGATTCTGGGAGTTGAAGTCCACCCATCTTCAAGCTTCCAAGATTGAGAAACACTGCCTTAAGGGCAGTCCTGGGCATGAGTGGAATTGCCACAACAAACTTAAGTTTTGAAACACCGCCAAATGATTTTTGTGTGTGAATCCCAAAAACTACAATGCTGCAATGCTTATATTATGTAGCATAAGAGCAATTACAGACCAAAATTTAAAATACACAAAAAATACATCAAAGCAGCTGGAAAAAGAGCATTTTTGTTTCCATACTTACAATACCCATTATATTTCCAGCTTAGGAGATATAAAATTGCAGTCTCCCAACTTATTTTATGTTGATGACAAAATTTGTTCCAATATTTTCTGGAGAAGTGGAGCAGGAGGGTGAAGAGAGGTTATTTGAGCATTAAAATATAACAAAGGTCCTTTTTCATTTTATTTAAAGCACTGGCTTAAAGTGTTTTGGAACTGAATGTCTTTGGTGCTTTCTTTGAAAAAACTCACTCACAGTAGCATCATGGATATGACCAGGAACAAAAGACCAATTTCCCAAAACCTAAAGTAGAAAAATTAAATCAGTTTAAGAGCCCAATACAAAACAGATAAGGAATGAGCTGTAAAATATCTCGACATATTGATGAAGCTTAAACCAAATTTTATATCACTCCCCCCACCCCTAAAATACGATGTTCCTGATGGAGCTGGCTTTGGCGCCTGGCTTCTAGTTTGTCAATGTCACTCACTTTTTAGAAACTATTAAGAGGGACTGACATTTTTTCCCCTCTACAATCGGAAGAGAATACTTGAATTTTCCAAGCACTTCTAATTTAAGGTTCAATTGATAATCAGTGAATTCATTTGAAGAAATAGGAACATCACTTGCTAGAAAGTTTGATCATTTTTAAAAAATAAAATCTCAGTTTGTGCTAGGAAATGGAGCAGAGTTACTGCATTTCTTAGTCAACAACGAAAATATGTGAATTCTCCTGGAACTCCTTCAGCCACTGATAGAATGGGACTCGAGAAACTATTTTAGATCCATCTCATTGGAAGGATTTAAAAGTTGACACTGGGGGAATTATAGTTCACATCCTAATGTTTGATTTAGGGTGATTCTTAGGGACCTTATGATCTGTGAATCCCCTGAACTTTCGAGGTTTGTGGCACCATAAAGGCTAACAAAGTTACTGTGACGTACTTCATAGATTAGTCAACTTCACCAGTTTGATGGAATGCAAGCCCTCAGACATTTTACTTTACACCAAAGCACAAAGCAGTTTCAAATCCTTTTCCAGGATGCAAGTATTCCCTATGCAATATTAAGAGTAAACCTAAATGTAATCTAAACAAAACATTCTCCATCATTTGAAAGGCAAGTTCACCCTATCTTGCTGCCTTGACTTGTGTTTAGCTTCATACAAGTCTGGAGATCAAATGCCCAAGTTATGGCAGTGGCAGAGAACTACACGCCTAACTGCACACATTCCTTAGTATGTTTGACACTGCCACTCTCTACCTTCAGAAAACGGGTGGAACTTCAGCTGGTCCAGAATTTCGTTCTAATTATAAACTTTAAAATGAAATCCAAGTTGAGTTCAACTCTTGGTGACTTGAAGGACTCCTGAAATTGTCTTGGTAATAGTAGCAGCAGCTGTTACGCTGCTGGCTTTTGTTGAACTTCCAAATCTAGTCTACAGCTAGATCTGCAGGTCTCCTATCCAAGTACTAAACGGATCCAACCCTGCAAGGCTTCCTATTGGAGATTGATCAGCTGTTGCCACCTGCAGCAACATCATTTACAGAACCCTAGGATTTAAATCAGTGGATCTAGAATGCTTTCCCAGTGGAAATTGTCAGAATTTTCACGTCTGTTCTTCCAATATCTGATCATTCGGTGAAACGGCATAGCATTTTTAATTGCTGCTTCTCAGAGTCCAAGACCCAGTCAGCTGCCTTTATTTACACTTTTTATAGCAAATGTTTTCTTCAAACGTTTTGTCCATAAATTGATCCATGAGCCGGAAGTTCATTCATTTTACATGCCTTGTTATAGTATATGCACTTACTGCACTTTCAAGATCTCCTGGATTCCTCAGTTGCTCCGTTTCCGAACCTGAAAGGATCTCTTTCTTTTCCTCCATTCAACCGTACTCTCGGGAGACTCAAACCCTGGCAGTTTTCTTGGCAAGGTTTTTCAGAAATGGTTTGCCATCACCTCCTTCCTAGGGCTGAAACTAACTGGCCCAAGGTCACCCAGTTGGGACTTTTTCCTAAGGCAGGACTGGAAGTTATTTTCCTGATTTCCAGCCTGTTGCTTTAACCGCTATACCAAACCAGCTCTTTGATTGCAAAACATTAAGTTTGCCTTCTCATACTGGTTTTAAAGAAAAAAACTTCATTTAAGTTTTATTGCAATCTAATTTTCGTTTTATAGTAATCAGGAAGCAGACCTATGTAGTAATGTTTTCTACATTTGAAAACTTAGTAATTTTATGAAATTTGTACAAAATTTCATAAAGATACAAAGCACTTTTTATCAATGTATTTCAGAAGTTACAGTTGTCCAGTGCAACAAAAGAAAGGAGCTGATTTTCCCACGGTCATATGTATATACACTTTAATCACACCTCTTAAATAGAAGTATGCTTTTTAAGCAGGTTATATTCTATGCAATACAATACTTTGGATTTTTCAATAAGATGGAAACTTGCAGTTTTGTTTCTATATAAATGCCAGAACCCATACTAGTTATTCATTTACTAAACGTAAAAGCAATATTCAGGTTTTGAAACAGGCAGGTGTTCCTCCAAGGAATATAGTAAAAAATATTTTATAAAATACTGCTTATGTAGATGTAAGACTCTTCCCAGCACAATTTATGGAAGATACATTTTACTGCCTATTGTTGTCAAAGCTGCAAGTCAAAAGGTTTCTGAAGAATTTCATGCAATTTATACAGTCCACTTTGATATTAAATCCTGCAAAACACAAGTGTTTGTCACTCAATGTTCAATCTATTGTGATTTTACTCAATCTTGAATAGTTCCTTGCCCATCTATGTTAACTCCATAATATTTTTTTGCAATGTGGATACTACACAGATGTTTTTAGATTTAAAAAAATGCCAGAACCAATTTATTCTAAGGTAAACTATATTCTGGACAAGTAGAATGCAGCTTTATATATGCAGGATATAATTTGAATGGCTAATTTAAGGGCAGGTGATGGCTAACCAATGGCCTGGTTTTTTTAGCTGTATTTTGTGCAATGTGCATATATGATTTTAAATTAAATATATGGCTAGCTTCTACTGATACATTTAATCAATGTAACTGTGAAATTCTGTTAAGTATATCCTCTTCGAAAAACACAAAATTTGTAGTCATGATTTCAGAACATCTTGCTGAAATGAAATTCTAAATTGATCCAGGATCTACTGGTTTGGGCAACATATACATACATAGAACAAATCAGAATGGGATAAAAGGCAACTGTGTCTGGCGATCATTTAAACAAATGTTGAAAATATTAGCCATTTTTCTTGGGTGATCAAAATTGTGGTTTTTATGGGAAAAAAACGTTGTGAACTTGTGAATCCAGGGCAAGCTGGATGAAACCATCTTTTGCATTTTATGAGGCATTCACAGGAATAAACCTGTGCTTAAATTACTACTGATCCATAACATCCAGTTCTACGAATATACCGGAAACTTGCAAAATAACTTCATTAAAGTTAATTCTATCAGCTGGAGGCAGAGTGGTATTTTAAACCAACTTGTAATTGAGCAGTAATCTGAAATAACCTTCTGCATGAACAGAACCGAGCCCGTTATATTTTTGCTACATCTATCAGAAACAGACAAAGCATTCTGCATTTATTGGGACTTACTCTATGTGGGATTGAAACCTATGTAACAAACCTGCCCATTCAAAACAGCTGCAATTTTAAGCATCAGTTAAAATCTCATTAAAATGGGAGTATGTATAGGATCGGATTACAAATCTCATAAAATGCAGGCTGTTCCATTCTCTCAAATATGGAAGATAACATATACGACATTATCGAAGGACAGATCTGTATATAAGACTAAGTGCACTTCATACAATCAATTGTAATATACAGCACTGTACAACTGACAAGAAAACATGCACTAGTATTTGCTTTTCAAGATTAAGGCCACAGCATGTCCAGAAATGATTTCTAAAATATAAGGATAAGAACGACCCTTGTAAATATTTGCAAACATTGTTAATTTATTACAGGGGATATGTTTTGAAGAATTTAATCTGTGACTCACACTACTATCCTGTTTTTTCCCCAACCAACCCAATGGGACTTGTGATTCAATTTTTCTCCTCCACTTCCAAAGAATTTTTTTAAAAAATAGTTTACTTGCACTCTTGCCCACCTATTTAATTTCTCCATGTTATGGAAAAGAGCCAAATATAATTCTAAAAAGCTCTTCTCATTTGTCACTCACATAGCATTTAATTTTCAAATAAAACAGATGTTTATAAAAACAGCTTAAGCTTCAACCTCTTACCTTTAACTGTTTTCATCTTATAATTCTACTTTTATTCCATGCATCCTTTTGCTTATTAAGAAATTGCAAAATTGAGGCAAGTACTTTAAACATTAAGTTAATAAAGTAAACCCAGAGCTGATAACATCAGCACTCTCATATATTCAATGCACCTGAGCACAGCCAATCTCCCCATCTTCAGATACTTTCTCTGGTGCACCCCACTGCTATTCATAACTCCTCAAATCTCCTCTGAGAGAAGGATTAAGCAATTGTTTTTTAAGCAACTAATCTACCTTTAAGTCAGGTGTGGATGAAGACTTTTAGCTCACATTTGTTAAAATATAAAAGATTACCATATTATGTTCTCACCTTTAAAAAAAAAAGCATTACATTTCAAATCAAAGTTTTCAGGGGTGGGAGGTTCACTATCAGTCCCTTATTTTCTCACCAGTAATTTCGCAGTTAGCAATTTAATTAGTATTGTTCATCGAAAGTGAACATGTATCTAAACTTTGAGCACTCAAGACAGCCAAAAGCCTCAGTCCTGCTTTTATTAAGTCAACAGGAGGGTATATAAATTTCAGGGCAAAATGTAATTATCCAATCAGACACAGTATCTGTCCAACAAAATGTATATTCACGATAGACATATAGTTTTTAATGTTTAGGGTTACCTTAGAAGGGCTTGTGCTCTCTCATTTTACTCATTTTAATTTTTCTGCCGGTAGTCTGGTACAAGATGAACTTTCATGCTCAAACATTTAATAAATCAATCATAATTATCACATTTTAAAGGAGGCTAGCTCTAAAAAAAGGTGCAATAGCAACACAAACAAGCAAAAGAATAAGAGATACAAACCCAATTCATTTAATAGCTAATATTAAAATTAACTATGTGAGTAGTTATTTGCTAAAGCTATGCTCACAACTGCTAATGGATCCACCACAAGGGGACCATTCCCTGGGAAAGACATGTAGATGGTTTCAGGTAGAAATTAGGCAAGATGCCTGGCACTAAAAACATTTACAATGCCAATTTAATAGCATTTTTGAAAAGAGCATGAAAATAAACCTTTACTTTGCTAATATGTACCAATATTATGAAAGCATTTTCACAGCTCAACACAAATTAAGTACACAGCTATTAAAAGCCAGCAAATTTGCCATCTTTAAACAGCATTTCTAAATTTGCTCTATATTAAAAGTATACTAGAAGATGAAAATGTCACGTCAAGTACCAAACTGGCATTGCATGGATATATGGCTGTCCAGAATTAACATCTAGAAATCAAAGAGTTAAATTGGGACTATTCACGAACAGTAACATACTATTTAATAAGTATGTTATTTGGGCATTAGCGTATTTGTGCAGGAAATAGGAATTTGTTTTTTTAAGGATATAGACAACACGCAGAATCTTCCAAAGAAATCTGTGCTAAGAGATGCATTTGGATGGAAACAAACAAGGAACCTGATAACATATGTAACCTGTTGACTTAAGGAACATTGACTACCTCCAAAATCATAATCAGGAAACTAAGAACCAATAAATTGGGGCAGGAAGAAGGGTGAAGGGTAATGTGCTTAAAAATCTTCCTTGAAGGCAAATACTGGACTCATTTAAAAATCTACTTCTCCATTCCTACTTCCTCATCACAATGCTGAAATTTAAACGCATCAAGAATCAGAGTAAATGTAGTAACCTTTGCATACGTAAACAAATGTTCACAAAAATCATTCAGATAATGCATCATCTCAATACTGTTTATGCTTTAGTTCAATACTTTTTGCCCTCCGGGGGTAATGTTTCCAATTCCTTAAGAAAACCACCAATTGTACTCGACAAAACCTTGAAATAAATGGATGTTTCAGTTCTAATCTCCTAACAAGTGTTGTAGACAGAAAGGCAAAGTAGTCCTTTTTTATTATTTGCTCAAGTCCTTTCATGTTTTGAAAGTGGTAACATTCTCTTTCACAGGGATTAAGTTAAAATATTAAGAAAAGTCTACAGTGGAAAGGAGAGCTTACAATCACCCCCCACACCAAAAATAAAACATTCACTTCTCAGCTAGGCAAGGCCAAAAGCTGAAGCAATAGAGCAAGATCCACATTTCAATTGGGTGGTGAGGTTTGGCTTATGTCCCACGCAGACCACTGCTGTCCCACTTTCATGGTCTTGGTTTTCCAATTTAAACAAGTCAAATAATCCTTTTCCCAAGAAGTATACAGTGCCCTTTGGTTTCTTCTTCAGAATCAGGGTTGCATGCTAGTGGAACAGTGTTTAAATGCACCCAAGGGGCCGCATTTTAATGTAGATTTACAGCACTGCCACACAGTATCAACTGTAGTTTAAACCAACTATATTAAGAAATAAGATACCACTGTGTTCCCAACCTTCCATGTCTTGAAAAAAAGTTGCTCCACTCTACAGAATATTTTTGGTAGCAACAATATTAACAAGTTTAAACAAAGTTTACCAAACAGACAACTAGTTTTCTTGAAGAAAAAGGGTGAATGAGAGGTGCAACATGGATTGTTTTTTTTAAAAAATGGCTTAGGCCAATTATCCAACCAGAGCTGCTGGATTCACAAGCAGGTATTGAGAATATAAACCAATGTGCTTTGACTATTTTTCAAGTATCTGATATCAATTTTGTATAAAGATTTTGAATACACAAACTACCAAAGATAGAAGAAAATGGACTTTCCAAGTTTGACTTAAGTATTAAAAACTCAAATACTCCAGAAGTTAGTATTCCACACAGTACTAACAATTTTCCATATTATTTTTATACATATCCCAGCTGACCGTGGACTGAAACCATCTGCTAAGCAGTATTAAAAGAAATAGTGTGCAAGAGTTAAAATTGTTGTAGTTTAGGGAAAGCACATCTAACCCTAATTTAAAAAAAATAAAATAAATGAAGTGAAAGCTTTAACTGGTACACACTGTTCACACCTATATTTCAAGTTTGGAAACGCATATTTTCAAGCAGCAATACAAAAAAGTATCCATGAAGAATGCATAATTTCTGAAAAAAATTATGAAAACATCCCTGCTACCATTACATTTCTAAATACAAAACTGACTACCATATTGTTGCTTCTGTGTAGCAAGAGAAGTTCATTTCAAAACAGGTAAAATTCAGTCTTCAGGTGTGAATGGCATGAATGAGAGTCCCCGTTTTAATATCTTAAGTTGTTTTTAGGATCCTTAAGCATGCAAGCCTTGTAGAGAAGGGCCCAACAAGAGGCAGGGTTGGCTTAGGGCATCCAGTTTAGGATAAAGCCGGGAAAGCTTCTGGATCATCAACATCAGGAGCAGAAGCACTTGACTGAAACGAAAGAGGAGGTCCATCATTCTGATAGTCAATATAGCACTTTCATTAGCTGTATTATTTAAGACAGTTGTATACAACAAATAAACATAAAGTAGTAATGTTACACAAGTACTAATTTGCACATATTTGCTGTGTAAGTCAACTATTTATTAATATAGTCCCCTTTTTCGTAATGCTCTCCGGTACCCATTTTGCTATCACAAAAAGTTGCAAGTGTTAACAAATAAGGTATTATAGATGTGTATGAAATTATTACAGTGTGAATGACATAAAGAAAAGGTTTTCTTGACCCTCAAAATAATAGAGACCATGATTAATGAAGGTGAAGGGCAGAGATAGAAAGAACTTAACTAAAACCTTGACACTTAACTTTACAAGGTGGAGTGACACATACTTCAACTCTGAGTGGAAATTAGTCACAAGGGCTAGTAAAAGAATCCTAGGCAAAATATTTCCAAAGTCAGAGGAGCAGAGATCTCAAAGTGATTTACTGCTGAAAAGAATACCCTGAGGTTGTCACACAAATGAGGGAAGGAAATCTAGGAATCTAGGGGATTATCAACCCTTCCTTGGGTGAGGGTGTCTTGCCACCCGCCTTGAAAGAGGCGGTGGTGAGGCCCCTCCACAAGAAGCCCACTCTGGATCCGGCTGTTTTGGCTAACTACCGTCCGGTCTCCAACCTTCCCTTTGTGGCGAAGGTTGTTGAGTGTGGTGGCGCGACAGCTTCCTGGGTACCTGGATGAAGCTGTTTATCTGGATCCACTCCAGTCCGGCTTCAGGCCTGGGCACAGCACAGAAACGGCATTGGTCGCATTGGTGGATGATCTCTGGAGGCTCAGGATAGGGGTTGTTCCTCTATCCTGATCCTGTTAGATCTCTCAGCGGCTTTTGATACCATCGACCATGGTATCATGCTGCACCGGTTGGACGGGTTGGGAGTGGGGGGCACCGGTCATGCGGTGGTTCTCCTCCTATCTCTCTGACTGGACGCAGTTGGCGTTGGCAGGGGGGCAGAGGTCGACCCCGAGGCGCCTTGTTTGTGGGGTGCCGCAAGGGTCAGTCCTCTCGCCCCTTCTGTTCAACATTTATGCGAAGCCGCTGGGCGAGATCCGTGGCTTTGGGGTGGAGTTCCATCAGTACGCTGACGATACTCAGATGTACATCTCCACTCCAGGCCATCCCAACAATGCCCTTGAAGTGATGTCCCGGTGCCTGGAGGCCGTGCAGATTTGGATGGGGAGTAACAGGCTTTGACTCAACCCTTCCAAGACCGAGTGACTGTGGCTTCCGGCGTCCTGATATAGCCAGCTGGTGCCATCGCTGGCTATTGGGGGGAGAGCCTTCTCTGTGGGGGCACCTACTATCTGGAATGAGCTCCCCCCCGGAGATAGGGAGGATCCCGGATCTGCGCACCTTCCGCCGCGCTTTGAAGACCTTTTTATTCCACCAGGCGGGCCTGGCCTAATCTTTTTCCCTCTTTTCTTTTTAAACATGTACATTTTAATCTGTTTTTAAATGACTGGGGTGTTTTAATTTGTCTGGGCCAAATTGTTTAATTCGATTTTATCCTGTTTTTAAATTTTCTATTTATGTATTTTACTGTTTGGCTGTTCACTGCCCTGAGTCCTTCGGAAGTAGGGCGGTATACAAATCAAATAAAGATAAAGATATTGGGGGTGAGTCACTGGCCCCCACGGAGAGGGCTCGCAACTTGGGCATCGTCCTGGATGCATGGCTGTCTTTAGAAGAGCATGTGACGGCCGTGGCCAGGGGGGCTTTTCATCAGGTTCGCCCGATTCGCCAGTTGCGTCCCTTTCTGGATCGGGACTCCTTACGCACAGTCACTCAGGCACTCGTCACTTCCCGCCTGGACTACTGCAATGCTCTCTACATGGGGCTCCCCTTGAGGAGCACCCGGAGGCTCCAACTGGTGCAGAATGCGGCTGCACGGGGGATTATGGAAGCGAGGGGGCGCTCCTATGGTGATGCCTCTCCTGCGTGAGCTGCATTGGCTTCCGGTGGTCTTCCGGGTGCGATTCAAGGTATTGGTTACCTTTAAAGCGCTCCATGGCATTGGACCTGCGTATTTGCGGGACCGCCTTCTGCTGCCGATGGCCTCCCACCGGCCAGTACGCTCCCACAGAGAGGGACTCCTCAGGGTGCCGTCAGCCAGGCAGTGTCGGCTGGCGACCCCCAGGGGGAGGGCCTTCTCTGTGGCAGCACCTGCCCTCTGGAATGACCTGCCTCCGGAGATACGTATGATACCAGATCTCCGGGCTTTTCGCCGTGCCCTAAAAACCTTTCTTTTTCACCAAGCAGGGCTGGCGTAAACCCCCCCCCCTTTTTTTTTGAGATGTTAGATTTTTAATTGCCTATGGGTTTTAGTCGGGATTTTAAATTTAGGCCAAAGTTGTGTAATTCTTTTAACAAATTTTAAATTTTGTATTGGGATGTTTTTATTTTGGCTGTGCACCGCCCTGAGTCCAGTAGGAGAAGGGCGGTATACAAATTTAATAAAATAAAATAAATAAATAGGAAGAGTGCTAGCCTTAGCATTACTGTACTCATGTTATAAAATTATCAAGCCACTAACCTGGTTGGGTGTGTGGATCACATCAAACTCTTTAACCAACTAAAAGAGAACAAGCAAAAATATTTATTGAGCATTCTTCTGTTAGTATATATGTTGCTGAAGTCAGAATATTAACCAATTGTTTGTTGATGAAATCAGGGCAGTTGACACTTTTTCATGCAGTGCCCATCTTCCATCCCCCAAATTCTCAAATTGCTCTGAATAAGCTAGTGGAAATTCTGGTGCAGTTTTGGAACCCTAACCCAAGAAGAAACAAACAGAAAAATGCATCAAATATAACATAATCTCATTCCTACTTGGGATATACAAATCTGGAATAAAGACTCTTTATTGTTAACTAGGATAATATTTTTTAAAAATTTCAAAGTATGCAAAACAGAATGGAACTAAGAAATTAATTTCATAAACGGGAAACTTTATATTTGAACATAAATACTGGTTATCTGTAACTCTGAGATCATGTAATACGTATCGTGGAAATATCAAAAATTGAGTGAAGTAGCTTTAGTGCATGCAAAGGGGAGGAGAGTCAGCAGCAACTTAAATGGAAAAGAAATAATTAACTCCTCTAGCACTTAAGAAGTTATCTAGTTCTCACACCCTATTCCAATCATTTAAGTGAAACTGAGGAAAAGCTAATGTATTTCACATTTCAGCCATAAAATTATTACATAAACATCTTCCCTAAAGTTAACTTCTTACTCTTTCAGATATAACTTTATTTTTTCAAAATTGTGCAGGTTAGGCTTGCAATGTTGTGCACCATTTCTAGAAGCAGCAGAGTTCCATAAAACATTTGCCTCAGTTGACATTTCATTTGCATAAAATCAGTTATTACCTTGTCAGTTCTGCTTCCACGGTTAGCCCTTCCCCCACGCCCACGACCGCCTCTTCCACCTCTACCACCACGCCCAGGACGACCAAGATCCCCAAAATTGATCTCCAGTTGGGACGTGATATCGTTTGCTGGCTTGCGGAAATGGTGATCCATTACAGAGTCCTCAGCATGAGACTATAATGAAATCAAGTAATTCAGGTTTAACTGGTTTGCCTTAAAATATATTTTCATTCAAAAACAGAAAATTATATACACTTTATCCATATTACTTAAACGAGTAGGCTGCAAACTAGACAATATTAGAATGGAATGAGGAACAACATTTGAATATTGTCAAATATATGTCAAAACTGCATTTTTAACAAATGGAGTTATGGAACCCTATAATTATTATGCTCTCTGAAATATTATGCCACAACTCCAGCTAAGAGCTCTGGATTTGCAAAGAAGATTCAAAGATACAATTACAATTACCTAGATACAAAGAAAACAAAGCAGAACACACAAAACTCAACACTTGATTAAAAATTGACCTATCTTCTATAGATCAAACACAGTTAAAATGCCAGATCTCAATATCAACTGATAGCAAGTATACATTATATTTTAAATAGCTGACTTTACAGAAACCATCTTGTCCATAATTCTGGACAAAATTCCACTCGAGCCCACTGTGATGAGACTGCCCCAGAGCATATTTATAAATTGGGTTTGTACCATATTCCTGTAAGAACTATAAGAGACTGTTATTCTCAATTACTATTGCACAAGTTACCCTGAACCTCTTTGCAGAGCCCCATTCCCTCTTCATTACCTGCCGAGTAATTTGTCTTACTGCAACTGAATAATCAGTATGATAAACTGAAAGATACTAATATACAAGCAAAGACTTTTAGCTCACATTTAAAATCCAAATAAAATGAACTTGAAGCATACTATTCTGTGAATGGAAGAACTATGGAGGTCAGTCTGCCAATATGCAATGGGCTGAAATTGTTTAGCTACATAAGCCACAACAAACTACTTCAACAGGAGAAGCAGATGGTGTGACAATGTTATAGTACTATTCCTTAACAGCTGACAATGAAAAAGGAACACAGATCAACCTACTAATAACTGGACTCAATTACTGAAATCCCTTCAACACTTTTTTCTTCAGGAAAAAAAATCAGACAATCTGAATATTGCCATGGGTGTTTAGAGTCATGATAAAAATATGGGCTTCAGAAACTAAAATTACTTGAACTCATGGGCAAGCAGGTTGGCACAAAAAGGAACAAATGCTGATTGGTCAGCAACCAAACTGGTTACAAAAAGAAGTATTAATGAATTCATCAACAGCTTTATTGACACTTTCAATGGTTTTCTTTAAAAAAAGTATCTTCAAATTTGAACTTGAGTTTCTTATTCATTAGGTAAAGATAAACCATAAAGTACCTCATTGGGCTCCAGCTGACTCCCCTGCATTTCTGACATCCCCTTTGTCTGAAGTAAGTTGTATGTCAATGGCAAGGAATAAAAACAAAAGAAAGACAATGAGACTCCCACATGTGTATACATGAATAACTAATTCCACAATTAAGCAGGCAAAACTGTAAGGTGCAAGATACAAGTAGTTCTCAACTTACAACCATAATTGAGCCCAAAATTTCTGTTGCTAAGCAAGACAGTTAAGTGAGTTTTCCTATTTTACCTTTCTTGCCACAGTCAAGTGAATCATTGCAATTATTAAGCTAGGAACATGGTTGAATCTGGCTTCCCAATAGACTTTGTCGGAAGGTCGCAAAAGGGGATCACATGACCCCAGGACATTGCAACTGTTATAACACATGTCAGTTGCCAAGTGTCTGAATTTTGATCACATGGCCATTGGGATCCTGCAACAGTCGCAACTGTGAAAAACAGTCACAAGTCTTTTTGTCAGTGGCATTATAATTTCAAATGGTCACTAAATGAATGGTTGTAAATCAAGGATTACCTGTTTTTAAACATACCCCAAGAAAAATCCAAAACCAGCACAAGTAAAGAGGGTATTATGGGATTAGGATTCAAGCCAGCGTGTTTAATAAAATTAATACACATAAGCATAAGCATCAAGATCACTTTTAGGAGAAAAAAAGTCACTTCGAGGTAGGTGTGTTAAAAGGAAGTGCTGAACTCTAAAATACAGCTTTAGATCACAATTCACATCACTCTCATCCATAAATTATCCCTAGTGAAAAGAATGGAGCTCATGCCTTTAAACAAAAAAGGATCAACTTTGCTACTGAGAAACAGGAGCAAAGAAAAATAAAAAACAAATAGCTTGATATGTTCGTTCTCATTTTTAGCAACATCTCCAATAAACATACAGGTAGTCCTCAATGAATGACAAAATTCAGCTCAAAATTTCTGTTATGCAAGTTAATTCTTGTGAGTTTTGCCCCATTTCTTGCCACAGTTGTTAAGTGAATCACTGTAATTAATTAGTAATGTGGTTGTTAAATGAATCTAGCTTCCCCATCGACTTTGGTTGTCAGAAGGTTGTAAAAGATCACATGACCCGAGACACTCCAACCATTAAAAATACATGCCGGTTGCCAATAGTACATATTTTGATCATGTGATCATGGGGATGCTGCAATGGTCGTAGGTATGAAAAACAATCATAAGTCCCTTTTTTCTCATGCTGTTGTAACTTCAAAGGGTCATTAAACGAATGGCTGTAAGTCAAGGACTACTTGTAACTCTCCATAAAAAGGACAAGAAAAGCAGATTCACAATGTTACTTTGGACAGAAAGCTATCATAGTTAAGTAAGATGCAGAGTGCAATTAAATGGTCTTAAATTTTACAGAGTTTACTTTTCATGGAAATTTTAATACAATGGAATATTACGTGTCTAAATAATTATTCAGTAAAACACTCTTTCTACAAATTGTTCTAGGACTCAAGATTTACATGCATAACCCATATCCCACTAGCCAACTGAATTTTAAAAACTGGAATGTATTCTCCACCTCTACCAGGCAAATATAATTTTTAGAGGCTGAAGGCCCCACTTAAGCCTGCAGATAGGAAAAACAGGTATTGACAAAAAATAATAATATATGAAACCTAGACCAAAGTTAATACTGATTTCATTTACATTTAATACGTTACATTCTCTAGTCATGTATTAATCATTTTTTTCTTCCTGCCATATTATAAGCTAACATTAGGTGATTTTTTTATAGAAAGTCTATGACGGCCACACACAAGGCTATACTGGGATATCACAATCCAAGATTTTGCTCCTTGTGTTTTTAAATTTTTCAATTGCAAAGGATATAAAATTGTGTTTCAAAGTAAAATTGGCAATGCTTAGTTAACCAAATACCTGCTTGTTTCTGAAATCAGATTTAGAAAACACATGGTTACAGTCATAAGCCAATTACTCTTGTATGTATAAATAAACAATAAAAATAAAGTGTACCTACCTCCTCACTCTTTGACTTGTGCAGAACAAAGCCTTTTTTCCATTGTCCATCAGCACCTTCATTTGGTTTACGGATGTTGAATTCGACTTTTGCACGATCCTTATTTTGAATAGCTTTCCATTCATCAAGAGTCATTTCTTTAGGACCTTCTTCCTTAACTTCTTCTACTTCATTTTCCCTATAAGTATGAATGTCAAGCACTTAATAAATAAACAAACAAACAAACAAATACAAACACACTCTTTCCAAGGGATGAAATCTAAACACAAGAAAAAAAAATAGAAAAACACCTAAAAACAGCAGTCTAAATATATATTTACCACGAAATTTTATTCTGATGATGAAATGTTGCTATTATTGACTTTCAATTTTATTCAATTTATTTATATCAGCTGTACCTTTAAAGTTTAAAAACAATGGTTGACACTATGGAGACTTTGGTGTTGTCCTGAGTTTGGTTGTTTGCTTGCAAACATTTCATTATCCGACTAGTGCATTGAGTTTAGCCAGGTGATGAAATGTCTGCAAACAAGCTTAGAGAGCATCAAGGACTCCGCAGTTCAATCCTGACCTACAGATATTCTCTTCTACTGGAATGCTTAGCATGTATCATCCTGATTTACTCATTAAAGGTAAACACAGTGTTGGCCCTTAGCTACAAATTAGGAAAAGTTCCATACTATTAAAATAAAGATTGAAGAATTGTCCAAAGTCATTCTTAATTTCCATTTATATCCTTTATAGTTACAAGCCCAGAAATGATTATTCTTTTGTAGAGGTGTATTTTATCCACTTCCCCCCCAAGTTCTTCCCATTTTATGTGTGCTAATTTCTGCTCCATGCCCCTGAAACAGAGTATTCACTAAACCATACAGCAAAAGTATGGTACATTACTAGCCTTTTGGCTGAAATAGTTCTTATATACTGTACCTGCTATAAATGACTCAGGATAGGTATATCATGATTCTGACTCACTAAGATCTTCTAAAAGAACCTTCTGAATTGCAATACTTAGCCCACTGAATTAAACTACTTTTATACAAGATTATTATTCCAAATTGCCTTTTTAGCTGCAATTTTATTTCCCAGATAAATTACTGAGATAATTAAACCTATGAAACAGGAAAAGGCTCCAGTCCAAGTGTTTATGAGTAATATAAGCCACAGTCTGAGTTCCATAATATAGGTGGTCCTCAGTTAACAACTATTTGTTCAGTGACTGTTCAAACTTGTGATGGTGTTAAACTAGTGGTACTTTTGACTGATCTTCTGAGTTCCATCCATTGAGGCATCCACACTGCAATGTGATCACAATCTGAGTGCCCAACTCATAATTATGATGTTGTAGCATCCGAGGGTCAGATGGTTGCCATTTGTGATCTTCTTTCCCATTTCCCAACAATAAAAGTAATGGGCAGACTGGTCGCAAATGGTGACACGTGCTGCCCTTGCTTAGCAATGTGTGATTCGCTTTACCAAATGGTAATCAGAAATGTCAGAATTGCCACTGTTAATGAAAACCCTGGATTGTAGAAATTATAACCAAATTAAAATTGCTGAGAAAAATATCAACCTTCCTAGGCCGATCAATCAATCATAGATTGCAATATCTGTGAAACAGACTTGTCTGCTACTTTGGCAAAACCAGATTGCTCACTGGATTGCTCAAGCTAATGAAGAGGCTGAAGCTTTAATAGTTTAAACACTTAATCAGAGGACAAGAGTCATTGGAAAGGACCCCATTATTTGGGGAAAATTGAACTTTAACTAAGGCAACAGAAAAGGGCTAGTTAATATCACACATGACACAAATGCGCACTTAGAATTCACAGAAACCAAAGCTAAAATACAATTCTGACAAGAGTACCTACCCTGATTTATGAGAATCAAAAGCCACTAAATAACAAAACCTTGCAGATTATGAAATGTTATCCAATTCCTTGATATATATACAATATACAAATACATTGAACTTGACGTATGCATTGCAGACTATACTACCTTCAACTCCCTCTCCCACACAATCTGATTTTGTAAAAGGTTGCTAAGCATCTAATATTAATTACTATTTTAAATAATTGCAATTTGGAACGTCTATAACTGCTAAATGGCAATAAAGTTAATTAAAACATCTTATTTCACAATTTTACAGCATATAAATTCCTGTATTATAATCAAACTGAATTAGACTGTGGATGACTTGAAATTACACTATTTTTCAAATAAACAATTAGAGTATCAGTACAATAACCCTAATTATTAGCAAGGATTATGAAATAAAGATCAGGGAATACTTATGTTATCACACCTATATTATTCAAGGCAGCATTTTGCAGATTACGTTTCTTATACAATGATGCTAATTTAACAAAATACTTTGTTTTAAAAGGCTGGGCATAAACCTGTTTAAAACAGGTGGCACTCAAAGGAAATCACCTTAACTTTCATTTTAATTCAGTATTGTAGGGCTTATTAATCTGTTACAAATGTAAAGATAAAATGTAATTTTGGAGTATAAAACGCTCCGGAGTATAAGACGCACATTAGTTTATGAGGAGGAAAAGAAGAAAAAAAAATCTGCCTCTGCCTACCAGCATCCATTGGTATTCATCCAGCTAGCGTCCTTGCAGCAAGCAGCCTGGTAAGCTTCACAATATCGCAGACTGATTTAGCGCAAACAGCTGATTGGCAGTTGGATCAGCCTCCCACAGTACCATCAATCAGCTGTTCCAGGCTGTGGGGATTGCCAGAGGGCATTGGCCACCTCCGCATATCAAGTTTATGGCCTTTGCACACTACGTTTTAGACCCGTTCCAGGCTGCGGGTTTGCCACAGCACATCACTGCCAATCTCCGCCGCCTGGAACCGGCCAAAAATGGGATGCAGAAAGGCCAAAAACACAATGCGCAGAGGCAGCAATGTGCTGTAGCAATCCCCGCAGCCTGGAACGGGTCTAAAACGGGGCGTGCGGAGGCAAAAAACATGATGCGCGGAGGCCAAAAATGGCCAAAGGCCGGGGCTTTGGCAACATTTGCTGTATAAGATGCACCACAATTTTTATTCACGTTTTTTTTGGGGGGGAGGTGCGTCTTATACTCCAAAAAGTATGGTATATAACAAAAATTGGGAATTAATCACCATGACTTATCAAGGGGGGGAGGGGGAGAAACAAGAGAATTATATGATGTACTGGCTCCATACTACTAATGTGTAGTAAAGGTTCGTTATTTTATTTTTATTATATTTTGTGATCAAGATTTTATGATATATGTAAATATCAGATGATTTCCTTTATATGTAAATGTCTTGCATCTTTTTTTTTATGTATTAAAGCAATAAAAAAGGCACTAAAACTGCTTTTGGTTTTGTGATCTGTACTTACATCTATATTAATAATAGACATACTCTAAACATTGAAACTACGCACAATAGTAGCAAGGCTAAGTTTTAAATGCATCTTAATTTTAAATACATACAATCTCACAAGCCTTTTCAAAAATACTAATTTCTAATTTGTCAGAAGACTTCATTCAAAACTACAAGTAGTATTGACTTATTACACCAATTAGAATTGGAATTTCTGTCACTAAATGATGAGGTAGTAAATCACAACACATTATTTAGCAACAGCAATCACCCTAGGGTCCCTCTTGTTGTTAACCAGCAGCCAAGTCATTAGGCAAGGCAGTTTCCTGCCAGTTTCCCACAACCAAAATAAATGGGGAAGCCTGCAGAAAATTTCAGTCCAGCAAGGGAATAAGTGGCCGTTGCTGGACAGGGGAGGAGAGGAGAGGATGCAGAAGAGGCATGATACAGGCTGGGAGAGGCTGCTAGGGAGGTACAGTATGAGTGCAGAGGGGATGGAGAAAGGTCCCAGGTGGGAAGATTTATTCCAGCAACCTAGCAGCTTCCCTGCTGGCTTCCCCATTTTCTTTCTGGATAAGCCGGCAGGGAAAGTTATAAATGATGATCACATGGTCACAGTGCCTGCAATTGGTCGTGTGAACTGGTTGCCAAGTGTACAGATGATGATCATGTGACCTTGAGGGTGTCAGGATGGCTGGAACTCCAAGGACCAGTTATAATTATTTGCTCAGTGCTGCGGCAGCTTCAAACAGTCACAGAACAAATGGTCATAGGTCAAGATTATTCATCAATTAAAATGCTAGTCGGAGGATACATTGGGAACTGGTTATAGCACACATAATTCTACATATATATAGCAGAGCGAACAGCCTATTTAGGCTGGAGGCAACATTACTTCGTTGCCACTAGCAACAAAAGGATTGTTGGGGGCAATATGCTGACTCTGTAAACCGCTTAGAGGGCTATAAAGCATTGTGAAGCGGTATATAAATCTAAGTGCTATTGCTATTTTTTCCCTCTTCAGCCACTTTCATATGCATTTTCAACCTCTTTTTCCTTGATTCTTCGTGTATTAAAACAGTAATATCTGTGTTTTAATACCAGAAACTTAACGAACCTTTTTACTGCTTACTTAGAAATGGAGAATTATTTAAAATTGAGAATTGTGTTTTGGTTGTTTGCTGTCATATGGAATAGTCATACCTGAAATAGATCCATATCCTAACTAAGGATTCTATTTTTTTTAATTTCAACATAAATGTCAAAAGCACTATATATGATAAATTTATATAAGACAGGTAGTCCCCATTTTACAATTACTTATTCAATAACCTTTGGGAGTTACAATGGTGCTGGTTCTTGCAAGCATCCTACGGTCACATGATCACCATTTGCAATCTTCAATGCTGGCTTCCAACAACCAAAGTCAAAAGCTACATCAACACAATCTTGCAAGTCTGAAGTACAAACTTCCCGTTGCCATCTTTAACTTTTAACCACCATCTGATCTATTAGGTCAGACAGTTCCAAAGTTTCTTCCTCTTAACTATTAAGCCATGGGAGGCGGGGGGGGGGGGGGTTGTCCCACTTCTCATCTGATTATTTCCTAGGCAGTATCTCTTTCCCCAAGGTCATTCATGCATTTCAATGCATCATGTCAGCACAAAGAAATCATTACCAACTTAATTTTGTATAGGTGATAAAAATAAACACCTAACAATTTAATATTTACTTGTTTTCCGAGTCAGCAGGGGGATGTTCCTCTCCTTCTGGTGTTTCCTCTGTTGCATGTGATTGATCCAAGTCACTGTAGAGTTTAAAATTAAAAAAAAATTGTTTCCAATTAATACTTCTAACATACTTGCCAACACAAAGTTTTAATTTATGAAAAATTTTAAGCTCCATCTCAAAGTTTCAATTTTCCCCAAATATAGTCCTTTGCTTTCTAAAAATATATGCTCTAATGAAATACAGGTGATATGATGAAGTTTAACAAACATACATTTGGCACCAGCCTCAAAAGGCTAAGACTGAAAAACATTTTTATTCTATTGCATAATATTGTTTTCAAAAAGATTTATGACTACTGCTTTCTAGCTGAGGATGCTGAACATTGAACATAATTTCTGCATTTTCATCATGTCATCTTAAGCTATGTATAATTTTGCTTATAATTTATATTTATTCTAAATATAAGCTTAAAATAAAATACTAACGTCAGTTCATCTTTGACAGTTCCCCAGTTGTGTGATCCACTCCCGCCACGCTTGTCTTCGTGTTTTAGACCACTGAAATGGGAATGTGAAAGAGAACTAACAAAACTGAGTTAACACAATAGTGCTGGGATACAGAAATTCAAAGGCAAATTTGTAAAATATTCTTATAGAATGCAATATATTTTGAAAGAGAAGCTACTGAGTTTTTAAGACTTACGATCTGTCGCTTCCACTATGCCTATCAAATTCACGTTTGCCTCTAGAGTCAAAGCCATCTCCTCTGCCCATTCCACGTCCTCTTCCACCACGACCACCTCTTCCAAGACCACCACGGCCACGCATAGGACGATCAATAATGGGTCTATTGTAAGCAGAAATCAAATAGGGTCTATATGAAGCCCCATAAAACTGTTAATATTCTTTAAAAAGTATTGCCACAGTCTACTTGAAATTAAGTGACACACAATATTTTAATTAAAATGAATGAAGAAACCTGTTTTTCTAAAAGCAAATATTCTGCGCTTCCTAATTAACTTACTTTGGATTACATTCATCAACAGGTCAATTTGTTGATTACCTTAATACACAATCATCCAAACAATCTTAAAATGTACAATCCTTACTTATCAACAGAAAATTCTCCTCCTTCACCCTTTTCTTCAGCAGGTTTGTCAAATCGTCGTTCACGAGGAGGCCGTCTCTCCTGCCTCCTCTCAATAGGCTTGCCCTCTCCCTGAGGCTGTTGCTGATCAGGCCTTCTGCCAATTCGTCTTATCCCTAAAATAGAAGGGAATCTGCATCAGTAAATTATTTACTGATCTCCACGAAGCAACTGGTATTCTTTAAACATAGGTATTATCAATATGTAATAAACAATAGTTTTCTACTGTTAGAAGACTGTATTATATGGCTGCCTTTGCTAGCAGTTCTTACAGTTATTATCTTATAGGAATTGTGGTCAAACTAGCTCTACAGGTATTTATAATCCTCCAAGCTACAAACTGGAAAAGCTAAAATTAAGCTCAAACACATCTGAAACAATAATTAAATATTTATTCTCCTCTTTCCATTAAATAAAATTCACAACTAGTATTCTTTGGTGAAACAATCAAGTTACTTGTTTCCCTAACTGCAGTCTTGAATTTTGGAATAGTTTGCAAAAGATTTATTTTGGGATAGAAGATCTAATATCTGAGCCATTCCAGAATATTTTCTCTTTATTTAAGAAAAAAGTGAAATTTAATTAAATTAATCTGATCAATAATTTCTATTTCTGAAACCTTTATAGAATCAGTTGCAATTAGGAAATGGGAGAGCCACCATTTTTCTTACTATGCTTGAATACTTATCAAGTTCGTTGTAACAGAAAGATGTTCGCCTATAGTGATAAGGAAGCTGGAAATATGAATTTATAGAAATAATTATCTCTGTAGTAATGCACTAATCTGCTACAGTAATCCCCTCCCCACATGCAACACTTCTGCAACTGAAAGTACTAGGTCTCAACATGCAATATACTCTATTCTCTCTGCCTGGAAGCTGTCACGGTGCCAATAATTCCACCACACTGCTTGAAACCAACTGGCTAACTAACAGTGCCAAAGTTTCATTCAAACAAAGAAACAGAAATGATTTTTGTATTAAAAGTTGGCTTTTCCTCATCTTGAGAACAATGGTGGCTTCAAATAGTATTATCATTGGCCAAAAAATATGGGCTATAAATCTACTCATATATTATGAATTAGATTCAAAAGTTCTGCTGAATGCTAAACCGATGAGTTCTAAAACTGTCATATATATCACGATATAAAACAATTTTAAGTTGCTTGAAGGAGAACAAGGAATCTCAGTAAAATATTGCTTATGAAAACTATTAGCCATACCTAATACTCAAGAGGCACAGCCTGAACAGAATGTATTGAAAGAGAAACGTCCAAGAGTTCCAGAATCCCACAATAGGTTATCATCAATGATTTATCTTTTGATTTGGTGAGTGTACATTTCAGACCAAGCCAAGTCCTGAAGCTACATACTATTTACCTCTGATTAAAGGGCGCCAGTAAATACTTGACACTGAACTTCACACCTATCCAGGCACCATTATGGGGACATATTCCTTGGCTTTCCCCTCACTTTTAATCAGATCAAGTTTACTTTTCTTTTGTCACTTTGAATCCACAGAAATTGGAAAGCATTTCTTAATTGCCCTTGCCAAGGCATGCTAGCTTTCTGAAGGATGATGGTGCCTTTTTGCTTTACTTCCTGACCATGTTTTAGACATAATTTATGTGTTATTTCAGCTGGATTAAAATGGAATTAACTTAGTCTGATTCCACCAAGCCAATAACTTTCACTGCTGCAACTGTTGTTCAAAATAAAAGCAAAAGTATTTTTTGACTTTGCTATTATTAGTGGTGTTACATATATTGCATATCTGCCAGTAATATAAAGGAATTCTATTGGATGGTATAAATGAAACCATTTTCATGCAGCTCAACTGAGTACATTTTACATTTAATGAAGAACAGCTATTAGATGTTCAGAACAATCCCAATCACTGGATAAAAATACACAGGTGAAATAAACTTTATATAAATGAACATTTCTCTTTCAAGTGCCTAGATTATAGTTGCATTGTGATTCAATTAGAATAGTTTGTCTGATGAACAATCATTACTGAATTTTTAGCAAGCCATATAAGGTTATTGAACCTATATTAAATTGGCTGGATTTGATGTTTCTAAGCAGAAGCTGACTATATTACAAGTAGTATTACCATTAATATTGTACTCTTTTCCACAATGCCTAGAAATTATGCTGTAATTTTCATACTACAGAAATATATACAAAGTATCTGTATATAACCTTAAGTACAACAATATTCATCAAGGGGAATTTACAACATTATAAAAGTAAGATTTATTTTCCTCCATGCATCCATTGCCACTATTCTACCTTCTTTAAAGTTACCATAGAATTCAACAATTTAAGCCTCTCCTTTGCCTTCTCTACCATTTGAAGAGATGCCTATAAGATTTATACAAAGAAAAAAACATTTTTGGGAAATTATTTAGGTGCTATTTATATTTCACTCGAATGCACAAGGATTGTCCCCGTTGTGTATACTTTTATCTAATAAAGACAACTTTTTCAACAATCCTTTTATTACAGCTACAGTCAAAGTAAAAAATGGATTGCCATAAAATGGATTTCTATCAGACTCTCATATGTGAAAATAGGCAAAGCTTTAAAAAAACATATCATAATCTAAATTTTTAAAAACAAGTGGGATTCAAGCAGGTCACTTCTGTATCAAAAATAATTCCTCTAGAAGTTTATGTAGACTGACCTGAAATTCTCCATAAGTGTATGGAGTTTGCATAAAAATCTAGATAAAATCACAAATGTAATTTTATTTCTTCAAATTACAAAGCAGAAACTCCAAGCAAAGTTGAATCAAGGCAATTACAGAAGTACTAATGTTGAACTGCCATATTGTTGCAAAAAGCTATCAACCTAACTTTTCTACATTAAATGTCTTACTCATGAAAATTTTCAAGTGGTAGTTAGAATGTACAACTATCCAACATAGGCTGCAAAACTCCTGACAGACAGTAGATGGCAATAAAGGTATGCTGAAAACTAAGCATTTTGTAATTGTCTCTGTCTTGTAGCCTTTACTTCATAGCCCCCAATTTCATATTCAAATACTATCAGAGAACTACAACAAAATTTGCTTCTGGCAATTTCTATAAGCATTGAAAAACATCAATACCCAGATTAAAGTTTAAAACATCACAAATCTGGGTTTAATATTTTAATAACTGTCTTATTCAAAAAGAAGATTTTTACTATTTGAATATTTAAATATTTCTCTGGAGCATACAAAACTGTTAAATAAATTTAAGAACAATCTATTTCAATTACTAATCCCATAATCACCTCCTACTCCTATTGCCTGTACTAATTTAACTTTCTCTTCTGCAAGTGCCAGTGCTGATTGGCTGGTGATGAGAATTGTGCTTCATTACACAGGACACTTGACTGATAACTATTAAATAACCTTTAAAATAATCTTTAAGATTATTTAACATATATTATAAGCAAACACATTTTTGTAATCAAGGTAGATTTAAAGCAATGAAGTTACACATCATATATTTTCTTTGCACTATTATTTCATGGTGTCGCATGGCGCCATTAAAAATATTACCATGCTTTCAGTCTCCTGCTTGAGTTTATAGAAAATAAGGCTAAAATCATATAATTAGCACTATTCAATCAACATCCTCAAAGAGCGCCTTTTATTTCCTTTAAAAAAGTATTTTATTCAGTTAAAAAGCACGGTGAATTTAACACTTTTAGCTCATTTTATTTTATTTACATACTGTTGCAAAATGTTTAAACAACGGTCCAGGGATCCTGCCTTTCCTTCAAAAGAAACCTCAATTCCATGGATACACTCAAATCAAGACAGTAAGGCAAAATAAACACCAGATTCAAACCTATTTGGATCAACTTTCACGGGAGGGGGGGGAGAGAAGAAAGAAACCTCTCACCAAAGTGAGGGGAAAATTTTTTTGTTTTAACAAGTTACAGTCCAGTATCCCAAGGCAATCGGTCATTTCACCTCCACAGTGCCATTTTGTCTATTCGTTCAGCCCTTAAGTAGGCGGGCGGGCAAGCAAGCAGGCAAGCGAAACCAAGCGACCAGCCCCAGCAACACGCGGGATATGCACGTGGCCCAGGTACAAATGGACTCAACTTCGTTCCTCTCAAACCCCCGCGTGGTCCAGGCGGGCTACTGCCACTGCCGCCGCCGCTTCTTCTGCGCGGGCAACCGGCAGGATTGCTACATTTTTCTTTTCTTTTTTTTGAAAAGGCACAGAATCGCCCTCCGTTTTCTCAAGCGTTCCAAGATCGGGAAGTTTCCCCCTCTCCCTTCGAGCTCCCCCACCACCAGCACGCTCGCCTTTGCAGGCCTTGCCGGGGCCACCCACCCACCCACTCCCACGCGAGGAGAAAAACCCGACCTCAGGTCGGATCCCGCCCGCTGGAAACGTTTCTGCATCCCTTCGCCCCCACCAATCCCTCCCCCCCACCCCGCGAGCAGAGAACGAAGCTTGGCCCGCTTGCACCAGGCGCGCTTTCCTAACACGACGGCCCGGTCAACACGAGAAAGGGCCCATTCCGGACAGGGTGGAGCGTGGAGCAGGCAAGGCAAAGTAGCCCCGCCATGCCCTCCACGTGAGGGAGACGGGCAGGGCTCTCCTCCTCCTCCTCCTCCTGCAAGGAAGGCTCCCTTCGAGCCAGACAAGCGGGAAAGAGAGAGGAGGGGGTCCCGCTCCGGCACCACGTGCTGGGTGGAATTGGGGGGGGGGGGGGGGGGGGGAGAAAGACCCGCTACTGACGGGAGGGGGGGGGGGCTGCCTTCTCTCCGCCCGCCCCCGATAGAGAAGCACTGACCTTGTGAGGAGCCCTACTCGTCTCTCCAGCCGCAGAAGAGAGGAGCGGCCCCGCCACTCACCTTCCTTCCTGAGAGGCGCGGAGCCGGGCTGCCCGCCTCCATCCTCTCTCCGGTCCCCGGCGCCTCCAGGCCCAGTCGAGGAGGCGAAGGGCGGCAACGGGTTCTTGCGCTCCTTCTGAGATTCCCTGCGCAGCTGCTTGGCCGCGCTGCCGCTCCCTCCGCCCGAACCGATCTGGCCCGAACCGCCGCCTGAGGATGAATTAGCTTGGGCCGCTTGTCCGCCTCCGCCACCGCGGCTGCCTTGGTGGCCGCCGCCGCCCCCACCGGTGCTCTCTTTCTTGCGGCTCTCGGCCGCCTGGATCACCTCGAAGGGGTCGGATTCGTCGTCCAAGAGCTGGTCAAAGCGGTTGGTGACGACGCAACCGAAGCCTTCCTGCAGGTGTCCGGGCATGATGGACCCCTTTGGGTGGGATCCTCCTCCGATGCTGCCCAGGCCCCGGCCCACCCCCTACGTGCTTCTTTGCTGCCCACACAAGATGGCCGGCCCCCACAGAAACTCGCTTCTCTTCCGGCGAAAGCGACATCCGGGAAACAGAACTAGACGCCGCCAGCTCCTCGCAGAGGACCTTGGGAACTGAAGGCTGAACTCCCCGTCTGTAAGAAAAACCGGTCCTTGGCAAAAAGAAAGACCACAATTCCCAGCAGGCATCACGAAGCAGAGAAATAAGGCGGTGAAGTCTGTCTCTCAAGGCAATCCCTTTCCTCAGAATGTGTTCAGCGAAACAGTTTTTTTTTCTCCCCCATTTGAGAAGATATGGCATTCTTTTCCCTTCTTTCCTCCTTAAAGTGCATTGTCTGAAATGAAACAAAGTAAAAGATGCGGTTTGCTGAAAACCTGAAAGGTCAACAATACAAGGCTGGGGCTTATACAACACACTAATGCACGACTGATTGAATTAACCCAATTATATGGGTTGGAGCAACCCTCTGAACCTAAAAGGAACCGTAACGGCTATATCTAAATTACAACCCTCAGTCACAAACGAGCCACTTATATTTAGTTTAAGGTGTGAATCCTACTCAGTTCATTTAACAATATACTTAAGGCAGCATTACACATGATTTTGCTATACAAGACATCTGCACTCAGAGCTGTAAATACAGATATTACCAATTTTTCACAATGTACTTCTTTACACAGAACAAGCAGAGAAGGAAAATGTTCCTTTCTCTAGCTCCGTACACTGGCTTTTCTGTTTTTTGACATGTGTAAAACTACCATTATGATGAAACTGCAAGTTTGCCATACAATTGTAAATGTGTGTAGGATTCCACTGGAGCTAATAGCTTCATATTATTAAATTATGCTGTGTGCTGACAAACAGGACAGTTGTAGTGTCTGTCTCACATATTCTTTCGGTACATTATTGTCTCCAGAAGATGTTAGACCTGCAACCATTTTGAAGTGATGTGGATTAGAAAATACACAGGACCTCTCAACATAGAACAAAATTGTTTATTTTATCTTATTTAAACCACAATTTGAGATTAACAAATAATCCTTTATGTGTTTCACAGTTTTCAACTATGTTGCCTTCTATAAGATAAACAGCTCCACAGAAATTCAGAGCCACTGATTTTGCAAGGCAGCTCAAACTATGCAAGCATACATTTGTTCTGCTTAAACTGCCAGGCTGTACTGTATTCTGTATCCACAGTAGGCTAGTTAGAGAGTCAGTTTGGTGTAATGGTTTAGCCATCTGATTAGAAATCGGGAGATTGAGTTCTAATCCTGCCAAAAACACCACATAATTGTAGAAATGTTTGTGTTGGGAAGACTTTGAATACTCCACTGAACCCTGAGTTTAGAAAAATCCAAAATCAGCTGGCCTTAGCTATATGTTGGGGATAAGAAGAAGTTAGCCAACTGCAGTGTCCTCAAACCAAAAATCAGGAAATTTGTAGATGTGCCCATAATGCGCAGAGATGTCTGGGACAATATCAAATAGGTCACAGCAGGACATTTATGCATTTTGTCAAACAACTAGAACTGCAATTGATTAATTCTTAAATGTTGGGTTCTGCACAAGCTTAGTTTAAAATGCATGCCAAAACACTAAACGCACTCTAGGGAATGGGGGATGAGAAACTGTGTTTATGAGTTTAACAGACAAATGATCTCAGGCAAAACTGGAAACAATATGTAAAAATGGACATAATGTGCCCCAAAGATGGATAATCTTGGACTTTCAAATGTTTTTGATTATAACCTCCATCTGTCCAAGCCCCACAGAAATCAGAAGGTATTTTGGAAATGATAATCCAAAATGTATAGAGGATATCAGTTACCTGATCTTGCTTTAGGGGCTGTTGGCTAACAAAAAGCAGACCTGAACAGCAACACTGAAATGCTCTCATTTAGTCTGTGAGCTGGAAGAAGAGTTTGCTAACATAAATTGTGGTGCCATCACTATTGAGCCCTATTCTGCCACAGTAGCAAAGTTGGTGAGAAAGATTGGTTTTCATTTGGGACAAACGAAAGAATGTGATTAATGGATTTCCAGGTTTCGTTCCTTTCCCCATCTATGAATTGGGAAAAACAACCGCCAACTGATCTCTTTAACATCTACTGATGCATACCAACCTAAAGAAAAGCATTGAAAAAGGGCAAATTCAAGTCCCTGGATGCATTCTCAACTACAGCATCTACAAAGAGAACAAGTTTCTCTCCCTGGCAAAAACTGTCTTGGACGAAGAAGGAAAACACAAGTGTAGATTGGAGCAGCTAAAGACAATTTTAAGTTGGTTTGGCTTTAGGCTGGAGATGAGATGACAACAATGTTGTGAGGACATGTCATATTAAAATGGTTACTGGTGCACGGTGCAATTGAAGGGACATGAAAATGAATCCAAGTACAGTATTTTTCCAATTAACATTAATACAGATACTTAATACATCTACTACTGTTCAGGTAGAAATATTTCATCTGACAGAAAAGGATTTGCCACTATAATAGATTATTTTTCCATTAGCTTACCAACAAATTTGTTCTCATATTGGGGCATTTTCTAGGTACGTATAGAGGGAGTTAAAAGAAGAGTGAAAGTAAATTCTACTAAAAGAATAATATTTATAACATAGCCCAGCTATTGGATATCAACTGTAATCATAATATTTCCTCTGGCTACCTTGCTTAAATAACAGGTGGTCTTCATTTAGCAACTGTCTCAGTTACTGTTCAGGGCAGTGATGAAAAAATATCTTTAGACAAATCCTTACATTTATGAACCTTGCAGATCAGTAAAGCAAAGGAAAGATCATCGACTCAGTCACAGTTTCACTAAGCAACCATTTCAGTTAATGACCAAGTTGGTGGTCCCAATTATGATTGCTAAACAGGATTACTGTATTGAGGAATTACATTATTATTGTATAATTTTAATTGGGTTTTAATCTACCTCTTTGAGCAAATATCTTTTGCATATTTTTTATATTTTAAAAACTTACTGGTAAATGTTTTATGAATTTTGCTTCTTAATTGTAATTTAGTTCACATGTTAGCTTACATTTTTTGTTGTTACATGGTTGTCATAAAAACTAAATATAGACAATTCACTAGTTGAATAGATTCATCTAGTAAATCTTACAAAATAATATTTCATTATAGCTTTTTGTGACACTATTAAAACAGTTTAGATGATATGTTTCCGTTTTTCTACTATGCAATCTATGTATTAGTATTGTTATATTTACAACTGATAGTTTATTGTCCTATTTATTACTGTATACTACTCTATATACTAATGTTAACTGGAATTTAAACTCTGCTCTTTAGTAATACTGTAGAAAAGTAGAAGGCAAAATTTGTCACTTCTGGGTTTTATTTCTCTATTTTATTTTCAAGTACTGATTTTCTCCACTTTTATGCAGATGTTTAGCCAATTTTATTTTACAACAGCTAGCAATTTGCATTACAGTTTTTTGTAGCATGGACCATCAGGTTTACAAGCTGTATAAAATTTTTGCTACTCTTCCTGTTATATTAAGCTTCTCCTCATTAATTACCTCTTTTTCCAGTAGCTTTGCATGCTCTTTATCTGTTTTGGGAATGCTTCCAGACAAGGTTTTTATTGTAGAGTCACAATGCTTTGTTCATGGAGTGCTTTAAGAAAGTTACCAAATGATTTATTTGTAACTAGCCTATACCATATCACCACATTTCTATCTTTTTTCTATCCATTAAACATACTATAATAATAAAAAAGCAGAACAATGCAATATTTTAAGCATGTGGGTAAAGGAAATGTGAAACTGAGTCACTATGAAAGGAATTATTTCTGGGGAGATGTCTAGAGGTAGTTATGTTACTCTGCTGTAGCACAAAGCATGAAGGCATTTCTGGCAACATAAAAAAACCAAAATCATTAGTGTATACATATGCATGACTTAGAAGCCCCACGTGAATGCCCTGACCTTATCTAGCACTGAGCAAATTTATACCCTACAGGGTAAATTCTTTCCATTTTCCAGGGCTTTTCTGCCCTCAGAATAAAGTGAGATCCTATGGAATGCAGGAACACCAGCCTCTGAGTAAGCACATCTAGAATATAGCTATAAGGAAGAGCAGAACAGAACTTCATTTTCAATCAGAGGTAATGTATTGAGCTATAGAGGGGTTACTGCCTGAGAACGAGTAAGTTAAGTGATTCTGGCTTCCCCACTGACTTTGCTTGACAGCAGTTTGCAAAACGTGATCACATGACACTGGGGTCACTGCAATCGTCATAAATATGAGTCAGTTGCCAAGTGTCTGAATTTTGATCATGTGACCATGGGGATGCTGCAACGGTTGTAAGTGTGAAAAATGGTCCCTTTTTTAGTGCAGTTGTAACTTTGAACAGTCACTAAATGAACTGTTGTAACTCGAGGACTACCTGTATAAGCCTTGCCTGTTGTTTGGGGGAAAGATCAACACTGTGAAGCTGGTAGCTGAAGGAGGACTTCAGTCTTCCTCCTCTCTACCATATAAATCTGGTATGGCAATTGTGATGATTTCCCCCCCCCACAGTTAGTGATGTTGGGCAAAGTTGGCATTTCAGCAAGTTCACAGTGAATGCCAGCCCTTGCTTTGCCATCACATAGTTCTACTAATTATATTTAATTTACTGGGAAGCATCAGCCACTTTCTGAATTAAAAGAAAACACTGGACTCAAACATTCCAGCCTTGCAACCACAAGCAATGTGATCTGAAATTTGCGGGGGAAATGAAAGAAACAAAGAAGGGCCTTATTTTTAAACTCAATCCTTTCCAGGGTTAGGAAGAAATTAGAAAAAGAAATGGGAGAATTGTCAGTTTTGTAATCCAACCCTGACTATTGGAACTGGCTGCAGCAGAAAAAAAGCAGCTTCTATTTAGACCTGTGTTTTCTAGCTTTTCCTGATCCATCCACTTGTTTGTCTAAAAATGTCCATATTTTCAATGTGCTTTGGAGTTCAGGGTGTTACTTGTGACTGAGATCAGATGCCGCTGGCATAACCTCAAGTATTCACTCAATTCAT